ATTAAAGGCTTTCTCGCTTATTAATAAAGAATACTAAATGTCGAACTCGTTACTTAAACGAACCCATTATTTTTTTCTTGAAAGCAAAGATACAGTACACAAAATTGTCATGGCCCTCTTAGTTTCTATGACACAATGTGTTGCAGTTTTACACACACTTCATATTATATCAGTAGTCTGAAAAAAATAAAAACATATTCATATACTTAGAATATATTAGGTGGAACCAGAGACATAAGAATAAGTTTTTTCTTAATATTTTCATCACACACCCTGTACACTTGTCAAAAAAATTAACTTCGTCCTTCGCAAGCTTTGAAAATATATGTAACAGTATATTTTAGTTAAAAGATGCAGAATTAATAATTTTAAAATAATACAAATAAAAATTTACATAGGACCATGCCAAAACAATGCTGCTATTATCTTTTAATTAGCGAAACCAATATTAATGTATTTAATTTTTAAATGAGAAGTTTAAACAATAAGGAACTAAAAATACAAATACTAAGAACAATGACATAGGATATAACAAAATTTGTATTAAACTGTTTTACCTCTAATTAAAAACTGTGACTTATGGTGGCTTGTGAGAAGATACATTAATTTCCTGACAAATATACGGGCTGTCCCATTAATAGAAACTAAACATTGGTCGATATTTAAAAAAAAAAACATTTAAATTATTTAAAGAAATTAAAAAAAGAAATTCCATAGCAATATGATTTAAAACTTATTGATAAGTTGTCAGACTACTGAAATAGGAGATGTATCTGAAACTGTAACATTTTCAAAATCACCCTGTATCATAGAAACTTAAAAGGGACTGTGGCAATTTTATTTTTCATAAAAATCAAGTTTATAAAAATCGCAGTGCCCCATCCTTAATAATGAGCAGAGATGGACAGTCTGTACAACATTATTGATTGATAAACACAAAGTGGAAATGATAAAATGACGGAAAATACACTCATGAGGAAGTGACAAATACATTTGGAACATTTTAACAATGGAAGTTTTTATAGGGTTTGTTGTTTATTTTCCATTTAAACTAATATAAAATTAAAAATTGCATAAATTAATTAATCGCTCATCGCATGAATTAAAATTATACAAAAGAAATTGAGGTGAATAGTTAATAAATAAATAAATAAATAACATATTAAATAACATGGTAAACTTCTAGTTAACTGAAATTTTAAATGGCTTTAATATGGTGCTCTAATATTACCGTCATGTTTTGTAATAAAAAGATTAAAGTGAAAATCTCAAATAGAACACCTAGTTTATTTAACACTGAGCCACCCTGTAGTAATTTAAACGATTTTTTTTAATTGAAATTTGAAAGCTATACTTACTTAGAAAGCAATAAACAAATATATTAATTATTCTACAAATTTTAGCTTTTAAGGTGTTTGAATGAGTAAGAATCGATTAGGCAACCAGTTATACTAAAATTTAAAGAAATTGAGATAACTATTTTCAGATGATTTTTCTATGTAAAATGAGCTTTGTATAATTAATTTACGCAATTTTCTATTGGAGTACAGTGATGGACTAATCATTACACAATTACAAATCTTAATCCCATCACTGACTAAATATTTAAAGATTCCGAAACTACAGTTTACAGCCTTAAAATTAGTTCAGATAATTGATAAGTGCTAATTAAATAAATTATTCCAGAAAAAGCTTGCCAGATGCATACAAAACAACAGTATCAACTCATAAGAATGTTATTTAATGTAATCTACTAATTTGAAGTAGTAATTACTGAAGCATAATTTTTTTAATATATTCTACTTTCAAATATCTGGATATATTTAATTTCTAAATATTAACAATGCCACAATTTTGTTATTTATAAAGTACATTATTATAAAATTAAGGGTGTTTTATTTATATAGCAAAGAAATACATTATATTATATTTAGTTACCAACGTATAAAGTAATTTAGTATAATTTGTTTTGATCTTGTTATATAAAGTACTAGTTGAAGCATGGCGCATCCGCCACGACATCAGGAAACAAAATACTTTTTATTTTCTTTTTTTAATTAAATGAAAAACAAAAAATCCGGCGACGACAGTTTTGAAAGGGCCAATTAGCTATCTTTTAGTAAAAAAAGCAACTTTCTAGAGCAAGTCGTTACTTCAGTAGAGACGACACAGATAAACATTAGCATTTTATATATGTAGATTTTCAATTAAAAAAAAAAGACTTTATAAATTTGTGAAAGCTTTAAAAATGTACAGGAAAAATCTAAAATAACAACATTGCATTTAAATACTACCAATATGAAGCAAAAATATATTAAAAACACCCTGTGTATTTCTACGAACTGACTTTAAAATGTGATCTACTGTAACCCGTATATTTTATAAAAAAAAATTTAGTGAAAATTTCAAAGTGAAGACCTAACATGATTATTTTTGTAACATTGGGCCACTCTGTGGTAATATAAATTATTCTTTTTTAGCTACTAAAAAAATATTCTTAATTAGCTGATTAATTATTAGACACGACAAAAAAATATTTAAAATGAAAAAAGAAATGACTGTAAACGTAGTGCTCGGAACCTCTAAAACGCTTACAAAATATAGATGTATACAAAGCAATTTTATAACAAAAATACAGCAATAGATTACAATAATATTATATAGAAAACAGATAATAACATTTGTACAGAAATAGTACAATATTATCGAATAAAAATGGCGTCGGCGATGGCTATAAAATGAAGATCGCTGTCATTTTATATATAAAATTATATGAGAAATGTAATTGATGTTCATTTCCAAGCCAACTGGACGCCGTTTTTCTCGATCATACGGTATATTGTTTTATTAGGAGTAAAAATTATACTTTTTGCGGCGAGACTGTACGTTCGTGAAAAGTCATTTTTACTCCGAACAGAACATGTTCTTTTTTCAAACGTCACAAATAATGTTTTAAACAATTTCAAAAATTGCAAAAATATAAAATTTTTTTTGTGTTTAACTTTTGTGTTTAAGCGTAAAAATTACTTTTTTATATTATGTCAATCTTTGTTGCCATCACGTTGCAAAAATTAATAGTTTTATGACGTTTGAAAAAAAAAAGATATTGTATTGAAATACTTTAATGATATCTCTTTGATAATAATAGGGATCTTCAAATTTATTTTGCTTAATAAATGTTATAAAGTAATATTTATTTTCGACAAAAAATATTTAGAAATATTTCTTATTACAGATAGCAAAGGTAAGCTATAGATCACTATTATTAAGAAAATATTAAAAACAATATATTTATAAAATTCTAATACACAAAATAACAAAAAATTGGTATTAAAATATATATATTTGTGACATTTAAGCGGAATGAAATCTATGTCAAAAGATTTTAAACGTTGAAGGAATAACTGAAAAAAGATATGCCACAAATAAAACTAGAATTATTATTTCTGTGTAAAAATGTGTTCTATCTTAAAATTATATATTTAACAAATATGTATATACAAATGTTAATTTTTATATCATGGCTTATGATATTTCAATTGATCCTACAATAAATATATTATATACCCTAGCAGACCATTTTCATATGTAAAATTCATAAATTTTAAGAGATAAAGTTTGTTTCACATTTCATAAAAAAATTATATAGCAGTAATTAATTATCTTAAACGCAAGTGTAACGATTTTATTAACACATAGCAAACAGCAGTTTGTATTTTTCAGAGACATTTTAAATACTAAAATTGAGAGAAAAACTTACTACTGGAAATAAGATTTTTTTAAATAATAAGAACATTAACATTACCACATTACATAAGAATCGATTAGGCAACCAGTAATACTAAAGGTTAAAATTCATGTATTTATTTTCAATTGAACTCTTCTAAAATAATTAATTTATGCAATTTTGATTGGATTACTTTTATTGCATTTAAAAAAAACAATTTTAGTATAAATCTACTTGAATCGCACAGTATATCTACGAATGTGCTCACACAATATATTCGTTAAATAAATTAAAATGACAATACATATTAAAAAGAAAAATATTTTTATAAGAAATGTATGTTTTATGAAAATGTTAATAAAAAAAAAGCTTTTGCTCTTGTAAAGACGTTCTGAGGACATACTGTATATAAAGAGAATTCTGCACATAAAAAAGAAAACAATGCATGAAGTGCATTGCTCTCTGTGTTAAAGAAACAAACTTTATCGCTAAAATTTAAGTACAAAATAGATATAAATATAAATGTTTTAAAATCATAATTAAAAACATCTCATAGGGTACCAAAAATAATTCTCAAAAGCAAAAAAAAACCATATGAACACAAGTATCCAAAATTGATTTAATAAAAAAATTATTTCAAAAAAATAAACACTAATAAATCATTTCTACTGGCTTGACATTGGTATTCAATAATCACATTTAATTTTTATGAAAAAAATATTAAATTGACCATTAACTATTAAATTATCATCCGGATGAAGATAAAGTTATTTAAATTCTATAAAATTTAGTTTCGCGTTAATACAATAAATGAAGTATTAAAAAACATACACTGTAAAACCAAAATAATACTTGTGTTCATAGGGCTATAGTGACGCAGCTGCGCAAGTAAAAAAATTATAATTTTGATAATCTGGAATAAACTTAGAGAAGCTTAGGAAAATATAAATAATACAAGATAAAAATAAATTGGAAATGAGCCTATAAAGATTGTTTTTTAATTCTTTTAAAAAATACCTTTTACGAAATCCAGAATACAATATAGTTTTATTTAATAACAATTTAATGATTGAACTGAGCGAATGGAAGTAAAATATAAGATAGGTGAGATTGAAAAAAAGCTTGAAATGAAAAATTATAACAGATTAGTATTATGTTGCTCAACATATCCTCCATAAAGATTATTGCATTGATTTGAATGATTTAAAATTAATCAAACATCCCTCAAACTAGAGGCAACACAAGCACAAATATAAAACAATATCAACAGAGATAATGGTCCTATTCATAAAATAAAGTGTATTGCTCTTAACTAGTGTTTTATATTGCAAAAGCTTAAGAAAAAATAAAGGTTTCTATCCAGATTATCAAAATTTTACAAAAAATTAACATTAAAATGACGCCTGATGTAATTATATAGTAAGAGGATAAAAACCAATAAACAAATTTATTGAAACAATAACAATATTAATGAAGCTAACGAACCTTGGTGAGGCATTGAGGAATATTGAGTCTGCTTCATGTCGAGTGAAAGAGGAAAGTGAGGAGTAGGAGCAACTGTAGATATCCATTGTTAAGAAAATGCAGAAATATCTAAAAAATAAAATAAAAATAATATTAAAAAAAGGAATAAAACGATCTATGCAAAAATTAAAATATATATATTTTTATTAAGGCAATAACTATGTTTTTTAAATTAATAATTTGCATATACCCTATGAGAAAAAAAAACCGGATTATAGTGGCTTTTGAAATAACAATTGATGAAAATTATTTCTGCCAGGTAGACCACAATATATCATTTATAAAAAATTGGTATAAAAATTAATAAAAAATGAAACAATGAAATGTTAAAAAAATTCAAAGTTCACATTTTTTTAAATTAAGGTTTTCCCCTTGTATAATAATCGGTATGTTTTAAATCTTTTTCCTTTTTTTCATTTAAATATTATTTTTGCCAAGTTTTTATATCAATTTTTAATAAATGACATATAGGTATAGACGTTGATCTCAGAGACCTGTGCAGCTTGAATATTATGAAACCTTATCATAATTTTCAAGCTTGTCGATGAAATTTAGTAAGAAAAAAGAGATAAATAACTTACCATTGATAAAGGACTGCGACCACTCTTCAACAGCTGTTAAGTACAGTCCTAAATGGTCTTTCTGAGTCTTTTCCTGCAAATTTCATTCCATTTCAAGCTTTTTGATCACCACAATAATATTTGCAGATAGTACGGCTTGTGGATTTTTAACAGCAATTGCTCCAGCATATACCTAAAATTCGAAAAAAATATTAAGTAAATTTTTAATGTAATTTTAAACCAAACAGTTTTGAAATGTTGACAATTTGGCGAAGGATTTTTTTAAATAGTGAACTGTGTGTTGTGATCAGTATAAATTGTGAGAAAATAAATCCGTTAAGTATTTTATCGTGAGTTTAAATTAGCGGACCCACAGATTCCGTAAAAATATGCAACCAGTAATACAGTATCAGCATTTTATTTTATCCTGCCTATTTTTAATAGTCGTTGGCTATTCTAATATTGGAGCAAAAGCGCTCGAATATTAGAAAATTTTAAAAATTTTCAAGCTGTCCAATGAAATTTTATAAGATAGATAAATAACTTACCATTGATAAAGAACTGGATCCGCTCTAACAGCTATTAAGTAACAGCAGTTCAAAATGGGTTTCCTTGATTTCTTCTGCACAAGTTTCATTCCATTTAAAGCTTTTTGACGTCAACCATAATATTTGCAGATAGTAGTGCTTGTGGATTTTTAACAGCAATTGTCCCAGCATATACCTAAAATTCCAAAAAAAATATTAAGTAAATTTTTACTGTAATTTTAAACCAAACAGTTTTGAAATGTTGACAATTTGGCGAAGGATTTTTTAAATAGTGAATTGTGTGTTGTGATCAGTATAAATTGTGAGAAAATAAATCCGTTAAGTATTTTATCGTGAGTTTAAATTAGCGGACCCACGGATTCCGTAAAAATATGCAACCAGTAATACAGTATCAGCATTTTATTTTATCCTGCCTATTTTTAATAGTCGTTGGCTGTTCTAATATTGGAGCAAAAGCGCTCGAATATTAGAAAATTTTAAGAATTTTCAAGCTGTCCAATGAAATTTTATAAGATAGATAAATAACTTACCATTGATAAAGAACTGGATACGCTCTAACAAAATGGTTTTCCTCGATTTCTTCTGCACAAGTTTCATTCCATTTAAAGCTTTTTGATGTCCGCCATAAATATTACTTGCAGCTAGTACGACTTATTTGTTTCTAATAGCAATTGTCCTTTCGTATACCTAAATAAAAAATATATTAGGTAATTTTTTATTGTAGTAAATTTTTGAAGCTATCAGAAAACAGACAATAACATAAATTATCTTAATATTTGGAACTATGTAAAATAACAAATAAATAATACACATCTTTTATTTTATATAAAATTAAAAGAAAGACTTTTATTGATAACTTCAGAAATAATATAAAAATTGTAAATTTCCTTGATATGACAGTAATACATTATTATGACTTATTAATGATCAAAAAAATAAATAATTAATTTACTAGATATGTATATACATATATAAAAGTAAAACTAATATTTAGCAATAACTCGGAAATTATTATATTTATTTTGGTGGTAACTTAAAAAAAATAAAGGCTATGCAACCAGTAATACACTCTTAGCATTGTCCATTTAATTTTTTTTCTATTTTTTGAGCTGGAACATTCATTAAAAAAAAAATAAATTATAGGGTTTCCTGTCAAGTTTTAATACCATTTTATTGTTATAAATATGATACACTGCCATTTGACACCCACTTAAGTTATTGATAGAAAATGTATAAATTTTTTAAATAAGATACCCTGTAAATTTAAAAAAATAGTTAAAAATAATATACGAAAAAAAAATCATTAAAACTTGCGTTAAAACCTTCTAATTTCTTTTTTTTTCAATGAAAATTCTAGCTTCCAAAATAAAAAGAGTTAAAACCTGTTAAAATTTAAGGCAAAATAAAATTCTAAGACTGTACAAACTGCAAAGTATGAATATTCTACAAAATTTAATAATTTTACAGAATTTTCAAGCTTATCAATGCCAATTCATAAAAATATATACAGGGTATTTCACGTAACTAGCTCATTAAAAATGTTTTAAAATGAAATTTAGTCCAAATTAAACTAGTTAGAGACTTAAATATATACCCTGAAAAACTTTTAATGAACCAGTTGTATGAAAATCTCTTTATATAAAATGATCCACCATTTATTACCATTATTAAAAGGCAACAGATGTCAAGCACAATCTTGGTCCAATTAACTTTACATCCTGAAACGACATTTTTCTGTATCCAAACAAAAATTTTCCTTCAAAGCTGCAACTTGTTCGTTGAGTTGTGACAGCAGCTGTCAAAATGTCCATTATCATCAATTTGTTCAGCTCACTAAAAGTACAAAAAAATTAAATAATAAAAAAAATTATGACGTCAGTTTGTTCATACTAAATTTATCATAATTTGCAACCTTGTCAAAGAAATTTAATAAAAAAAAGAGATAAATAACTTACCAGTGATGAAGGGCTGCATCCACTCTAACAACTATTACGTATACAGTCTAAAATGGTTTTCCTTTATTTTTCCCGTTAAGTTTCATTCCATTTAAAGCTTTTTGATGTCCACCGTAATATATTATCTGCAACTAGTACTACTTGTTGACTTCTAACAGCAATTGTACCGTTGTATACCTAAAATTGAAAAAAAAATATTAAATAATTTTTTATATCATCTTTTTAAAACATAAAAAAATATTCAAAATTATGTAAAAAAATAATAGCTATTTATTATATCAATTTAAAAAAGTCATATTAAATAAACAATAAACAATAAAGATCTTAGATAGACTTAAAATTAGTTAATTTTATCTAATAAAAAATAGTTATAATTAATATAATATTTGCGGTTTTAACGATCGAAAAAAGGTAAATAAAGGTACTCTCTTTTACTAAAAATATCAAAAATAAAAAAAATCAACTTATATTTACTCGGTTTATAATTTTATTGCGTGTATTCTTAGTGGAAACTTAAATAATAATTATTAAAAAAAGATTTAAAAACTGCATTTTTTTCCAAGATCGATGATATGCAACCAGTAATACAGTGTCTGTATTTTATTTTGTCCTGCTTTTAAGTCTTTTTTATTATTGTTTTAGTTCACAAAAAAAAACAGAAATAGAGCCTGTTAATAATGAACCAAAAGAGCTTGAATATGACGGAAAATTTAACAATTTCTCAGCATTTTCAAGCTTTGCAAATAAAATTTTATAAGATTAATTGGATAGGCATAACTTACCATTATTAAAAGGTAACAGGTGTTGAAGTCAATTCAGTAAATGGCATTTTTCTGTGTCCATTAAAGATTTTCCATTAAAACTGGAACTTGGACTGGCAACAGCTGTCAAAACGTCCATTAATACCAATTTATATAGCTGACTAAAAATACAAAAAATAAATAAGTAAATTTTTATAGTCTGTTTCTTCACACATTTTGGAATAAAAAAATATGTTTTTTTTAATATGTTAGGTAGATATTAAAAAAATAAACAGCAATAGTAACTCTTTAAAATATTGTCAAATATTCATAGATTTTTTACAAAAGAAAACATACTAAATAAAATTAAAATTGTCTGATACAAATTTGTAAATAACTACAAAGATTGAAAAAAAATATTAATATATTTTCAATCTCAAACTTATTTTACTTTGAATTTGAAGCCTACCACAATTTTGTAGTGAAATACAAAAATTGTAGCCTTAAATAATAAAAAATATAAAAATAACTTACCATTTTATAGCTTAATGGTAATGGAGACCAATCAATCTAAGTACTATTGATTATATCTTGAAATTGACATTTGTGGACAAGTTTTCACCACTATCGTTTCATTCAAAACATTTTACTTGACATTCCTCAAACTTCTAACTCATATTTGCAGATTTGTAACAGCAACTGTTAACGCCCAGTACATCACTCGAACAGATATCTAAAAATTAAAATAAATAAATAGGAAAAATTGTAGTATCAAATTAAATTAATTTAAATAAAAAAAACGATAAAGATAATTTTCAAACGTTGGAGAAGCAGCCGCTATCTAAAAATACGGTTAGTTTTTAGAATAGGAAATGTTGACAAAATGGGTGAAGGATTATTAAATAGTTAATTATGTGTATATAGTGAGAAAATAAATTCGTTAAGTATTTTATCGTGACTTTAATTTATTAGCGGACCCACAATCGATAATACCTATTAAAATATATGTGTATAAATTCAAAATATTAAACTTGTAGATAATGAATATTTGTCATAATTTTCAAGCATTCCAAAAACCTAAAAAAAGAAAAACTTTTTTTTTTTACAACTGCAAGGAGCAACTCTTTAAAATATTATTAAATTTTCATATATTTTACAAAAAGAAAATACTTATACTAGATAAAATTGTTTGATGCACATATATTTGTAGGTATCATAAGTATATTTTGAGATTGAATAAATATTACAACAGTTGAGGGTTGGAACCTTTGAGATTGTTTACACAGCAAAAAGTTTAAAAACACTAAATCACCACAATACACCAAACACTTTTACTTTTTACACTGGACGCCGTTTCGCTAATAATATTGTTAGCATCATCAGCAGATGAACTTTTGAGTTTATAATCATCTGCCGATGATGCTAACATGGTTAGCGAAACGCGTCCAGTGTAAAAGTAAAAAGTGTTTTGGTGTAATTGTGGCGATTTAGTGTTTTTATTTTGTTGAATAAATATATTAATATTTTTATAACTTATTTTTATTATTAAGCCTACAATTTTGCAATTAAATACAAAATTGCAGACATTATTATGCATTTGCAATGCATATTATAATAAAAGATAAGATAAGATAAATAAACTTACCATTTTATAGCATAATGGTAATGGAGACCAATCAATCTAAGTACTATTGATTGTATCTTAAAGAAATTGAAACATTTAAATGGACAAGTTTTCACTATCGTTTCATTCAAAACATTTCTTGACATTCCTCAAACGTATGCACAGTAGTAACTCATTTGCAGATTTGTAACAGCAACTGTTAACGCCCAGTACATCACTCGAACAGATATCTAAAAATTAAAATAAATAGGAAAAATTGTAGTATCAAATTAGATTAATTTAAATAAAAAAAAACCTTAAAGATAATCTTTAAACGTTCGAGAAGCAGCTATCTAAAATACGGTTAGTTTTTGAATTTTTTTCACCAATTTGTTGACAAATTGGTGCAGGATTTTTAAAAAGTTAATTATGTGTGTATATAGTGAGAAAATAAATTCGTTAAGTATTTTATCGTGAGTTTAAATTAGTGGACCCACAGAATCCATAACAATACCTATTAAAATATATGTATAAGTATAAACTGAAAATATTAAACTTGTAAATAATGAATATTTATCATAATTTTCAAGCATTCCAAAAACTTAAAAAAAGAATATGATTTGTTAAAACCTCTAAGGTTAAAACTTACCATTTTTGAAAGATATCTGTGTTGTGAAAGCCAATTTAAGGTCCTGGTACTACTGCAGCCTAAACTAGTCATTTGTGAGCCTTTTCCCAGTCTAAATTATGTCAAAACTTCGTTGGAGTTCCTAATAATAAATTCATACAAGGTGTTATACCAGCTGCCATTTTACATTTCCACCAATAGATAGGCTTGTATAATACACAAATAAATGAAACGTGATGTCCAAGATATCAATAACATCTATAAAAAAATAAAAGTTGTGATAAGTATTTATTTTTTGTAACTAGATGAAAAAAAATACCTCAATACAGTTGTTCCAAATTTCATTCAAAAAACTTCCATTACAGCGGACAAAATCCTCCTCCTTTCCTCAAACATCTCCTATCTCCTTTCCTTCTATTTCACAGCAATCCTCTTCCATCTTCTCTGTCGTCTTCTATTTTCCAACTCTCACCAATTCTTATTCTACTACTTATATAACTATCTTATACAAATTTCAGGCGTCTTACAAACATTTTTAAAAAAGGGGGAAAAGGGATATAATGCTACAACAAACGACTACGCTAGCGCACGTACCTAAAAAAAGAAAAACACTTTTTAGTCAAAGAAAATGATAAATATAAAGTTATATAAATTTACCTGATGGCATCTAGAAGATGGCCCTAATCCTGCTGCTGTCCCCCCAAAAAAATCATTCCAAAGCAGTTTAGTACTAAAAATATTTATGTAGGAACAAACTGAATTTAATTTTAGCCTTGTTTATTTTTAGTAACAAAAATAAATTACTAATACTTTAATTCTCATTATAATGTAAAATTGCATTATTTACTAATTTACGTTTAATTAAAAATCACTATTAAAAAAATTAAATAATATTATCAATGTTAAAATAAGACGAAAAATAGTTATTTCCAAATATAATAGAAAAACAATATGCTACCTAATTTTGTCTCTTTGGAGTTATTTTTTTATTACCCCCATTTATTATTGCTAAAAAACTTTATATTAAAGCCTTGTATAGAGTAAGAAAAAAAGTAAAATGGATGTAAAAATTGTAAATTAAAAAACGAGTACTTAATGCAACATTCTGTAAATGTAGGGAACCTAAAGTTACTGCTTTGGAACCACGACGCGAACCGACTTTTGAAGTTCTCCAGCCCTACCGTATCACCTGTAAGAGAAAAAAAATTATATTTGAATATTTCTAACGAAAACAACACACAATAGATCTATAAGGTCGCGGTGATTAACGCCCCTCCTAAACATTCTACAACAAAAACAAGCTATAGACAACAAAAAAAAAACAATATAAAAATATAAAAACTCACCATCGCATCTTGCTTAAGTTCATTTTCAGTCCCGCCATAATAATTATACGGCGAAAAAAACAGTGGCGTCTCACTGCTATGGGGCACATCGAATGCCCCCAACTCCATGGACTTCGGTCGATCCTGTAGAGTTGACAATAAACACGTTTTCCAGGTATTCGACGGTGCCTGGAACAATCCGAAATTTTTTGGGACTGATCATATGTAGCATGTAGATAGAATTTCTGACTTTTTCAATCTTGTTTTTTAATATCGCGCTGCGAACCCGGGTTGTCCTAAAAGATAAAAAATAAATTAGTTATATAAGTAACTACAAGTTACATTAGAATTTAAACTTATTAAGTTATTCTACTTTAAATTGGAAGCTCATGTAACAAAAAACTAAAATATACAACTTACTTATATAAAAAGCTCATGTTTGACTGCTACATGGTGCGATAAAAAAGTTATTTGGTAGAGAGTACAGCAAAAGTTTACAATTTAATGTAATATAAAAATAAACTTACTTTTAACAGGTTTGAGTTAGGCCTGGTTATGCTCGCCTCCTCCCGACATTTTCTGCCTTCAAAATTCGACGCGGGGCAGACCAATGGAAAAAACAAAAAAATGTTTTCACGATCCGCCTGCGAGTGTGTGCTGGTTGCCTTCCTTATGCAGATTCGACCCATTGGTCGACGATTAAGCCTCACCAGTCAGTTCCCATCCCAATTAAGCCGCCTCGTCTGGGGTCACCCTCGTCACCCGTCGGACGGACATCCACCGCGGGACCCCCTACAGGCGGACCCCCTCATCATCTTCAATGTGTCCGATATCCCGCCCCCTGCCCCCTTCGAGGGTCACGGAATACGTGCACGAAGAAATCTCGGAACTTGGGTGCCAGGTTGTATCCGGCCGAAGCCTCTAGCATTAGAACACCTAGCTCGTAAATCAGGGTGGTGACTCCCTTGGGTACCTCTGCATGCTACACAGGTCATCGATGCCCGAACATCAGGGTTAGGGGGGGTGACCCAAAGAGTCTCCTCTCTTGGGGAAGGCCGCGCCGCTCTCAGAGTCATCTTAAGCCGGGGATCCACACCGACAAAAAACACTGTTAACCAACTGCATCAGCTAACAGAAATTCACTAATGTTGAATTAGGAAATTTTATTAACCAACACAGAGAGCTAGCAATGCTCGTGTGAGTGGGGAAAAGGAGTGTGTAGTGTTGTAGTATTAATATAACGCGCCTAAAAAAAAAGAAAAAAATATTGGAATACCTATAAAAAAATATTATCGAACATCTATAAAATATTACGACAATATATAAATAGGTATATTTATTTTTAAATGAAAAAAAGAGATGCTCCATTTATATCTCAGCAATATTTTATAAGATTTTTCCTTGATTATTATACCAAAAATGTCAAAAATATCAAGATGTTATATGACATAGAAAAAAAAGAATATAAATTTGATGAATATGGTCAAAATCCAAAAGAATTTTTCACCATGATGTAACACATAAAAAAATAAAAATACACAAGCAGTTTTTTAGAGTTGTAACATATTATTTAGAGCTAAAAAGTTAAACCTTCAGTGTTTCAAATAAATAAAATATTAAAATAATATTTTTTTTTTTAACAATGAGACATCAATATATTTTATTACATTTTTAGTTTCTACTATGAAGACACAAAAACATTCGATCAAAATTTACCTCAAAATCATACTGACTGTTTTCAGAAATATATTTAATTTTTTATAAAAATTCAGTAACAATTGATTTATTTCTTCAATGCAAATTTACAACTAATACTGAGTTAGCAAAAATCATTTGTCAACATTAATACTATTTTTTAATATGTAATATTACATAACGCGCTTTAAAAGAGATATATATTTTAAAATACCAATATCAGAAATCATTACAAAATGCTGAAACATAAATACTACAGTAGGTATGTAGGATTCTTAAATAAAAAAAAAAATACGTAATAAAATTCCTAATGAACCTACCTATTTAAAACTTAAATACAAAAAACCTACTCATTCAAAATATTATTAAAATGCGCATATTATATTTTTTAAAAAATAAAGAAAACTCAAGTATGCCCTATAAAAGAAATTTAAATTAAAAATAGCAATTTAGAAAAATCAAGACGTCGAATTCCAACAGGCGGCCATTTTATTTAAACATTGCTTGACCGAAAAAATTAAACAAAAATCAAAGATACATTACGTAATTTACCAAAAATGTAGTACTATTTTACTCCCATATGTAACACGCAGTATAGAAAGTACCAAAAATACATAGTTTTACATACTTATTTATTAATCTACGTATATTATTTAAACAATATTCTTAAAAATTAATAACCAATAGAGACATTGAGAAGAAGGCAGCCATGATGGATATTGCGAAATCCATAAATTTTAAACTAAAATATCCCAAAAAATACATAAAATTACGGGTACTCACTTTTTCAGGAGGCTAAGCAGGGCACTAGTAACAGGTTACTCATAAATTATGTACACTAAATGCACTTTTTCGTCAGAAAATTAAAAAAATCGATGCAACCGACGGGAGGACGTGCGGATCCTTCGATTGCAAACGACCAAAGGACGACCGGCGTTGCCAGATTGAAGTCATTCGTAAAACTTAAGCTGCTCATAAAATTAATTTATTTATTACTAATAAAATTGTTTATAGGAAAATTCTTGTAAATTAGGTTTAATTTTGTTTTCAAAAGTTATTATTTACTCAATACGTTCCACTGAAATCGTTTTTTTACGTAAGATATAATATTTATTGTCATAAATAAGAAACAAATAAATAATTATAAACATAAACACACAAAAATCATGAAATAAACATAAAATGAAGCTGTTTAAATATATTTTTAATGCTATAAATACATCGAAACCAAGAATAAAGACTATAATGTTAGTACGTAATCACAAGAAGTAATTAAAGAAATTTCTACAAAACAACATTACTGATACTTGTTTTATTAAAAATATATAGAAATGACCCTTACTATAGTGCCAGTGGTCAATTTAAACTAATATAATTTCACAAAAATCACATAGAAAAAAAGATTTTCGACATTTTTTAACAATCCGGCAACATCGAACGAGAATAAAATTCAAAACCTCCATGCGACCGAAAATGACCAATCACGATCGAGTATTTTTTGCTCTTGGATGCCTCGATTTTAACTTTTTTTAATAAACATGGATGGTTTTTATTAAAATTTCAGTAGAATATGCTTCTTATATAAATTAATTGAATGATTTGTCTTTTTTTGTATTTATTCCCTCCAGTATAAAATATCATACAAAACTTGTTTTTTTTTTATTGCAATTATCTGGTACGCACATAATTAGATGAACTATAAAATCAAGCATTTCTTTAACATTTTAATAAATTATTAAGAAACAAGTGTTTTTATTCAATAAATATCCCTTAGTTTAATAAGAAACTAATTCTATATAGTTAAATAGTAAGAAATATGAGATAAATTATATAAAAAATAACTTCACAAGTCTTTAACTTGACTCAACGTTGACAGCTCTTACCGGATGTATCTGTTCAACTTTTGGCAACAATTTTCAAATTTCAAATTTAATTAAGCTGAAAAATTCTTTATCATAGAAAAAATATATTAGTAAGTACAAATTAGGATAAAAAGCATTTATTACTTAGGAGAACTATATATTATAATACTTTTGTCTTCTGAAACTGATAAAATTTTCGAATTATCCGGACTGAATTTTACACCCCAAACCTGCAAGGTTTTTTAGATAAAACATTATTATTAAAAAACAAATCTTATTTAAAAATAGTTATATCACTAAAAACTTAAACGTTTTAGTTGAAATAAAAAAGAAATGTAGAAAATGTTTATTTTAATAAATTCAGTACCACTTAAGTAGACGTCAAATACCAAGTCAAGGTATACAATATTCACATGTTTATTTTGATGCCTGAGTTCTAACTTACATAAAAAATATATAACTTTTTGGCAAAAAGAAAACGGTTACTAAGGTCTGCTAAGGTTCGAATTGTTTACTAAAGCCCTCCACTGCGCTGAAAACTAATTCAAAAATATTAATTTCTTGACGGAAAACAGTATGAAAACATCATAAATCAACCATCACCAAATCAAAAATCAATGTTACTTTCAAAATTATTCATTGTTAAAAAATATTTACATAAAAGATATTAACAATATTAAAAAATAATTAAATATTTAAATAAAATCTGCTCCTTACATGATTAACGACTAGATCATATATAATTTATATACAAATATCTTAAAAATGTATTTCTTTATATATGATCTAAGGATAAACGTCAAATTTTTGTCTATTTGCTCAAAAATTTGAAAGAAGAACACGTCTTTTCTGTTTCGGCCTAAACGCGCATGTTCCTGCTTTGCTTGAAATGGTAATAACGATGATATTTAACTTTCAATAATAAGTAATTTATTTTGCAGTATAACCCTTATATTCATCCTGGCCTGGCGCAGTCCCTGTCTGTTAGTTGCTGGACACGCCACAGTACATGTCTTTCCTTTGTGATTCCTGATCCTTCACTACCTTGACATAAAAGCCTAATTTTATGGGGCCCTAGAAGAGGACCCTAGAAGAGAACCATCCCACATTAAAGTGCAGTAAGGAGCAGAAGTTTCCCTCAATGCGCCCAAAGTCACTTCAATTCCAGGCGTCTGCGTCCGTGAGGACGTTCTCTGTTTAACTGAAGAATAAAGAAATCAGAAAGAAACAATAATCAAAGAATAATAGATTCTGACTGGCCGTCGAAAGGCGCGTGGTCATCGTGAAACAAGAAGAAGAAGAAGAAGATACGACGAAAGGAGGAGGAGTAATTTAATAACCTTGAGTTTGAACTTTTTTATGTATATGTATAATGGCAATTTTAAAATTTATTCGTATAAATAAATGGATCCCAAAAATAAGAGCGAACAGATGCCAACTGTGCACTAAATCGGACAATGAAAAAGCGCCAGTGAAAAGAAGGCGGCATATTTCAAAGCGTTCGTCAGAAGTAGATGCCTTTTTCCAATCGAACAATCATATGGAATATCTAAAGGAATTGATTCCTGCAAACATTAAATTGCAAAGAAAAACCGTTATCCCAGATCGAATGTATTTGATTTGTCCGAATACTGCGAAAAAAGTTGCCGAATATGTTTGGGAACAGACCAAATCGAATACGAATCAGTTGATCTGCGAAACTAATCCCGGCGTCGGCGTAATTACCATAGAATTGCTAGAGAAAGGGGCCCGAAAAGTCCGACTTTATGAACCAAACGAACTGTTCCATGAGCCCTTAAAGGTATATAATTTCTAAGTGGAATATAAAGCTCATGCTTAATTTTCTTTTTAATATAATGCAGCAAGATTCGTACAAGCAAGAAAATTGGAATTTTTATAGTTGACCCACCCTGTTAACACCGAATATTTTCCTTGTAGGTTTTATTACAAAAATATTTACATCGAATTGAAATTGTTGACAAAGATCTGATGCATTTAGGCAAATACGTTTATCTTGACAACAAAGATCCAGCAGACAGGGTCGAAAAATTATTAGAAGGAATACCTAAGAAAAGCTGGACAGATGGTAAAATCACAAAAAACTTACTGTCGGTACGCTACATACTTTCGAAATAAAAATGTTCTTTCAGATCCTGTAATGACTGTTGTAGGTGTCTTGACAAGAAATGATTTTATCAAAGACCTAGTCAAATCTATCGTTTCTCGAAGGAACATAACCGCTTTAGGCAGGACCGATTTCTACATGTTTGTATTTCCCACCGACTGGATAGTAAGTTACGGCCAGTCCAGAGATATTACACAGGGTGTTTCAAAAAGCGTGTGCCATCTCTCGTGGGGAGATTCCTCACGTAAGAATAAAACTTATTGCGGAGTTGTGATTAAAATAATATGGTCACCTCATTATTTCTGAAAAAAATAACAACAAAATCTATGACTAAAATCATAAAAATTAAAACTAAGCGTAATACATGTACAGTTGACTGTATTTATTTAGATTTAGAAAAAGTTGAAAATAATGAATAAAATTTATTTTTTGTTTTTTTAAAAAAAATAATTTTTTTGACATATCTCAAAAACTAAGCGAGATACGTAAAAAATGCGACAGAGGAAAATTGAAGGTCTTTTTTCTGCAATATTTTTGCTCTCTTTCAATTTTTCAGTAGATCTCTTTATTTCGTAGCTATTACGTTTTTTTAGTTTGACTTGCATGTAAGGACCACCTTCTTTGAGCACTTAAAACCCAAAAATCTCGTAAAAATGAAGAGTTCAAGACTATTCAACTATAGATGTTAATTTGTAGCTCATGTAATTTTCTACCAATTGATAGTTTTTACTTTTATGATTTTAGTCATAGATTTTGTTGTTAATTTTTTTTTCCTAAATAATTAGGTGACCATTTTAATTTTTTCATAACTCCGCGAGTTTTTGAGTTACGAACTTGAAAAGACATTTAAAAGGTCTTTTCAAGCACTTTAAAAACGGTCATATTCATTTTCTTCGAAAAATGTTCTTTCGCCATTATTTTCCGGTAAAAGCTTGCAATTTAGTTTTCGAAAAATAATCAAGTTTACAGAGTGATAACTCGGCTATTACTACACCTATGGTCAACAACAAAAAATGAGTCGATTCGTTATTCCAAAAGATTCATTTTTGCTTTATATGAGTTTTGCGATAAAACGTAAGATTTTCGAGTTATTTATAAAAAATTGCAGAAAAATATGCAGTTTTTAGATGAAAAATCAGCATTTTCAATATTAAATAACTCGGAAAATATTAATTTTCTGAAAAAATGTTATAGAACATTTTTTGCTTAAAATTCATCCCTTTATTGATTGTTGTAATTAAAATGGGTGATTTATTTTTCACCCCCGAGAAGGGGTGGCACTCACCCCCAGGGTGAAAACACACATCGCTACGATGTAACTTTTTATCTCTTGCTGGCAAAATGATGTAGGCCGTTTGGCCGTTTAATGCCGTTATTACTTGTAGATGGCATAAGAACATTTTTGGATGCGCACTCGTCAAAGCTCATTTTCCCTATCCCTATATCTCTGGTTCAATCCGCTCAATCCCTTTAAATATAAAGATTAAGGAATTATTGATTTATATTATTGAGTCTACCCTACATCATATTTTTACTTTTTTTTGAATAAAATTAGAACGGCACTGATAAACCGGAATTTACGTCGGCCATTTTAGAGTCCCGTCGCGGTCAGTCTATGATTTTTGATTTACTCCTTCCTTGATCTGTTTATTCGAAGGTTGAATCCAGATTTTTCAGTTCTTTACAAAAATAATACGTGTGCTTTTTAGAAACTAACCGAAGAAGATGACGTAAATTTTTACCTGAAATTTTGGGTAATTCTATACAATATATTCTTCGATTTTCAACTGATTGATAAATTTGATAAGGTGTTATTCATGCCGTGGATTACGCAAACAAAAAAGAACAAACAGGTGAGATCCAATCCTAGATCATATGTACAGGGTGTCCCATTTTGGTTGAAACCATACGGTATCTCGGTTATTAGTAAAGATAGGAGCGGTTTGCACAAACCCGTCCCACTTTTTTGTCAAACGAAAGATGCTGTAAACAAAATTTTCATAGCCCTCTTCATTTCTGAGCTACATGGGTCTTTTCGAAAACTTCGCAATTTGGGACAGCCCCAGTATCTCCGTTATTATATGGATGATATCGAGAAGGTGAAAATTGATTCTTGTAGAACATTTTACGTAGAATACAGTGGCGTAGTCTATTTTTTTTACAAAAAAAATATGTTTGAAAATATGAACTAAAGTTATGTTTTTTCAAATGGAACACCCTGTATATTTATAAATCATATGATCCGTCTTTCTATGTGCTTCTCAAAAATATGTATTACTCTATATTTATTTTCACTATTTACTTCAATATTTAAAATATATCATTCTTTTATTAGTAGGCCGTGATAAATAACATAAAAATCAAAATGGTATTTACTAAAATAGTCATACACACATTAAAATTTTATTTGCCATTGATATATTTTACTTTTGAACTGTTACCACTGAATCTCTGAATATATATTTCTTTCTTTATAACGGGATGGGTTTGCATATATCTAAAAGCTTGGCATTATTAAAGCATTTTCCAGGTGTTCGACATTGTTGTAGTTGCCACGAAATATTTCATATTTTAAAAATATCCAAAATCAGAAATCGAGAACAGACAAATCCAGGAATCAGGGAAGCCATTATATGGGTCCATTGCATTGGTTCCAATTCATTGATTTGAGAAATAATAATTTAACAAAATTCTAATATTTTCAAAGTTGTTAGGGAAAACCCCATCTTGCAAATTCACGTAAATTAGCTAAAACATATCTAAAAGTTTCGGTACTATAACTTCCAAGATTTACAAATAGCGGTAGAGAGTTAAGTTTTCCTAATATTTATAGAAAAAATGTATTAGTGGCCCCTAAAATAAAACAAGAGATAGACAGCGGTATATTGTTAATAATTCTTTATTTTCTTTTATTATCAATCATGGCCAAAGTCATGGCCTACTAATAAATATGATTTTTTAATAAAAACTTCTAAATATTGCAGTAAATAGTGAAAATAAATATAGAGTGATATATATTTTTGAGAAGCTTATAGCAAGCCAAATCATATAATTTATAAACCTACAGGGTGTTCCATTTAAGAAAACATAACTTTAGTTCATATCTTCGAAAATATTATTTTCGTAGAATAACAGACTACGCCACTGTATTCTCCGTAAAAAGTTCTACAATAAATAGTTTTTACCTTCTCGATACCTTGCGCAATAACAGAGATACGGGGGATGTCCCAAATTGCAAAATTTTCAAAAAGACCCTGTAGCTCAGAAACGAAGAGGGCTGTGAAAATTTTGTTTACAGCATCTTTCGTTTGACAAAAAAGTGGCACAGGTTTGTGCAAACCGCATCTTTCTATCTTCACTAATAGCGGAGATACCGTATGATTTCAACCAAAATGGGACACCCTGTACAGGGTTTCCCACTAAATATGTGCTGTATCTCGGAAAGTATTAGCCGTAGCGGCTGCGGAAAAAATTATTTTAACTAAAGAGGCTATGGGAAATTGCTGGGAATTATTTTCAAGTTTGTAGAACGACCGCTAGGGGGCGCAACTGCAACAAAAAATAAGAAAATGGAGAAGAGGAGAAAACACAATTTTGCCTAGATAAGGTGTACTATAAGTAACAGCTTCATAATCTGCAGTAAATTTTGAATATTTTTTGTTAGAGCCATTTTCCCCTATCTACCAAAATAAAGTGGTGGGGGAAGGTTAGATCTGTTTTTATTTGAATATTAATAACTCTGGACTGGATGATCGGAATCCAACAAGCGAGGGCTCGTTTAAAAGAGCGTTTCTTACTCTATATTGTACCATATAAACAATAATAATAAGCTTTTGAACGTAGACGCTAGGGGGCGTTGTCTTACAATTTAACAAACATTGCGGGTTTTTTAAAAAAAATTAAAGGCAATAGTATGTGTAATTTTAGCTGACAGTAAAGAGTAGTAAAAGCTTAAAAAGTCAGCGAAAACCGCATCTTGATATGTTTTTTCAAGCCGAAGATATTAGCAAAATTATAATAAATTCCAAAAAATAAGCCCTTAATTACCTTATTTTTACAACACGGTATCGGTAGCCCTCTTGATTATGCCCATTCTAACCTAAAAATAGGATAGAAACAGTTAGTTTATTTCAAAATGCCAACAACTTCAACTACTTCAAATAATAAAGGCATTTTGAAAAAGCATTTAAAAGATAAAAAACGCTGCTAAGACTACAGTTGAGGGTTGGAACCTTTGGTGTTACACAGCAAAATAAAATTACACTAAATCACCGCAATACACCAAAACACTTTTACTTTTACACTGGACGCGCGTTTCGCTAACCATGTTAGCATCATCAGCAGATGATTATAAACTGTGGAGTTCTGCTGATGATGCTAACATGGTTAGCGAAACGCGCGTCCAGTGTAAAAGTAAAAGTGTTTTGGTGTATTGTGGTGATTTAGTGTAATTTTATTTTGCTGCTAAGACTATCAAAATGTTGATCTAATAACAATTTGACGTTTATACTATTACGCGAAAAGCAACTTTTTTCCAAAGCCTACCATGACTTCACTGAATCATCGTTTCTTGTTCACTATTATTAATATCTTAATTATTAGATATTAATACATCTGGTATTATGGTATTCTGGTATTTCGTCGATTTTAAAATAAACTAACTGTTTCTATCTTATGTTTTTGTTAGAATGGGCCTAATCAAGAGGGCTACTGATACTGTATTGTAAAAATAAAGTAATTAAGGGCTTATTTTTCGCTGACTTTTTAAGCTTTTACTACTCTTTACTATCAGCTAAAATAACACATACTATCGTATTTAATTTTTTTGAAAAAACGCGCTATGTTTGTTAAATTGTAAGAAAGCGCCCCGTAGCGTCTACGTTCAAAACCTTATTATTATTATTTTTATGGTATAATATAGAGCAAGAAACGCTCTTTTAAACGAGCCCTCGTTTGTTGGATTCTTATCATCCAGTCCGGAGTTATTAACATTTATATAAAGATAGATCTCACCTTCCCCCACCACTTTATTTTAGGAGATAGAGGAAAATGGTTCTAACAAAGAAAATCCAAAATTTACTGAAGATTATGAAGCTATTATTTATAGTACCCATTATCTAGGCAAAATTCTGTAAAAAATCTATTTTCTTATTTTCCATAGCAGATGCGCCACCTAGCGGCCGTTTTACAAACTTGAAAATAATTTCCAGCAATTTCTCATAGCCCCTTTAGTTATAAATATTTTTTTCCGTAAGCCCTACGGCTAATACTTTCCGATATACAGCCGAGAGCTATTCTTAGTGGGACACCCGGTATATTCTTACACTTTTTTTTTACTTTTGAAGGTATATTTTTGAATCGCCACCTTTTTTTTCAGCCGCTAGATCCAGATAAATTGTATTTTATTAAAATCAGTATGAAAAAATCGTTCAGTATCAGTATGGAAGATATTTTACCGTTCTTTGTATTCCTAAAGTGTTTTTTGCGATATAAAAATCATTATATCATCCCAACTTTGGAGTGAGTTAGTATATCTGTTAAATACAGGGTGTTTCTCAATAAGTGTCCGATATATCACAGGGTGATTTTTCAAGGTAAAAGTTCATGTAAATGTGTGTCCTAAAATGCTTCGTTTTCGAGATACAGGGTGTCAAATTTTTAGATTTTTTTTTTCAAAATATCTAGTAAACCATACACTTTTTTAAAAATCTGAAAGACGTCTATGATTGTCCTCACAAAACTGCAATTTTTTCCCTACTACTACTCCCTATTTAACCTACTCTCTAGCTAAAGTAGTTTCTGAGATATCCATACAGAACAGAGAAAACTCACCCTGTATAAACATTTTAGTATAAAAATACTAAAAAATGGGGACACTATTCAGAAACACCCTGTATAGACTATAAATAAACTTAAAATCTTCAGATCGTGGGTTCCCGATTGTGGTAAAACAATTATTGCACCGAGACAAGAGCACGAAGGCTATTTTGAAGATATGGGCATATACACAAAATTCAGTGAGCTTAACGCCAAACAAGTAATAGCCATTTTTAGGTAAGTAGAGGAAATACCACTTATACAGGGTGTTTCAAAAAACATGTGCCATCTCTCGAGGGGAGATTCCTCACGCAAAAATAGGATTTATTTTTCATACCAACATAAGTCCGATTCTGCTTTGTTTCGTAGCTACAGGGTGTTAGTCTTAAAATTTTTTCGATTTATTATAATTTTCTTCCAAGTATTTTTAGTGATTCGAATGAAATTTTGAGACTTTAACACCCTTTAACTAGGAAACAAAGCAGAATCGCACCTATGTTGATATGAAAAATAACACTTATTTTTAAGTGAGGATTCTCCCCACGAGAGATGGCACATGTTTTTTGAAACACCCTGTATAGGGTATTGTATTCATGACGATGGTACGATAGACGTTTATGGAGAACCAGTGATTGATTTTTTTTGGAAAATTCGAATTTTTCATTACCATCTATTTAAAATATTTTCAGCGTTACAATGTTGCCGCGTCATGTTGACTTTCCTTAACCTATAAACCTTTCAGCTTTGAATATGCCGAATTTATGATTTAACCAATGCATATTCAAGATCATGTTTTTGTCATTTTACACGTTTTATTTATTATCTCGAAAAATATTAGAGATTGGTATAGATATATATAAACGCGGATTCTGAAGACTCATATACTTGGCAAACATTTTTTATTGACATAAACGACGGGGTCCGGCGATAGTGCGTGGTAGCACATATTAGGTATACTATAAGTATACAGATAAAAATCTTATTCCTAATTCGTGGTACGAAAATTGTTTCTTATGACGATTTGCAAACGAGTAAAATTTCCTGTGCGCAAAAATAAAATCGCGTAAAATAACAATAAACAGCGTAATAGAGAGATATCGCTAAACCGAATAGCGTGCATGAACGTTAATAAGGCCAGTTGTTATTTCCATTACGTGAGGTGGTATAAACTCTCTTCATTTATAGTTATCGGATCGGAAAGAATTCTGTTCGCATCGCGTCCGCTATTTAAACTAACCTAACTTTGAATTTAAAACTTTGAAATTGTTTTGTTTACTAGGTATTTTAAAACTAAAGGGCTACAGTGCTTATTTTCAGTGCTTTATTGTTCAACGTCTGCCAGTGGGTTTAGGACAACAAGCAACAAATTCTCTTAGAAGGGCATTGCTGTAAATCATTGTCATTGCTGTAAACTTAATCCTCTTTATAGGTGCTTTAATATTGGAAGAGGTGGAATCCATATTTTGGGCCATATTTATTTAATTAAAACTAATCCCGGCTACTTAAATATCAAATTAATTACCTAATAAAACTAAAGTAATAATTCAAAACAATTCAAACATAACCTAAAATAAAAGATCTGGCCGGCCGGCCCCTGTTGTCAAATACCCGCACATGCCCATTTAAGCAATTTTTAAACGTTATTTAGAAATAGCGCTTGGTGTAATTGATCCGCAAATTACGTCAGGCGGTAACGTTATTAGCGGGTATTGCGTTAAAAATTGACTCGCGCATATCGTAACCATGATAAGGTACGCGTAAATACTGCATGACGCTATTCGGTTTTCCGATATCTCTCTAATAACTGTGCCGGTCAGGCGCTGTGCACAATTTTAGAGGCCATAAGTAGGCGTGCTATGTGCGCAAACTAGTCACTAGTTCCCGATTCCGAAAATTGGAACCACGAAAAACAATAAAGAAAAAACAAAGATTATAATCTGTATAATCTGTGGTGGTAGTTTCTAAAATAAATAACTTTTGCCGGACGCACTATTGCCGGACCCTGTATACCAGTAACAAATGTTTGCCAAGTACACGAGTTGTCTGATCGCACTATAATAGAAAAATAATGAGCTATATGAAAGTAATTTCAAAAAATGTAATAATATACCGGGTGTCCCATTTAAAATAGCAAAGATGCTACCTTTTTTAGTATGAAGCGGCAACACTGTAATGCTGAAAATAATTTAGACAGATGGAGGACGCCAATTTTTATTGGTTTTCCTATAAGAATTTTAGCAAAACAACTTTTAGGGAGGTATTGTCACATCCAAACTACACTAACAGCCCATTTATGGAAACAATAGAATCAGAAACTATGAAATTTGACAGTATAGAACTGGATATGGATGAATTTTTGGCTAAAACAGAGCTTGAAATTACTAGTGCTGACAGTACTGACCCCGATAAGGAAACAGAAGTAAAAACAAGCTGATACATATTATTTTACTTTATAAAACTACTTTAGAAACTAATAAAAAAATGTACATACTAATATTTAATGGTTGTTTCGTCAAAGTATTTATTGTATTTTTTCCATTGATACCTCTTTTTAGGGTCTTTGTTACTCCTAGCAGGTGCCAAGTTTGGCATAAGGCCTAAAAAAATCATAAATCAAAAAAAAATTGTTCAGGTTAGAGCTCTTAGATCATACAGGGGAACCCAGTATTCCAAAAAGCTCCATATTTCAGATTTTTACTTCAATTTTTTTTGTAAATATTTTCTAGGGTTATTCACCTCATTCAACACAGCCTATTGTAGCTACACGAGTGTCTAACAATTTATTTTAAATAATTACTAACTTTATATATAAACAGCAATAACTTGTTTAATTTAAATGGAACACTCTGTATATTTTACGAGAATCAGATGCACAATTTAATTGTCTATCAAATTGTATTTTATCATTTTTTACCTATCTCTTTAAGTTTGCTTAGAAAATGTATTTTCTTATAATTTAAACCTCATTTATCAATGCAAACCACCGAATATTGACATTTTAGATTATTTTTAAAGATGTAAAAAATTTTTAAACAGCTAATTGCTACAAATACTAAAAAACTGAATTTTGTATGTATATTAGACAGTATGGTAAAAAGTAACACTTTATAAATTTTATTTAATTTTTCGATGAATGCTTATTTATAACAACAGAGACGTTCAGATTCATAACTTATTGATTTCTGATTCAAATTCACATTTATTTAGAATAATTAATTAACTTACACAATTAAGTAAAAATATGTACTTAAATAGAAACTCTGTATATTTCCTATTATTACCCGTATAGTTTACACACAAGATCAGAATGAAGATCTGAAATAAGAAACCTGGTATGGAGCTTATTCAGTACACTAGTCCACCCTGTATATACTTAAACGGAAGGCAATTATAAACCTACCTGCTTTTTGTGCCATTGTAACTAAGGAGGACATTCTTTTTTGTTGCTTATTGCATAGTCCGGTAATTCTTTTTGGCAACATACAGCCGTCTGACCTAACAAATTGGCTTAAAATAAGCACATCGGTATGTTTTATATTGAGACCGGAGGCGCAAACCGGACACTGCGTCGGATGGTCTTTCTTTAATAAATACGGTTCTCTGGGTGATGGAACTTCTACTCCATAAATAACCAGTTCTTTTTCATTTTGTACCTCTCGAACTTTTAGAGAAACTTTATTTAAAAAAATAATTTATTACCACCGGGATAACTTACTTTCTTTAACATTTAATGGTAGACATAATGATATATTTCTTCTCTCGACGTTCCAAACTGTCCTATTTATTAAATTTTGAAATATTTTCCCTGAAAAACTCATATTTTCTACAATTTTCCACAAAGAAATTTATAGGTTGGAGTTTGAAACATCTGTTCAATCTTCACTTTCAAGTTTTGGTGGCTTTGTGTCATTAGGGTATAAGAGGAACTTCGCATAGTCCTTACCCGAAGTTTGGTACTTAACTTACGCATATAATTTAATTTTTATAAGAACAAATTACCTTGTAAAAAGCTCGTTTTCGTCTTCTAATGTCCAGCCAGCTAGATAAAAGCTGGTTTTCGTAAGTTAAAGTTTTTACTCAACCATCCCTGGTCCTAACTACTTCTGTGGTCCTGACAGCTTAACGCCCTAAAAACGGAAAAGAAGAAGAAATATAGGTTATATTTGTTTATCAAATTTTACTGATTTATATTTTATGAAATTATTTTATAATTCTAAAATTGGAAAACTTATCAACCCTCAGTATGGAGGAAGACGGTGTGCACAGACTAGAAGGCACGATTGGAACCGAAAAGGGGGGTTTAATAATCAAGAAAAAGAAAGAGTCGACTTTTAAAATCCCTCAAGTTTCTTTACTCGGTTTGGATCGTTTAGCAGCAAAAAAACGCAAAGAAAAGGAAGATGCCGCTAGGAAGATGTCTTTTTCGATAGAGGAAGAGGACAGTCGCGACCCAGGACACGATAGTTCGAAAGAAACAAAAAAAAGCGGCAAAGAAGATCGTAAGTTTAGAACCCCGGCAGAGGAGACACCTACATACACTGGAGGTGTTAGTAAGGAGGCCAAAGAAAGACTGTTAGAAAGGGAAAAGGATAGATATAAGGAGAAAGGCGTTTATGCCTCAACTAAGGATAAAGACAAAGGTCATAGAGACTCCGACCATGATAGACACACCTATAAATATGATAGGAATCGCGATAGAAAAAGGGATAGAGATAGAGACAGAGATCGAGACAGGTACAGTGAACGATACGGAGAGTCTTCTAGAAGGGAAAGGACGCCCAAATTCAGAGATGAACCCAAAACACCAAACATCAAAGTAAAAGATGGGGTATCGAAAACATCCTGGGACGACGACGATGAACCCGTGCCTGCCAAAAAATCATCTTGGGATTTCCCCACTCCTACCCTTTACAAGAAGGAGGATGGTTCTTGGTCAGAAAGAAGCTCTAAATCTAGATACGGAGGTGAATCTTCAAGGTCCCATAGAGACTCGAAGAGTTGGAGGTATGATGATAGTGAAAGAGTGACACCTGCTCATAAATTCAATGCATGGGCGAGAGATAGAAAAAAGACTGGAGCTACACCAGGTATGGTTTTCTAATTCGATTTTTGAATGAGTATATTAAGAAATATACAGGGTGTCCGGAAATTAATGCAACAAAATTAGGTCATAGATTCTTGAAAAAAAAATTGACCCGTGTTTTTATTTTTGGCCAGTGGCCCCCCTTTTCGATTTACAGCCCCTAAAAAGAGTTTTTTTAATATCTCAGGGCTCTGTTGGACGAAAATCACTAAATTTGGTACACGTTGTTTTACCATAAAATGACATTTTTTGATGCTAATAACTTTTTTTTATTTTCATCAGTGGCGTCCCTACGGTATTCAAGTTAAATATTATTGAAGAAAAAAATGGTACGCCACTGTTTTTTTTTTTAATTATTTTTAAAATCTACATTTAATTTGGAACAAATTTGATCTCTTGACTTTTTTTGGTACGACGCACCGTTTTCGCGTAAAAAAATAAAAACCATTTTCATACATGAACAAATCGCTAAAATTTTAATGTAAATTTTCATAGCAAAATTTAAAAAACGGCAATTTAGGTTTTTGGACATTTTGGTTCGCACTTAGGTGATAAAAACGAGATTTTGGAAAATAACAAATTATTTTAAACATAAGTTTGCCGTTTTAAAAATTTTGCCATTGAAATTTACGGTAAAATTTTATATAGCGATTTAGTCACGTATGAAAATGGTTTTTATTTTTTTACGCGAAAACGGTGCGTCGTTGTACCAAAAAATAAGTCAAGAGACCAAATTTGTTCCAAATTTAATGTAGATTTTAAAAATAATTTTTATTTAAAAAAAAACAGTGGCGTACCATTTTTTCCTTCAATAATATTCAGTTTGAATACCGTAGAGACGCCACTGATGAAAATAAAAAAAGTTAATAGCATCAAAAAATGTCATTTTACGGTAAAACAACGTGTACCAAATTTAGTAATTTTCGTCCAACAGGGCCCTGAGATATTAGAAAAAAATCTTTTTAGGGGCGAAATTCAGGGGGTTGTAAATCCGAAAAGGGGGGCCACTCGAAAAAAATAAAAAAATACGGGTCACCTATTTTTTTCCAAGAATCTATGACCAAATTTTGCTGCATTAATTTCCGGACACCCTGTATAATACTCCGTGTCTTATGTGGTGAGCAACCCTGTATAGTTTTATTAAAAAATAGAAGGTTTTTACATTGAAAAATATGTCGATTTTACAAATAACAAAGTAAATTTTCAGTTGTTTATTATAACTTCTATAATTATTTATAGGTATTAATAAAGAAAATGACGAACAAAATCTTAAATGGGATAAGACAGTGGATAGGGAAGATTGGGAAGAAGAACAGAAAAGACTAGACAGAGAATGGTACAACATGGATGAAGGGTATGATGACGAGCACAACCCTTTCTCAAGTGTTAGTGAAGAATACACCAAGAAAAAAGAGGAACAGTTGGAACAAAGAAAGAAGAAAAGACTCAGTGCTCAACAAAGACAGATTAATAAAGATAATGAATTGTGGGAGAGAAACAGAATGCTTACATCAGGTTATAACATTTTGAAACTTCTCATTCTTATGATTTTATAATTATTATTTGTATATTATAGGCGTTGTGCATTCTGTTGATTATAATGAAGATTTTGACGAAGAATCTATTGACAGGGTACACTTGCTGGTTCATAACATTGTACCACCCTTTTTGGATGGTAGAATTGTTTTTACCAAACAGCCAGAACCTGTAGTACCTGTAAGGTAAAACTAAATAATAATTATAATACTAAATAGTAATATGTAATTATACATTTTTGTAGAGATCCCACTTCTGATATGGCCATGGTTGCCAGAAAGGGCTCCCACTTAGTTAAAGTCTTCAGAGAGCAGAAAGAGAGAAGAAAGGCGCAGAAGAAACACTGGGAACTGGGCGGAACAAAGTTAGGAAACATAATGGGTATAAAGAAGAAAGAGGATGAGGAAGACAAGAAGTATAACAAAGATGACGATTCAACTGACTACAAAACAGATCATAAATTCGCTGAACATATGAAAGGTTTGGGTTGTAATTATTTATATAAAAAATATTTATTGTTTATATTTAAGGCAGTAATGAGGCTTCAAGTGAGTTTGCCAAAAGAAAGTCTATCAGTGAGCAAAGAAGATATTTGCCTGCTTTTGCTGTGAGACAGGAATTGCTGAATGTTATTAGGGAAAATAATGTAGTTATAATTGTTGGTAAGTTACTATTTTTTTTGGCGCATTCACCATTTTGTCAACATTTTTTTTTGTTATTATTTATACACTAATATCTATAATATTTTCGTTTTAGTTTGGGCTAAAACACATTAAGTAAAAAGAGATACAACCTGTTTTCGATAAACACATTATTTTGCATTCCAGTGAAAATATAATTAAATTTAAATTAAATATAATAAACATTATATACAGTGTCCCCCATAAAGTAGGATCCTACGGACGTTTTTTTATATTAGAGTTTTAAAAAATCTTTTTGTGGCAATCACTTCTGCTTTGAAAACAACTTAAAATGCACCTAGTCAAAGTTGACAGCTAACATCTGGGAGCTGTCAAATACAAAATATTTAAAAGAAAATTTTAAAAATTGGTTAAATTATTATTATTTTAAAAAAGGTGACTAACAAAATTATGTTTCACCTTTGACTTGGTGCATTTTAAGTTGTTTTTAAAGCAGAATTGATTGCCACAAAAAGTTTTTTTAAACTCCAAAAAAAAACGTCTATATAGATCCAACTTTATGGCGAACACTGTATTTATTGAAGGGCTTCCCCGAAAAACGTTGTAACCGATATTTTTTTCAAAATAGAAAATTCAGTGAAATAAGGTTGTAATTTTCATAGGTATAACGTTTCTTCCTCGGTTTTCGAGAGAGAAAAAAATAATTTATAAAAAATTACCATTTTATTATTTAGATACATGTAAATATATTAAACTAAATTAATATTTTAAGCAGTAAAGTTTTTTCTTTAATTTGAGTATTTTTTTCGGTGAGTTTCTGAGTTTATTACGTTTGGTATTTAGTCAGGTAATTCTATGACACAAGGGCGATATTATAATATCGTCCTTATTAGTGTGTTGTTGGTTGCATATTAATTTACCGCAAGCTAATCTCCTCAACTACTGTCTAGGTGAAACTGGCAGTGGTAAAACAACTCAACTGACCCAGTATCTTCATGAAGAAGGTTACAGTAAATATGGAATGATTGGCTGCACTCAGCCTAGAAGAGTTGCAGCTATGTCAGTGGCTAAAAGAGTCAGTGACGAAATGGACAGAGCCTTGGGTGAAGAGGTGGGCTATGCCATTCGTTTTGAAGATTGCACATCGGAAAAAACCGTGATTAAATATATGACAGATGGTAAGTTTCGAATTTTCCTATTTTTTCACCCGTCGCCCAGTTTGGATTTTTTTCACTTAATTTTTACTACCCAAAACAGCGTTACAGCACACAAACTTCGTACGTGAGAATTTTACAGTGTTTCAATAACTAAGAAAGAGGTTCGAAGGCGAGTTCTCACTTGTCAGTTTCGCTGACGCAGTCTGACTGATTCAGTGATACTGAACAAATAATGAACGTCAGAACACATTTTCATATTAAATGATCAGTACATTCGTACTTTCAGTTAAAGTGAAAACCAGTTCTACTTTTTTTCATTTTTGACTGATCATTATCGAATAATGAATAGGAACTGAAGCGTGAGACCTACATTTTCGTGATTTGTTCAGTTTACAAGTTAAAGTTAATTAATTCTTTTAATAGTTTCACTAGCATCCCGTTTATTTCTTCGCAATATCCAGGACCTGACCCACCACCTACGACGTTTTCTTCTTTTCTGATTCACCAGAATATTCTTCGCGAACACCTGGTTTCAATTTTGTTTTAACCATTTTCATGTCTACGAAATCACCACGTTAAAATGTTTGGACCAACTGAATACTGAATGTAGCAAAACATGAAACGTGTGAATACAATCGTTGATTTTTATTTTTCATTGATAATGAATCAGGGTGCAGCCACACTATCCTAAAAACGGCGTATCGGCGTAACGACCTTGAATCGATTTCCAGTAATTCTATTGGCTGAAATTTTTGACAGATGAATTTGACAGATAAAATTTCTGACAGATGAATGTTTGAGCCAATAGAATTACTGGAAATCTATTCAAGGTCATTACGCCGTTACGCCGATACGCCGTTTTTAGGATAGTGTGGCTGCACCCTCAGTCAGACTGCGTCAGCGAAACTGACAAGTGAGAACCCGCCTTAAAGAAGGGATTTTTCGAAATTCCAGTTCCAAGGGGATGAAACCACCCCTCAAATATTACAATATTTTTTATTTAAAAAAACGGTCAAGTTTCCGAAAAAACGCTTAAACACGTGTATTTTGTATATTTTAAGATTTTTTAAAAATGTTTCGAAAAATCTGGTCATCGATTAATCACGATCCTGCTTAAAGCGCGAGACGTAAAAAGCTGATTTTTGGAAAACAACACTTTAGGGTGTAGAGGTTCGATAAGAATATATTAACCCCTCAAATATTAGAATATTTTTTATTTGCAAAACCGGTGAGTTTTTCGGAAAAACTCTTAAACACGTATATTTTATTTTGTTGTTTTACATATTTTAAGACTTTTTATAAATTTATACAGGGTGTTTCATAAAATATGACCATTGAGTAATCACGATTCTGCTTAAACTGCTTGACGTTTAAAGCTGATTTTTGGCAAACGGATTGACTATGGGGTGTAGAGGTTCGATAAGGAGGGGTTTCTCGAATCTCAAATTCCAAGAGGGTGAAAACGCCCCTCAAATATTACAATGTTTGTTATTTAAAAAACGGTTAGTCTTTCGGGAAAACGCTCGGACACGCATCATTTATTTTGTTTATTTACATTTTTTGAATTTTTTTAAAAAATCATACAGGGTGTTCCAAAAAGTTGAGTAATTGATTAACCACGATTCTGCTTAAACTGCTCGACGTTTAAAGCTTATTTTTGCACCATTACAAATGATTAATTCGACGCGAACGAAGTCGCGGGTGCCTCCTTCTTAGTGTATTTTTTATTCAATTCAATTCTTAGTTGCCTCCTTAGTGTATTTTTCTTCAATAATTTAACAGGTATCTTGCTGCGAGAAAGTCTCCGAGAACCCGACCTCGACCACTACAGCGCCGTCATCATGGACGAGGCTCACGAACGTTCGCTCAGCACCGACGTACTGTTCGGTCTTCTGCGCGAAATCGTTGCGCGCAGGCACGACCTCAAACTGATCGTCACTTCCGCCACGATGGACAGCGGCAAGTTCTCCATGTTTTTCGGAAACGTGCCCACATTTACCATTCCCGGTAGGACTTTCCCCGTGGAGGTGCTGTTTAGTAAGAATCCAGTGGAGGATTATGTGGATGCTGCTGTGAAACAGGCGTTGCAGATCCACTTGCAGCCCCCTTCGGGAGATATTCTGATTTTTATGCCCGGGCAGGAGGACATTGAGGTTACTTGCGAGGTGAGTTATACCGTGCTGGCAACTGTTACTTTTGGGTCGGTATTTACATGCGTGGAAGTAAATGGCATAGGGATCTTATTAAATCGGAATGAGAGAAATGCTATGGTGTGCTGTTGGGGCGTTACCTCATTTCTCCCTTTCCCTATCAAGTAAAGTAAAATCACGATCGCAAACCGCTTGTTTTTAATACTTTTTTTTCGAAAAGATAACTGGATAGATATTAGGGTGTCCAGTTTATTGTCTAAAAAAAATAACAGACCATTGTAAACCGTTTAAATTATATGGGAATTTGCCTCTTTTTGCAGATATTTTTTTTTCTCTCGATCTTGTTCTCTCGCCGCCATGACAATTACATATTCTTGTACAGAATTGAACGCTCTACAAAAAAGGTCTCTTACAATTTTTCGATTAACCTACTCCTTCAAAAGTTATTCACGGTAAAATTAACCACTCGGTAAATCCCTAAAGTTTCAACTTTTTTGAAAAAATGATGATTATTTTTGAAAAATTTAATCTGTTATTTGAAATAAAAGCAATTTTCATGATACCATGATGCAACAATTTTGAATAATGGAAAATAATTGAATGCATGACAGGTTGTTAATTCTAATGCTTATCATTTTTGAACTAATTTTAAGTAAGTTCGGTAAATTTCTGTTATTTTCCTAACATTTTATTTCTATTGAATTGACGATTTCAATTTATTTCTACAAACATTTTTGCCAACATACAAAAAAAATATCAAAAATATCAAAATCCAACTAATCCAACTTTTAAAAACCTAACCAAGAATGTATATTAAAATAAATCAGCTATACTTAAATGGTTTAAGCTTTATTAGACTTGAAGATTTCTTAATTCCCAACCTTAATACCATCAGAATTTTATATTTTTAAAGTAATAGATTAAATTTTTCAAAAATAATCATAATTTTGTTAAAAAAGTTGAAAACTTTAGGAATATACCGAGTGGTTAACTTTGACCGTGAATAACTTTCGAAGGAGCAGGTATGGAAAAATTGTAAGAGATATTTTTTGTAGAGCGTTCATTTCTGTACAAGAATATGTAATTGTTATGGCTGCGAGAGAACAAGATCGAGAGAAAATAATTATTTGCAAAAAGTGGCAAATTCCCATGTAATTTAAAATAATAGAGAAAAATCTGAAAATTGTACATTTGTAATTAAATCAAAAAATATAGTCCGACTCGCTCTTGTCCTTTTTTTTCTCTATTTTCTTGTTTTTTTTCCTTTAAGGTTTTAGCAGAGAGGCTGGGCGAAATCGACAACGCTCCAGAATTATCGATTTTACCCATTTATTCCCAGCTACCTTCCGACTTGCAAGCGAAAATCTTCCAAAGATCGCCGGAAGGTATAAGAAAATGCGTGGTAGCCACCAATATAGCAGAAACGTCCCTTACAGTGGACGGTATTATCTTCGTGATAGACTCGGGATACTGTAAACTAAAAGTTTACAATCCCAGAATTGGTATGGATGCTCTACAGGTTAGTATAATTATTGTTCAAGATCTCTTGGCCGCCAGACCTTACTTATTTCCTCACAGCTAAAATGTAACGGGATAATATAGTATAGTTCATATAAAAATATTAACTTTTGTCATTTTAACGTCATAAAAGGCATAAAAGTAAAGCACTGTTACGCCTAAGCGCAAAAATACAAAAATATATTATTAAACTGATATTAAGTGTCAAATTCAACGAGTGTACAAATTGTTGCTTGGTTACTGTTTGTACTATTTGCAATGTTTGAAATCGATTAAAAAATTATTTGTAATGTTTTAAAAGAAACAGTATGTTCTATTCGGAGTAAAAATGTACTTTTTGTGCCTCCCTGTAACGTCGGAATAGCTTTACGATGGTCCTTTAAAGGTACCGCGTCAAAAAAAGTATAAATTTTACTCCTAATAAAACAATACACTATTGTTCGGAAATAGTCTTAACTCGAGAATGAAATTAGTATGTATTATCTAATGTCAAAGTGTAAAGTACTTACTGCTTTTGTCACTTATACATAAATTTTAAAATAAATCCCTACATTCAGCGGTCTATGAGATTCACACGAAATTACTTCAAAAATCGGTCAAACATTTAAGTTGATGAATAGATATTTTTATATAGTTTTATAACATTTACAATTATTTTTCGATTTATTACCTGTTATATATATCTGTAATATTTTTTTCTAGTTTTCTAGGACACGTTTTTATAACTTTTACAGTTAATTTTTGATTTATTATAAAGTTAAAATAAAATTATTATTTTTTATTTAAATCACATGATTAAAATTAAAAAAAATGACTTGATTTAAATCATGCCAACCCTGCTACATCCTATATATTTTATTTGTGAGGAAATAAGTTGGCAGCCCTAAAATCTTGTTCTATTGATTTTTAGGGTTCCGTACCCAAAGGGTAAAAACGGGAAACCTATTACTAAGACTTCGCTGTCCGTCCGTCCGTCTGTCACAAAGCTCTATCTTATGAACAGTTATAGCTAAACAGTTGAAATTTTTGCAGAGATAATGTATCTATGTTGTCGCTATAAGAACAAATACTAAAAACAGAATTAAATAAATGTTTATAAATAAAAAAGTACTTTCACTAAACATAATCTTTTAAGTAAGAATTTTACATAAAATCTTTCAAGTCCTCGGTGGCCACGTGGTTAAAGCGTTAGGACTTTACGCTGCTATGACGTTGGAGCCGTAGTAAGGCAGGTTCGAATCCTAGTCAAGGCGACTTTTTTTAATAGTTTTTTTTTTAATTTTTACATATTTATTTTTACGTTTTACATATTTATTATTGATTAATACAATTTTTATAGTCTATAAAATGAATAACTTTGAATTTTGACCGTTATTTTTAACAACATGGCAAATATATTAAAATCCCTCTGCCAAAAAAGTTACTGATATTCTTTAAATTGAGTGCCTGAACGAATCAGATAGGTAACTCTTTTTACTTTCGTGAAATAGAAAAGGAAAATAATAAAACAAGTGACATTTTTTCCTCTTCTTGCGAAAATCAACACGAAATGTCATAATTGTCAAAAGTAAAATGTCATCAGCTTTTGATATTTCTAAATATCAGACCAATACCGTCTCTAATAGAACAGCCTCGGAGTGAGATTACGCTAGTTAGATACTACGGATTAATAAATATGTTGTAGAATACATGGAAAACATTATTCCTCGTATTTTTGGTTTGTATTTTAAAAATTATATAGTTTACATGAAATATACAGTTAATAAATACAATATATATATATATATATATATATAAATAGTTTGACAAATAAACTATGAACCATACAAATGCAGCAAATGTTTTACAATATACAAATAATGAATAGGTACATAAGATAATGGGTAAAATGATTTTAAATTTTGGTGTTTTTAAAATCGATCTAATTTAACAAAAAAATATTCAATATCTACTAATAGTGATGTATTATTATTTGTATTCATTAAAATTTATATGTATATTTTGCAAGTATCAATGTTCGAAAAATTATATTTGCAAATAATACAATATCATAGAAAAAATGCGTCAGCGATGGCTATGAAATAAAGATCGCTGTCATTTTATATGTAAAATTATTCTAAAATTTTTGATTTTCTTGGGATTTAGGTTCGGGAAAAACGCTGATTAAGTTTTTTATTATTTTTATTTGGTTTAAAAAAAAACGTTTCAGCTAACATTATAGCCTTCATCAGTGTTGTGTCGTATGAAAAAAAATAGTGTCGAATATAATCGAAAAAATTACATATAAAATATTCATGGCTGAAGTTGTACTCCATAAACCAAAACACTTTTATTTTTACACTGGACGCGCGTTTCATCGTACTCCATAGTCAATGTAGATAGTTTTAGTGTTAAGAATAATAAATTAAAAAAATATGTGGTCATCTTTTGACAAGTTTATATTAGTTTATTAATTTCAGTAAACATTATGTGGGTGTGTGGTGTGAATATTAGTATTATTAGTAGTATAGTATTATTAATAGTATCTAACTAGCGTGACGTCATAAATCTCGTTCCGAGACTGTTCTATTAGAGAGGGCATTGCGTCAGCATGGCCGCAAAATGCTAACCTAATAAAATTAACACTAGAAAAGCCCGCGGGAACTGTCAAATTCAAAGTTATTCGTTTCACAGACTATAGTAATGTGTTAAGGAAAAAATTTTTCTAATAATATAGTATCTAATGATGTATAGATAATGAATGGTACGGAACCCTTCGTGTGCGAGTCCGACTCGCACTTGACCAATTTTTTATCTGTTATTTTTAATCTGCTCCCCCCATATTACAATTCCAGATCTATCCTATATCGCAAGCCAACGCTAACCAAAGATCAGGTCGTGCGGGCCGTACAGGCCCTGGTCAAGCCTTCCGCCTGTACACCGAAAGACAATACAAGGACGAACTGCTAATAACCACCGTACCGGAAATACAGAGAACTAACCTGGCCAATACGGTACTCTTGCTCAAATCGCTAGGCGTTCAAGATTTATTACAGTTCCATTTCATGGATCCGCCACCTCAAGACAATATTTTGAATTCGCTGTATCAATTGTGGATTTTGGGAGCTTTGGATCATACAGGTACATTCAAAAAAAAAACCAAGTCCCTGTACAGGGTCCGGCAATAGTGCGTCGGGTCATCTATAGTTCGTAGAATAAAAAACTTGGGAATTTTGTATAAGTGTAAACCTAAAGAATGTACGAGGAAGTATTTCAGGAAAATATTTTGGCTTCTATAGAGTGGCTCAAAAAAGTGTGGGTGGATAGGGATGATTTTTTTAAATAGAACACCCTCTATATTATTGCATTATTGGCTTTCTTTCAGATCTTGGCTTTCTTTCAGAGTAAATAGATTTCGATATTGTCAGAGATTGAAATACTCTAAAAACGTCAACATTTGACGTTTCCAATATTTTACCAAACCGTTCCGTATCAAACCGATGTTTTTCAGGAACCGCTCTTTACCCAAGGACTGTATATAGTCTAAAGGACTGTTCGATCGCATAAAATCGCCGCTGTCGTAGTCGCCGTGGAATGCTACGTCACGTGCTGACCAGCGCTCCACAGTGCGGCGGATGGTTATTCTAGCGGGACAAAATCTCAAGAGCAATGTTTGGGACTTAAAATCTAAGAACGTAGCAAATGGTCTAATATATAGCAACTATATGGTTAAATTTATTTATTTATTAACAACTTAATTTATTAATAAATAAATACAAGATAATAAAACTATGATATTATTCGTACATGATACACAAAAACCGTATTGTAAACTATTGCCAAATACATAAAATTATGATATCAAAAAACTCTTTAGCAGTTTTTTTTAAATTAATTTGTAATCTTGTGACACCCTCTATAATTTATTTTAAAAAAATATATTTTATTTTGAAAATAATAAATAAGATAGATATTTTAATTTTAATTTTAACACTCGGTAATTGTAAATTCATATATTAAGTATCTAAGACAATTTTTTAAACTCAGTGCCTTTTGATGGAGTTGTTTTGTTTTTATACTATCCGATTGAAATGAATCTTTTTGGGCATTCACCTGTTAAGCTTGAACTCCCTGTGACTGCGACTACCTGTGTTGGTAACTATTGGTAACTCAAAAGATCTACATCATTCAATATATCGATATTTGAAAAAAAAGTGTAAGTTTGATATCTGCAGAACAAAGGCACGAAGGATTTTAACAAATAATATACATACAGTAGAAAAGTACATACCTTTGGCAATCTTCAACATAATTTGGCTTTCTAATAAAATGTATAAGCATTTGTAAATATTTTGTTTTCGTATGATCTCTGCCTTGCTGAGCAGAAAACGACCAAATTTGGTTGATAAAAATGTATCGAAATACAAAGAATATTCATGCATTTTTTATCAATTGGAATGTCTACTATTTATTCTTATCAGTACACATTTTTTGGCTTATTTCTAACCAAACGCTTTTGTCCCGCTAAATTTATCTTCCAACGCACTGTGCGCTCGTCCGTCAAATGCAAAAATAACTGTCACTGTCTAAAATCTTTAGCGCCAACTTCAACTCGGTCAGTAGATGACGTAAAAAAACTGACAGTGCAGGAAGATAGGAATCGAACTATCCTTATCTCTATAGTATCCTTGCTCTTTACCGTAGTTTACCTGTTTGGTTCGCCGGGTTTTGCAATGGAATACAGCCTAAAATTCCATAATGTATGTGTTTTTGTAGGTGTCCTAACCAAGTTGGGACGACAGATGGCCGAGTTCCCGTTGGACCCTCCCCAATGCCAAATGCTGATAGTGTCCACGCAAATGGGGTGTACCGCGGAAATTTTGATTATCGTTTCCATGTTGTCCGTCCCCTCCATATTCTACCGGCCAAAAGGTCGCGAAGAAGAAGCAGATGGAGTTAGAGAAAAATTTCAAGTAAGTTTCAATTCATAAAATGATAAAAAAATACCAACCAAAGAAGTATCATATCAAGTATAACCATTTAAACAAACATGATGACTACTACTAACGTCACTGAGACTTCAAAATTGTTAGGCGTCTATCGCAAAGTGCTAATTTTCAGCCATTTTCATTCAAGTAAATTATTTTTCGTTTCGTGTCAAGTAAATTATTTTTTGTCAGCTCGTTAAAAAATTATCATAAATCATTTTTCTCAAATGGAAACCCACTTTTTTATTTCACTAGTGAAAATGCTTTTCAATTCGTTACTTTATGACTATACATAAAATAAACCGTATGTAAGTTATTTAAGATTCAGTTATAAAGCGTATATTTTTATTGATTTTAACCAGTAGCCTATGACTTTAAACGTCATGTGATGTAAAACAATAGATCTGGTCATGTCATATTGTGACATTTTGTTCAAAAAGCAGTATGTTATCGATCATCATTTCCAAGCCAAGTTTGCGCTGTTTTTTTTTTTGATCATACGGTATATTAATAATATCAACTATTAGATATCACTAAAGAGCGAAAATACGAGATATATTTTTATAAATACACTTTTTAAACTCAAGCAGGCAGTATTTTTAACATAGGAAATTCAAATAATTCGTTTTCTGACAAGGAAGCTAGATAAAATCAAGAAAAATATACGTTTTCAAACTAAATCTAAAATAACTTTAAAACGATTTATTTTAGGCGTAGGAACATGTGTAGTTAAAAAGTAACAAAATGAAAAACCTTCTCACTAGCAAAATAAAAAAAAGTGGGCTTCCATTTGAAAAAAATGATTTATAATAATTTTTTAATCGCTCAATTCCATGACAGCTACCGCCATTATTATATGACATTTAAACAATTTAATTTTTGAAATAGATAGCCATATGTCTTCTCTTTATGTTACAGTGGGTGTGGTAGTCACTAAATTTGAATTTTAGGCTATACAAGTTTTTTTGACAGGTAGTTTTTTTCGTTCAAAAATTTTAAATATTTGTTTTATCAAAAACGGCCAATGTTAGATATAGAGTGTTTAATATCAAAATTTATAAAATTTTACAGAGAATTTAAGTATGTAATAAAAAATGGGGACACCCATTTAAAATAAGAAAGTTGCTGTCAACTTCCGGTATTTCCGAAAGTGCCGCCGCCATATTGAAAATATTTTTAATCAATAGATCTCGTTGTAAAACAATGATGTGCAAAAAATCTCCGATCTAGATATTGTGGTTCTCTAGAAACTTCTAATGCACGCTCAGCCTGGGACACCCTGTATACCCATTGGCTCGGCTTCACAGAGTGCAGTATGAAGTCGATATAGTTACTTTATAAATATGTGGGACTTTACCATATCTTTCTAATTTTTTCGTTACTGTCTGTCAAAATCTTATTCTCTCTCTCTGGATAAACTATAGCAAAAAAAATATTATGTTTAGGTACCTGAAAGCGATCATTTGACGTTTCTCAACGTCTACAACCAATGGAAACAGAACAACTATTCCTCGCACTGGTGCAACGAGCATTTCATTCACATAAAGGCTATGCGCAAAGTCAGAGAGGTCAGACAACAACTGAAGGATATTGTCGTCCAACAAAAACTGGAAATAAAATCCTGCGGTACGGACTGGGACATTGTCAGGAAATGTATCTGTTCCGCTTATTTCCATCAAGCAGCTCGTCTGAAAGGTATAGAAAAACATTTTATTTATTTATTCTATTTACCGCCTCAACAAAAAATACAATTTGAATAGATAATACAAAATAGTATGTATAAAATAATAGAAAATACAGAAATAATAGATTCCATAGCACAAAATAATAATAATGGCCAAGCACAGTATATCTGTATAAAAATCTTTATTCTATTATTTCATAGTGATTATTTTTATTTCATAGGTATTGGCGAATACGTAAACTGCCGTACAGGAATGCCGTGTCACTTACATCCCACATCAGCCCTATTCGGTCTAGGAAACACTCCAGATTACGTAGTTTACCATGAACTTGTAATGACAGCTCGTGAATACATGCAGTGTGTTACTTCAGTCGATGGACACTGGCTCGCCGAGTTGGGTCCAATGTTTTTCTCTCTAAAAGGTAAAAAATTACAATTGAGGGTTGGAACTTCTCGTTTTTTTTATCTGAAAAATAAAAAAAGTTATAGGGGTGAGCTACTTTTGAGACGCACCCGGTATATTCTATAACTTAAACACTTTAAATATGTTATTTTTTTTATAGAAACAGGAAAATCGGGTCGGGCTAAGAAAAAACAAGCCGCGGAACATTTGCTCGAGATGGAGAATCAGATGCAAGTGGCTCAGGAAGAGATGAAAGCTAGAAAAGAGGCTGCGGACAAAAAGGAAGCTGCTCTGAATAAAGGTCAAGAGATTATCAGCGCTGGGGCAACTCCTAGAAGAACTCCGGCAAGATTTGGGCTGTAAAAATCTATGATTTTCGTCATTTTAACTTGTAAAATATATATTAATATAAGAATTATTATACAAATACGTTTTAATTTTTTTCTTTTGGAGCCCCACACGTAAATACCAAGAAACACTACCCAACGTGAGGTATTCTATATGAAAACGTCCTAAAATTAAATTTTAACAGAAAAAAACAACTAACGGCCGAAATTACAAGATATACCTCAGAAGAATAATTCAAAATTTTATTCTATGAAAATAAAATTCTTTTCTGTAGCTTATAAATGGCCGATAAAATTAAGTATGTTCCGTTCGTGTTCCGTTAATTATTATCTATTCCGGGCAATATCTGTCCTTTTTTACCCGTACGAACCAAACAAGGTCAACAATATATTTTGACAGATGACTGACATTGACAGCTAAACAAGTTGGCGTGCTCGCGTTCTTTGGAATCTCCAGTAAATCGTGTTTCGTGAAGATTTATAAGTCTATGGGTGAAAGCCCCATAGCTTCAGATTGATTGTTCTAATTTTCGTGCTCAGAAATTTGAATTTCAAACAGTGGAAAACCATGGACGAATACAACGACGAAGGTAATTCGGCATCGGAAGCGGACAGTCAAGTCGACTTGGAAAACGAGGGCCCCGATGGCGAAATCGTGTTCGATGCCAAATTGGTGGCCGCTCAATCATCGATCAGCATTTACCAATGCAGCTTCTGCGGCTATCAAACCCCCTTTCGATACATTCTGAAGCGGCACTACGTAGGCTGCCAGCTGAAAAGCGGCCCCATAAGCCGCCTGTGGGAGTGTAATGTATGCAAACAAATTTTCACCCATCACAGCCATTTAAAACTGCATAAAAATAAAGCGCACTTTGCAGAAAGTTTCCGGTGCGACAATTGTTTGTTTCAAACTTCAGATAAAGATCGGTTCGAAGAGCACTTTGTCAATGGCCAGTGCGTCGAAGAGAAGGTGTACCAATGCGATAGGTGTCCTTTTAATAGTCCTGTTAGAATGAGGCTGATAAATCACGCAAAAACGCACAATCCTAATCGTCAGGGTTATATGAAAAAAGCGCATTTGTGTATTTACTGCAACCGGAAAGTTGGGAGTCACAAACTGTTTAAAAGGCACCTTATGGGACATACAGCAGTCGATAAGACTTACTGTTGTGAATATTGTGATTATACTACTCGACAGTCAACCCAGTTGGATGAACACAAGAAAGTACATCAAGATATGCAGGAAATGGTTATGTTAGAATGCAGCCGATGCAGTCTTACGTTTTTTAGTTTGACCGAACTGAAGGAACATTTTGCAAAAAAAATGTGTCCGACACGCGAGAGTGAAGGAAAAAATAAAAGGTACCTATTATAATATAATTATAGTATTTCTTAGATTGCAGAGTGAGCTAATGTTCTTAAAATGCTCCATATCAAGTGTCATATTACTCCAATTTATTTTATAAAATATATACAGGGTAAAAAGTTATAGGGGTGAGCCACTTTTGAAAGGCACGCAGTATATTTTTTTATAAGAAACATTTAAGTGAATATCTGAGAGAGAAAACCTGAAGTAAACGCTTTTTTTCTTTTTAGATTACATTATAAGAGAGGCAGGCCAGGAAAAACACCCAAAGGTGAAGAAGGTTTAGTGTTCACTTGTCACTTGTGTCCTTACGCAGGCAGGCACCTGTATGACTTGACCAGACATTGCCGAGTAGTACACAGAGTGAACATATTCAAGAGAAGGAAATTGTCAGTCTTGGGCGAAGAAAAAGGTTATTCTTGTACCCGATGCAATTTTATCAGCAAATATTTCAGTAATTTGTGTAGACACATAAAAACCGTGCACTGTTTGGGCAGTAGCGGTTTGCCTACATTGACCAAACATTCAGCTATCGAGGAAAAATACCTGTTTAAGAATGATTCCACTTACGTGTGCCACGAGTGTTCCTTGATTATAATGGACGAGTATCATCTGGCTTACCATAAATTTTTAGAGCATGGGTAAGTAATCTACATAATATAAAATGCTAATGTTTATCTGTGTCGTCTCTACTGAAGTAACGACTTGCTCTAGAAAGTTGCTTTTTTTACTAAAAGATAGTTAATTGGCTCTTCTAAAAACTGTCGCCGCCGGATTTTTTGTTTTTCATTTAATTAAAAAAAATAAAAAGTATTTTTTTTCCTGATGTTGTGGCGGATGCGCCAGGCTTCAACTAGTATAATATAAATGGTATCGTTATCGTTAGGGAATGCAATCCCGCAAATGCGGGATCCCTCTGTGATTCCGCGGGATCGAATTTGCGGGATTTACCGTGCGGGATCGACACCAGGGGATTCCCCTTACGGCTTCGCGATTAAAAATAAGTGAAACAAACAGGTTAGTTATTAGATTTCTTTCTGGCGTGCGTAAGTGAAGAAAAGCGTTTATTCTTGTACTTGTGGACAATTTCGTCAAATAAACTGCCGGACATAATTATCGGGACAACAAAATTTTAGGGTAAATTTAAAGTTGAATATCTCTTGAACTAAAAAAGATTTTGGGATGCGGTTTGGACCAGGTTTTAGATGCATCTATTGTGATTAAGATACTATGTGATTTTCGAAAATATATTTAGCGAATTCTCGTATACAGTGTGTTTTATAAGAGTATGAAAATTTGGTCAAGAATCTTTTTTACCGCAAATTTACAGTTTTTAAAAAATCGAAATTTTTACCAAGTATGACTAATTTGTATTGAAATTATTACGAATTATATTGAAATACGACGTTTTTTCCTAAAATGGACCTAAATGGCACAAAAAGCTTTGTACATTCTGCATATGCCAAAAAATTATTGATATAGAGTGTATCTAAAAGCAGATAACTAACACAAATTGAAAAAAAAACATTCAACATCAGAATAATATTTTTATTTATAAAATAAATAGATAAATTATAAATAAAATTTAAGTTTATTTAATATTAACTTTTGTCCCACTTAGGACCAAATGTATGACTATAAATGCATATTTTTCGAAAAAACTCGTATTTTCCTTAAAACAAAAAATTAAAAAAAAGACCAAATTCTTTTTTCTAATTTCAATACAGATTAGTCGTACATAGTTAAAATTTTGATTTTTCAAAAATTGTAAATTTTCAGTAGAAAAAGTTCTTGACCAAAATTATAAAACACTCTGTATACGAGAATTCGCTAAATATATTTTCGCAAACCACATAGCATCTTAATCACAATAGATGCATCTAAAACCTGGTCCAAACCGCATCCCAAAATCGGAGAGAGAAAAGAAGAGCATTTATAGTTTACAATCCCGCAATTTTGCGGATCCGCGGGATTGATTGCTTTAATCCCGCGGGTTTGCGGGATTGAGATTTTGGTGCGGGATTGCATTCCCTAGTTATCGTTGTGTAATTTTAGGGTGTGATCTAAACAATCTCAACTACTATAGTCTGTATAAAAACAATAAAGCAAATTGTGTGTGTGTAAATCCAACGCTTACAAATTTTGAATGATCTCACTCTAGTGAGATAAGGAGGGGAGGGGATGTAGAGAAATCTCATCACATCAAACACATCTCACCAGTGGCGGAGGGGGTTAAAAAGATCCTCAAAACCGCCTCTCGTAATTTATGAACGCCCCCAAGCAATATACAGGGTGGTCCGAATTGCATTCCGGACACTTCGGCAGCATATTCTGCAGATAAAAATAAGTAAAAAAGTTCGTATAATTGTATGTCCTAAAATGCTTAGTTTCGGAGATACAGGGTGTAGAAGTTTCATTTTTATTTCGATTTTTTCCAAATAATTTTTGAAGTAACGTCAATGTTTCGTTGAAAATTGGTGTCTGGGAGTTTTTCGACATGAGAAATTTGATTTTGATGTCAATAAGACTCCTACTAGTAGAGGGTGCCACCTACATATTTTTTAACTGGTTTGAAGAGTAATAACTTTTCGTCTGTACCTGTATAAAACTACTGAGTGAAAAAATATACTTTTCTGTGACTTTTTACGTAAAAAATGTCTCTTGGTAAAAATCGCTACGAGAAATGGTTCTCGAGATATTTGCAACGGAGATCATCAATAAAGTAAACGCCACGAATGTTTGGGAGTGATTCATCGCTTGATGAAGTTAGAATCGACACGCGCGCTATCATTTTTGCATTAAAAACGTAAATTTTTACCGCAGACGTAGGTTTTTAAAGGCCCGGTCTAATCATCTGCCTGCGCTCCTCCTACTTATTCTAAAATGTTAGCGTGATTGACAAAGACGATACTATATCGCGTTTCTTTGATTCGTTTTTGTGCGTCAGTCCATTGGTGTGCTCGCAGTGCGACCAATGGGGCATTCCATTTTATATTTATAACCAAATATATGTTTTAACAAGACTTTGACAGTTAAAACAACAAATTACAACAGATTATATATTGATTATTATAATGACTTGAAACACCACGGCACTGGAATTTAAGTTTTATGTGACCTTGAACAGATTAGTTCACATGGTAGCGACCTTTGAATAAGAAGACTAAGGAAGGAGCATAATGCTATCCATGTATTCATGCATGGTGGGCGGAAAAGCCACCATAAAAGCTCTCTAGGATGGGGATCCTTGACAGTTCTGTTTGACGATTCATTTGACACATTTGAATTTGATTTGAAATTTTGTGGATTTGTTAGTCTTTACGGAGCTTATTTTATGTTATTTATTATTTATTCTACTACTGATAGTTGTATAAAGGTAGTAAATCTAGATGGAAATTGTGGCAGAACTTAAATTAACTGTGTCACTATCGCAATTTATCGAAAAAGACTCTAAAATAGTTGGTTGTGTAGCCTGCGGTAGATCTCGGCAAAAATTGAGTGAAATAATGGAACAACTTTTCGCTAGTAAGTGCCTATATAGTATACATACGTGTAGTAAACCGATCATTTATGAAATTCAGTTAAATTAACTAAATTATATATTTTTCTTGCATTTTAGCTTTTATTTATTACTTGTCAAAGATTAGATGTCAAAGAATTTAGATACGTTAATTTAACTTACCTGCTTCAGTAGCGTATCGGATGTTTGTGTTAATAAATACTTATTATAACTTATCTATTTTTATTAGAATTATATATTTTTATAACAATTTTAATAACTACCAACATTTATTCACAACGTAAAATAAAACAAAAAATTATTGAGTCTACCCCACGTCTACCCTACATCATAGTTTTACATTTTTTAAATAAAATTAGAACGACACTGATAAACCGGAATTTAAGTCGGCCATATTTGAGGCCCATCGCGGTGTACCTAAGATTTTTGATATGCTCCTTCCTTAGTCTTCTTATTCAAAGGTAGCGACCGATAAATCAGTCCCAAACATTCGTGACGTTTACTATACCTGTCATCATTGACATAAATTAAACAGTTTGAAAAATTTATAATTATTTCATTAAATTTCAAAAAATAAAAATTTCCCGAATTTATTATTTCAGTCAAATAACTCAACGTGTTTATTTTTTGTCAATAATGACATGTATTGACTATTTCCATTTTATATATCTTCAGAACGGTTGCTCGTAGCGATTTTTACCAAGAGATATTTTTTACGTAAAAATTCACGGAAATGTATATTTTTTTACTCAGTAGATTTATACAGGTACGGACGAAAAGTTATTACTTTTCAAACAATTAAAACACATGTAGGTGGCGCCCCCTATAAATAGGAGTCATATTGACATCAAAATCAAATTTCCCATGTCAAAAACCTCCCAGACACCTATTTTCATCCAAATATTGACGTTAATTCAAAAATTATTTGGAAAAAAACCTAAATAAATTTATTAATTTTCTCCGAAACTAAGCATTTTAGGACATACGATTTATACAAACTTTTTTACTTATTTTTATCTGCAGAATATACTGCCGAAGTTTCCGGAATACAGTTCGGGCCACCCTGTATATTGTTTCCTATATTTCTCATTTTGTTTCAGACTGAAAGACGATCTGTTCAAGTGGTGTCTTCAGTGTTCCCAATGTGATTACAACACTGTCAGTATAAAAGTGTGCTTCAACCATGGCAAAACGCACGTGAAAACGAAAGGGTCCGCGCCCGTTGGGTTTGTGAAAACTTGCGAGGGGGAATACAAAGGCAATTTTTGTATAGACTACAACAAAAATAAGATATTCATCAACAATCAAATATCCGACAGTGAAGACCAGGCATGGTTAGACGCCGAGGAAAATGGAGGCCATGAAACCATTGGTAAGTAAACGACCCCGCTTCAATCTATACTTAGGTGTTCGTTGAGTTAAACCACAAACAACTTCATTTGACAGTTATCTTTTACATTGACTGGTGCTCATAAGTAAATACAGGGCCATAAGAAAGGAGAAATATTTAAAAAGAAATCGGCGATAACTCGTAAATGGGCTAATCAAAAATATTTAAAGTTATTCTTTTGAATGTGGATTTTAGTGCTCTTCAATAAACCTAAATAGAATTATTCTCTAAAATAATTAGGGAAGCCAATAATTGACCTCATTAAAATTTTCATGAGATTTCCTATGTCCCGCTCGACGATGCAACATCCGGTATAGACTTTAGTGTCAATGTTGATATGATTGATAACGTGCATCGGAAAATGTTTTGCAATTACAATATTATAAAAATTATACTTTAAAATTCGTTTTGATAATAATCATTTGATAATATGATTGGCGTTATAACAATATTTTTTGAGAATTTGACAATAGTATGACAGTGTAGGTTGGGAACTGCAAAAAATTCTGATTTAACGCCATCTGGCAATAACTAGTAGCAACTTCTTAACCTAAAAAATAATTGCACTACCACCTAGTGACTAGAGCTGGAACTATTTTATTTGAAATTTTCGTGGAACCTAACCTAACCTAACACAATTTGTTATTTTAATACATGTTTTCATTATCTTTCAGAATTCAACGGGAAAATCGACATCATGAGCTTTCTGGAGGACAAAAACATGGAAAACGAAGAAGAACTGGAGAGGTTGAGCAACATAATCGATTGGCATGTCACGGAAGTTGACGAGCTGAACGATCCGGAAGAAGCGCAGAACCGGGGATTCACCGACGAACCCGATGACATCCTACAGTTTTACGAGGACGATGACGAGCAAGAAGTAAGAGACAACGGAGGAGAAGATTTCGAAGAAATCGTAGAAGAATTCGACGAAGTCGCGGAAGAATTACAAGGAATCCAAGAAGAACTGCATGAAATTATTGAAGAAGAAGAAGAAAACGAAGAACCACCTCAAGAAATTCAAGTAACAGCATCCAAATCTCCCCAAACTCTCACCACAGATCAGGAGGTGATTACTATCGAAATCCTCGACGACGAAAACAGCACAGATCAGTTAATTGAGTATCTGGAAGGAGGAGGAGATGAGACCCCTCAATCGAAAGAAATAGATTATGGTTTTGTAAAAATTGAAAACCCCGCTTCGGAAGATGAAAATGAAGAAAGAGACGAAGCTGTCGAAGCGCAAGATAATACCAACACCTACAATTGCTCCAAATGTTCCTCAAACGTCGATGATTTCGCATACTTACTGCCCCACGTAAACAGTCACGCCATAGAAGACAACGACCCCGACCTAGAAGTGACGTTTTACGAGATCAGAAACGGAAAGTACACGGCGGAGTATACAATACAACCCGATTGCTTCAGGGACGCCGCTCTGGACGAAGAGGAACAGCTAGATAGTTCGGGGAGTGTCCGAAATCGGATCAACACCTACCAATGCCAGCTGTGCAAGAAGGACTTGCCGAGAAGGAAAGTCGACGAACACGCTTACCTTCACGCGGAGAAGCTCGGCGATCCCAACCTGGAAGTAGCTTTTTCTCAGTTCAGGCAGAACAAGTTCGTTTGTATTTACAAGCTGAAAGCCCCGTCTAACCCTGGAGAGAAGTTTTACCAGCTAGGCGAGCCGTCGTACAAGTGTCAGATGTGCGGCATCATTACTTACATCAGAAAAACGTTACAATCGCACACGAACTTCCACGCTAGAGAAGAAAAAACCCCGAACCTGGCAGTGTCCTATTCGGAGTTCAGAAACGACCAGAAAGTGGCTACTATGATTATCAAAGCCGACCAGGACGGTGCAAGCCAGTCCAGTAAAAGAGACAGAAGTCCTAGTCCTGTAAGGGAGTATGACCCTGAATTGCAAGTGTTCAATTGCATTTCGTGTAATTTCAAGACTAACTACCAGGCGGCGCTGAAGAAGCACAATAATCTTCACTGGAATTCGGTGAAGGACAAGGACTACAAAGCGAGACGATGGTATTCTTGTAGTATGTGTTTCTTTCATTGTTTCGATGTTGAAACGTTGAAGGAACACTCGGCGAAGCATAAGAAAAGGCCAAAGTTCACCAGCGAGTTGATTTATGTCGGTAAAGACAGTTGGTTTGTCAAATAGTCGTTTGTATGTATTTACTAGGGTGTCCGTTATTTACCTTAGTTTATTGTCTAAAAAAAATAAGAGACCATTGTAAACCCTTAATATTCACCTTAAACCTTGTCCCAAAGACGAAAGATTTCCCATTTAAATTAGGTACATGGTAATTGGCAAATATTTTTTGTTCTCTCGATCTTGTTCTCTCGCAGCCATGACAATCACATATTCTTGTACAGAATTGAACGCTCTACAAAAAAGGTCTCCCACAATTTTTCGATAAACCTACTCCTTCAAAAGTTATTCACGGTTAAATTTAACCACTCGGTAAATTCCTAAAGTTTTCAACTTATTTGACAAAATTCTGATAATTTTTGAAAAATTTAATCTATTACTGTAAAAATATATAATTCTGATGGTGTTAAGGTTGGGAATTAAGAAATCTTCAAGTCTAATGAAGTTTAAACCATTTAAGTATAGCTGATTTGTTTTAAAAAACATTCTTGGTTAGGTTTTTAAAAAATCTATCATGCATTCAATTTTATTGTTCTCCATATTTCAAAATTGTTTATCGTGGCATCATGAAAATTGCTTTTTTTTAAATAATAGATTAAATTTTTCAAAAATAATCATAAATTTTTCAAAAACCGAGTGGTTAACTTTAGCCGTGAATAACTTTTGAAGGAGTAGGTTTATCGAAAAAATGTAAGAGACCTTTTTTATAGAGCGTTCAATTCTGTACAAGAATGTGTGATTGTCATGGCTGCGAGAGAACAAGATCGAAAGAAAAAAAATATTTGCAAAAAGAGGCAAATTCCCATATAATTTAAACGGGAAATTAATCGTCTCTGGGGCAAGGTTTAATGTGAATATTAAGGGTTTACAATGGTCTTGTTATTTTTTTAAGACAATAACCTAAAAATTTAGAGGGCGCCGTGAGAGAAATAATCGACTTGGTAAATAACGTACACCCTAGTATTTATATAGATTTGTATCCTTAAAAATAAATGGTTATGTATAAAATACGATAGAAAATCTATTTGTTTCAGTTTCCTTTTATCTAGACCTATGCTACAATAATTATATGGTTTGATTAGAAATAAATAAATTTAAATTTGTTACAAGAAACGTAATACTTGCCTTATTTAGCCCCATTTGCACATACCGTACGTTTTGTCTGATTAAAAAAAGATTTAAATCTTTTTTAATGACTTAATTTTTTTCTAAAAAGACTTATATGACTTAAAATCAAATGATTTAAGTCATTAAAATGATTTAAGTCAAAAAAAGACTTGAGTTTTCTGTGAGCTTGTTAACTATCATAACTCTCAATGTTTGATTGAGAATCTACCGCACGCTGCACAACTAACTACGAGCCCTAACAACTAAATGTTCGGACAAACTAAAATATATTAAAAATTCTTATTTTCTTTAAATGAATTATTTACATTTAAGAAATACATTAAAAATATATTAAGCGTTTTCCCGAAAGACTAACCGTTTTTTAAATAACAAATATTGTAATATTTGAGGGGCGTTTTCACCCTCTTGAAATTTAAGATTCCAGAAACCCCTCCCTCTACACCCCACAGTCAATCCGTTTGCCAAAAATCAGCCTTAAACGTCAAGCTGTTTAAGCAGAATCGTGATTACTCAATGGTCAGTCATATTTTATGAAACACCTTGTATAAATTTATAAAAAATCTTAAAATATGTAAAACAACATAATAAAATATACGTGTTTAAGAGTTTTTTCGAAAAACTCACCAGTTTTTAAATAAAAAATATTTTAATATTTGAGGGATAGTTTCACCCCCTCAGAATTCGAGTTTCGAAAAATCCCTTCTTATCGAACCTCTACACCCTAAAGTCAATCTGTTTTCCAAAAATCAGCTTTTTACGTCAAGCGCTTTAAGCAGGATTGTGATTAATCAATGACCAGATTTTTCGAAACACCCTGTATACATTTTAAAAAATCTTAAAATATGTAAAAAAACAATAAAATATATACGTGTTTAAGCGTTTTTCGGAAACTTGCCCGTTTTTAAATAAAAAATATTGTAATATTTGAGAGGTGGTTTCACCCTCTTGGAACTGGAATTTCGAATCAACCTGTATGCCAAAATTGAGCTTCTTACGTTGAGTGGTTTGAGCAGGATCGTGATTAATCAGTACGTCAGTCACTTAAGGATTTTATATATTAGTATAGATGTCAAAATTATCAAAAAAAAACACTGTTTTATTTCATAAATAGACTTTTTATTAAATAAAATATAAAAATAGAAAACAGCAAAAATTAAGCAAAAAACGAATCATTATTAAAGTAAAGTTTTAAGCTTAGCCTGATAGAATTCATAAGTTCGACCTTCAAATGTCCGTTTGGTTGAAATGAAGTCTTTCATTGGCATTTCAGTCCACAGTTCCATGCATTGCTCGGTCATATTACCTACAGCCAAAGTTTTGGCAGCTTTTGTAGAGTACATTATCGATTTTAGACGTTCCACGGCGTAGACTAGGTAGCTTTCTTCTTTGCGTAGGTCATCGAAAGAGTCTATAACAACGATGATCGGGTGAACCCTTTAGCTGTGACCTGTGACATCACCAAATACGCATGCAACTAACCTTATTCATTTTTACTAATAATTTGGTCGCTAACTAATGCTGGGTTCATACTTCGAGTCCTAACCTTACCCTTAACAATAACCCTACTATACTTCTCCTACTTGTCTGTACGGATGTTTTGAATTATTATCATCTTATCCGATAGTCAAGCAGCATTAAAAGCGATCCACTCAGTAACCATCAATTCGAAGTTGGTTAAAGAATGTCTAGAGAGCTGAACAAATTAGGCAAAGAAAATAATTAATAATTTAATAATTTTTCAACAAGATTTCGGTATGGCAATGGGATCACCTCTCTCTCCTTTGTTAAGTAATATTTTTATGGAAGATTTTGAAAATAATACTGTTGCGGACCCGTGTGGACTCGACCTAACTTAACTATGTATGTCCCGCCCTCAGATGACCTTAACATCGCATTAAAGAATAGACAGCGTAATGATTCATTCGAACGTTCGAGAAAAAACGAGTTCCACTGGAATGGAGTAGTACATACGAGAACATTCGAAACCTTCTCTATGCACCTAACGATCTATGGACTATTCGAGACATCTTTAGCTGTGGGTATAAAAGCCGGCGCGGGGCTCGGGCCTAAAGGGGACAGATATAAATATACAAGTACAGTTGACGCGCTAAATTCAAAATAAATTCTTTCTGGATAAATAGTATAAGTGTAAAAAAAGGTGTTATAAAAAGTTTATATGATAGAGCAAAAATAATATGTTCAGACGACATTTCACTAAACAGAGATATAAACCACATAAAAAATACATTAATAAAAAAGGACTATCCACCATATTTTATTGAAAAAACATTAAACGAAATACAAACCCCAAATCATAGACACAATGATAACAATACACAATATATACAACTTACAATTCCATACATACGAGGCGTTTCGAAAAACAATATAACATACAAACATCTTTCAAAACACAAAATACGCTTGGATCCATTTTATCACATACTAAACCAATGAATACAGAACAACAAACAAAAAATGTAATATACCAAATACCGTGCGAATGCGATAAATTTTACATTAAATGTTCCAATTAAAGAACATAAAGATTATTTAAGAAAGGGAGATTTTCACAAATCTAAGATTTGGCAGCATTCATGAGACACAGGGCACAGAATAAATTTTAATAACGCCAAAGTTAAAGCCAAAAGAAGCGATAACCTCTAAAAGAAAAATAAAAAAGGCTTTTTTAATACAATCTAATAAAAATAAATGTATTGCTCATGCATCTGTAGATGTTAGTAATGTATGGCAATCGCTTCTTTGATTTTAAAGAACATAACATAAATAAACATAACATACGTAAAAATTAAAAATAATCATACAGAAAGTTTGGGGCTTTTTGGTTTTACCTTATTAAGTAATTGTTATCAGGTAGTAATTGTTAATTTTGTAGTGTAACTTGATATAATGTCATTTTAACAGAACGTGAACGGTTTTTGTAGACGTATCTGTTTTAAAAAACTAAAGTGTTATCGAATAGTTGAATTTAAATATTTTAATATTTTCTTTAATCTTTAATTATTACTAATTATTATTTTTGTATATCTTTAAACCTAACTTCTGATAAAAAACGCTTATTGCGAAAATTTTCTACATTAGTAATGCGTTGAGTTACAATGTAATATGAAAGAAACCGAAAAAAATGGCGTCCAGTTGGCTTGGAAATGACGATCGATGACATTTCCCATATAATTTTACATATAAAATGATAGCGATCGTCATTTCATAGCCATCGCTGACGCCGTTTTTATTCGATCATACGGTATGATTTTGTCTGTGATAGGCAACGCCACGCCTTTTTGCCTACATTATATGCACGCCACTGTCTGTTAACAGAAAAAAATACTGAAAATTCTATCTACTTATGAATTAAAATACCAGACATGCTAAAAATATGATAAACAAACTTACAGTTTCTATGAGGTATGTGGACATTGCGATTTTGCAATGTTCTCAAGATTTCCAGTTTCTTTTTGGCTTTGATGATGTTCAACAGGACAGTTTCGGGAGGACTGAACGGACTTTCCAGAATTTCGCACAACATTTGCAAGTGTTCCGGTTCCATATTGCTGTCTTCTGGATAGTTATCAATGCATAAATCTCTGTAAAACGTTTTACCATCTCTAAAAGATGAAAAACATATTTTAGACCAATGTTTTGCGGAACATTAATTTTTTCTTTAAATTTTTAATATCACTATTATCTGGGAAAGCCCAAGCGTATAACCCGTAGAGCAGTAATAATCTGGGTCAGGGAAAATCAAACTATCTATACTCTGTTTTTTTTTTCTCAGGTAAGATTTCGACAGACGAAGACAGAAAAAAAGCAGATTACGTCTATATCAAGCCATTTATTTCGCTAAAAAAAATTTCTAATATTTTTTAAGTTAACTAGGGATGGGTTCATATATAAATCCGTAATGCGTCATCTCTTGTTGTTTTTAACCAGTTTTATTGGTTGATTTCAAAAATGACAGATCCTATTTCAATATTATTGGTTTGACGGAACGATGAACGACAAACGGACGCCGCACAATGGGGTACTTGACACAGATTGTTGATCGAAATTTTTTTATGTAGACCTTATATAAATTATTGCTATTTTCAATTAAAGAGGAAATAAAATGAACAAAATAAAGGATAATTCGTCGATTCTAAAAAAAGAAAGAAAAATCACTGTTCCAGTGTTTCCACGGTCAATGCCAGTAGTAATATCGCAACTATTACTACTAATGCTACGACTTGATCCGAGCAATGCCCATACCACTAAAGTCGCTACTAATGCCAAATTATTGCTATACTGCTAATGGCACTAATGCGATCGCTTTGTACACAACAATGCCATCGCGGTTTACACCTCGCATTAGTATATCACTGATTGGCAAATTAGAGAAAACCAAGAATGTTTTTCTCATTTTATCAGCAAAGTCGCAAAAAGTCGCAGTATTTTATTTTACTGTATGAGAGCCCAATGTTTACTAAGTAAAACGTATATAGACAATATGCTGAATTCTTCAAAATGCGCAACTAAATCTCTAAGTATAATAAAAATGTCACAAATTTAATCAAATTTTCTGAACGCCTAACTTTTAGTTGCGAAAAAAATCGTTAGTATAGAGAATATCAAAATAAATAATACGTTTTTGTAGAATACATACCTGCAGCTTGCTGAGCCATTTTCAATTAAAACAATAATATAAACGTAAAAAGAGCACAAGAACAACAACAATTTATAATTTTAAACATAAAATTTAGCCATTTACCTCTTATCTGTGAGAAGTAACAACTTTGACGTTTCGTTGAAACAAATGAATGCAACTAAACACACCCATAGCAACGCCATTCATGGCAGACATGATTTAACTTATCATTTATCTTTTTTTGGCAAATCTTAAAACACATTTGCCTTTTCGAATTTCGATCACCTTTTTCATGCTAATACCCCACCGTGCGCCGATGCGTATGAACTCGACTTTTTGAGAGTTGAAGATTTTTGAGAGTTGTCAAATTATCTATACTAATATAAAATCCTTAAGTGACTGACTCACTGATTAATCATGATCCTGCTCAAACCACTCAACATAAGAAGCTCAATTTTGGCATACAGGTCGATTCTAGGGTGTAGAGGTTCGATAAGAAGGGATTTTTCGAAATTCCAGTTCCAAGGGGGTGAAACCACCTCTCTAATATTACAATATTTTTTATTTAAAAAACGGTCAAGTTTCCGAAAAAACGCTTAAACACGTATATTTTATTTTGTTTTTTACATATTTCAAGATTTTTTAAAAATATATACAGGTCTCGAAAAGTCTGGTCATTGATTAATCACGATCCTGCTTAAAGCGCTTGACGTAAAAAGCTGATTTTTGGAAAACGGATTGACTTTAGGGTGTAGAGGTTCGATAAGAAGGGATTTTTCGAAACTCGAATTCTAAGGGGGTGAAACCACCCTTCAAATATTAGAATATTTTTTATTTAAATACCGGTGAGTTTTTCGGAAAAACTCTTAAACATGTATATTTTATTTTGTTGTTTTATATTTTATGATTTTTAAAAAAATTATACAGGGTGTTTCATAAAATATGAGCATTGAGTAATCACGATTTTGCTTAAACTGCTTGATGTTTAAAGGTGATTTTTGGCAAACGGATTGACTGTGGGGTGTAGAGGTTCCATAAGGAGGGGTTTCTCGAATCTCAAATTCCAAGAGGGTGAAAACGCCTCTCAAATATTACAATATTTGTTATTTAAAAAACGGGTAAATTGTAAAACGGTTAGTGTTTCGGGAAAACGCATGGACACGCATAATTTATTTTGTTTTTTACGTGTTTTGAAATTTTTTAAAAAATTATACAGGGTATTCCAAAAAGTTGGGTAATTTCTTAACCACGATTCTGCTTAAATTGCTTGACGTAAAAAGCTTATTTTTGGCAAACGGATTTTTCGAAAGTCAAATTCCAACGAGATGAAACTACCCCTCAAATATTACTAAGTTATATAATAATATCGTCATATTGTTTTTTTTCATGCTGACATAAATGTGAGAAAATTTTATCCAGTTTGAATGTTAATGAAATTTTTTTTGCTTTATCATCACCATTACAAATGATTAATTCGACGCGAACGAAGTCGCTGGTACACGCTAGTAATTTATAATTTTGTGTCAAAATATGTCAAATAAAAATGACAAATATTTTGCATTTTGGATATTTTTATTACGTGTGATTCGTGTTTGTTAAAACTAAGTGGAGGAAAACTCGAGGGAAAAAATGACAAACATATCTATCATTGTTAATGATTTTCACGTTGGACAGACTATACATTAAAATATTTTAAGGAATAGTTACAGGTCTTTACAAAAAAAAACATATACCTACGTAGGTATATGATATTTAAAAAAAAAACGATTAAAACGTTTTGGGAACCACCGGAAATCAGCCGGTTCTTAGCTTCTTCCACACCGTGTTGCCACATCGATAAGAAAGTATATAAAATTTTGTATTATTTTAAGAGGTTTTGTTAGATTTTTAAATTTTCAAAAATCCTATGGCTCCCAAACTAGAGATTTTTTTAAACTCTCAAACTAAGTTTTGAAAAAGGGCAAAGACAATATATAACTTTTTATTGCAAATGCATGTAGTAGATGTTATTTTGAAATAAAAATTATTATAAGTATTGATTTCTACCAGCCCTAAACATATTTTCAAGGTTTTGTTTTTTTCAAAACCTATCAATTGGATTTGACTGAACAGATAAGATCTACAGGTGAAACGTTAACAACGTAAGGAAAACCTTGCTTAAGATGTAAATAACTTACGTAAAAGTACACTGTCTCTGGTATTCCATGGGAAATGTTCTGAAAACCTGCATTTCCTCTAACCAGCGGTTTTCTAACAGAGGCTGCATCCAATCAGAATCGGTTTTGAACATTCTCAAATGCCACAATGGTGCCGAAGCCTTCTCTTTCATGGATACCAAAGATTTCAGGGAATTCTTTAGTTCTGACATTGCACACTCTATCAGATGTATATTGGCAGCCTAAATAATTATAAAATAGTACAGGGTTCCCTATTTTTGTGTGTTTTAAAGTGTTTCTCGTTTATGATGATTAACTGCCGCATCTTTGTACCTCTACTCATAAGAGAGAGACCCTGTAAAACACACGAAAATGGGACAACTTGTACCGGGTGTCCCACTAACTTTGAATAAGAAGACTAAGGAAGGAGCATAATGCTATCCATGTATTCATGCATGGTGGGCGGAAAAAGCTCTCTAGGGTGGGGATCCTTGACAGTTCTGTTTGACGATTCATTTGACACATTTGAATTTGATTTGAAATTTTGTGGAATTGTCAGTTTTTACGGAGCTTATTTTATGTTATTTATTATTCAAACCAAATCTAAAATAGATGGTTGTGTAGCGTGCGGTAGATCTCGGCAAAAATTGAGTGAAATAATGGAATAACTTTTCGCTAGTAAGTGACTATATAATATACATACGTGTAGTAAACCGATCATTTATGAAATTCACTTAATTTAACTAAATTATATATTTTTCTTGCATTTTAGCTTTTATTTATTACTTGTCAAAGATTAGATGTCAAAGAATTTAGATACGTTCATTTGACTTACCTGCTTCAGTAGCGTATCGGATGTTTGTGGTAATAAATACTTATTATAACTTATCTATTTTTATTAGAATTATATATTTTTATAACAATTTTAATAACTACCAACATTTATTCACAACGTAAAATCAAACAACAAATTATTGAGTCTACCCCACGTCTACCCTACATCATAGTTTTACATTTTTTAAATAAAATTAGAACGGCACTGATAAACCGGAATTTAAGTCGGCCATATTTGAGGCCTATCGCGGGGTACCTAAGATTTTTGATATGCTCCTTCCTTAGACTTCTTATTCAAAGATTTTAAGTATTTTCGATTGAACTATTTGTAAAACTTGATGTGATAAACTAAAAACGTTGTCACAATAGGCATTGGAACATTTTTGTTCAAACTTTACTACTATGCAGAGTTGAAAAAGGCACGCTTTTTGTATTTTGAAACAAAAAAAAATGCAGCCTAAAATAAGTAGTATAGGTACTTACTATGTCATTTTTTACTTTAAATATTTTCGATTGGACAATTTGTAAATCTAGTTCATCAATCTTTTCAATATCAGATGCATTTATTTCTTTTTTCATAGCATTCAGATTGGCATCTAAAGTTATATGTTTTATCACCAAATCTAAAGTCTCCTCGTTTATTGTTTCATCATTGAGCGGTGTGAAATTCTAAAAAAATCAAACATCTAAAATATTCATCTAATTCCATGCATCTCAAAATATTTTACCACTATTTCTGTCTTTTTTCTGACTATATTCGCTACTAAACTTTTTAAAGTTCGTTTCTGTTGGATTATTTTGAGTTCAGTTTGAATATGGATAAATTGCAGTTTGGCTATATCTTCCTGATTTAATTTTTGTTTACTAAAAGAATTATTTAAAATAAATTATTTATAATAGGGTTTGGTTGATTCATGTTGATGCTAATATAAAAGCATCTGCTCCATCTATCAAAATTTCTTTTCAGCGTAAAGCCGCGTCCAAGCTACTCGAACAAAACGTTCGCGAACATATATCGGTTCCGAGGACCGAGGTGCGGGGAAGTATGCGACAACCAGTTTGCTCTATAGATCTAGGATGCGTTTAGGTAGTCGCTGTTTTTTTGAGTGCCCGGATTTCGAGTGCCCGGATTTCGAGTGCAAGCATTTTATTAAATAAATTAACCGGTAAACAGTTTAAGAACTTTTGTCGTTGAAGAATCAATATTTAGCAGGAGGAAGGTTACAGGGGTCTTTTGGTAGATTATTCGTTATAGTGTATTTTTAAGACCTGTATTCATTTTCAGCCGATTCTACCAGATGTTTCTCAAAAGGGGCTCACTTTTTTATTTTTTCAGATAATACAACGAAATTTGGTTTGTTAGAATATGACATAAATCGTGATTGATTTACGTATTCAATTACCTTCGGTCGCTTCCTGTTTCACCGGAAATGACTACAATTTTGTATTTTTAGATTGTATCCTAAGTACATTTTTACTATATTTGATAGAAAATTACATTCTGAATAGAATGACATACCATACGTCAATTTTAGACAATTCCAATTAAATAAAAATAGCATTTTAAATTTCAGTCTAGAGTGCCAAGACTGAGTTAAAACTATTAATTTGTAATCAAAGAACTTTGGAAACATATATTTGATCGTGTAATTTTTTTTCGTATCCTTTCATGACCGCTTAAAAGATGCCCAAATTGTATTTTTAATGATAACTCAAATTTTTCAAATGGTACGAGGCTGGCTCAGCATATTTGGAAAAAGCATTTTTTACGAATATTTTGGTACCACATACTTGGTATTTGGAGTAAAATTGTCGTTACGTTTATTTATGGCCATTTTTAAATTGAAAATGTCAAAAGTTGACATATAATATATCATTCTATTTAGAATGTCATTTTCTATCATATACGGTAAAAAATACCGACGGTAGCATTTAAATCAAAAGTTGTTGTCATTTCCGGTGAAATAGGTAGTGACCGAAAATGAAAACGTCGATCAATCCTGATTTATGTCCTATACTAACATACCAAATCTCGCTGTGGCGTACAAGCTAGCCGTTCGGCGCTCCGCGCTCCTTAATAGGCCTAGGCTAGCTGTACTTGTTGGCTTTATTATTTATAAATCTACCTATCTCACAATTTTCACTTAGTATCTGTTTAATTATATATGTTCGCGAACATTTTGTTCGAGTAGCTTGGACGCGGCTTTATATTGAACAGTACAATATAATCGAAAAAAAACGGCTTCAGCGATGACTTTGGAATGAAGATTGCTAAACACTAGTTTATAGAAAAAATTGGAATAAATCGCAAATTATTAAAAATAGGTATATGACATACTTAATAAAAGTTGAAGAGCTTTGCAAAATCTATCAGAAAAAATCAAAATATATAGGGTGTACCATTTAAAAAATTTAAGATTTTTTAATTTTAATTAGTTGCAATTTATAAATATATTTTGAACACCCTGTAGCATTTAACTAAAATATCTTAACATATATCTTCTTTTTAATCTTTATAGAACTCTCATATCAAATTTTGGTATTCCAACTTCAGAAACAATGGTACCACCGACAATTTTTTACCACACTGCAATTTAACTTTTGTATAAACAAATTTAAATAGTACGAAAACTATTAATTCTAGGTATATAACATTATATATAAAAAAGTTATAGAATTTTACGCAGAATCTAAAAATAAAATAAAAAATAGGGTGTTGCATTTAAAAAAACATATGTTATATCCGCCACACATTTTTAAAGCACCCTGTATACTCTATAATAATTTTATAATGTCTATCTTAACCTTCCCTATAACTTTTGTATTTAACATTTTTTTGTAAACCTCGAAATAAATGAGATAATGGACTTTACTCTATCGTTGACTCACCCTGTACAAGGCTTATTTTAGATATATTTTTTTGAATAAATTATTATTATTCTTATACCGGGTGCGTCTCAAAAGTGGCTCATCCCTATAACTTTTGTATTTTTTCAGTTAAAAAAACGAGATTTGGTATGTTAGTATATGACATAAATTAGGATTGATTGACGTATTCAATTGTTTTCGGTCATGATGATGATATGTCATTCTATTCAGAATGTCATTTTCCATCGAATAAAGTAAAAAAATACCGAGAGTGCCATTTAAAAATCAAAAGTTGTAGTCATTTCCGGTGAAACAGGAAGTGACCAAAAAAAATTGAATAAGTCAATCAATCCTAATTTATGTCATATACTAACATACTAAATCTCGTTTTTTTTATCTGAAAAAATAAAAAAGTTATGGGGGGTGAGTCGCTTTTGAGACGCACGCCCTATAATAATAATAATAAATTATTAAACCTTTTTAAACTGAGAAAGTCATATTTTTTCACAACACTGAAGCACACTGTTTATTTTTATTAGAGAAAAATGCAGACAGAGGTACAAAACTTCTTACCCACTGTTAACGGCGTTCTGCACCGACACCATTTTTGTGAATTGCACCTTTAAATTCTCCATCATTTTCTGCACGTGATCATAAAGCAACTTCCTGTTATTCACAGCCAGCAAGCTGTGTAAAGTTTCGTTTAAAACCTTATCAGAATACACATCTTTTATTAACTTAGTATAAGCTTTAATTCCTTTCGAATGCTCAATTTGAGACTTATAATTAAAAACAACCGAGTCGCTCGACTCAGAACTTTGCATCGTTTTATCAAACACCTCGACATTGGATGCATCTAACTTGTTCATCAAAGACAGAGGCTTGCAAAAATCAGAAAAACTATCGTTCAAGTCCCCTAAATCAGAAAGCAATCCTAATGATTCCCTATTTTTCGGCTTTGTTTCAACAACCACAGTAGTTTCAGGTTTTGTAACATCTTCGACTATAATTTTTGGAATGTTAAACAAATTTCTCTTGACTTCAGTGGGTGAAATATTTTCTTTATTTTGAATGTTTTTAACGCAACTGCGTGTAATTTCTGAGAAATCTTCTTTTTCTCTTAGCGCCATATAGGAAGCTATCGAGGACGTATTGCTTTGTTTCGATTTTTTTTTGATTGTGTAAAACGTACTTTGCATGTTATTTTCTTTCGACAACTTTAGATTATCTGTTAGTATTTCTCCAAGTTTCTGCGCGCATTTTTCGAGGGTTTCCTAAAAAGTATCACACAAAAACTATACCGTGTGTTCCATCCTTGCCGACCCGAACAGAGGAAATCCCATGTAAATTTTAAAAATGATGAATAAGTTTTTCCTCATTTTATTTTGCAGAAAAATTTATTTGAAACTTTTTAAAGAACTCCTTATACAGTATTATCAGAATCTATTGAAAATGAACAATTTGCTTCATATTAGGGAGGTCTTTAAAAAGTTTTAAATCATTTTTTCTGTAAAATAAAATGGGGAAAACTTGTTTGTCATTTTTAAAATTTTCATGGGATTTCCTATGTTCAGGTTGGCGATGCAAACAGCCTGTATAATATACAATAAACATATATGTAGTTAATGAGTCTTACTGTAATTTCCTTTGAACTATTACTGGATTCCATTTCAACAGGAGTGACATTTTTGAATCTCGACAATGTTTCTTCTGCTTCCGAGTTTTGTATTTGCAACTTTTCCTTTTTTAAGTCCAATAAATAGTTTCTTTCCTCGTTTCTATCGATTTTGTTTTTTAAAAAATCAATAGACACCTCTAAAATATCCGATTAACATTTGATTTCAATAATAAACTAGTTTTAAACCTTTCAATTTACAGCCTTGAGACAAATTTTGAAGTTTGGTCTGTTTTTCTTCAGCAGCTTCTCTAAGTAATGTTAACCTGTTTTGCAGCTCTAATTTTTTACGAAAAACTTCAATATCCTTAATTTTATAAACGTATTCATCCTTAAATAAGAACATTAATACGGAATTTTTTTTTTTAATAATCTAACCTGTCTTTCAAGACCTTTATTTTTTAGCCGGTTCAAAATGATATTTCTTTTAATATTGACGGCTTTATCTTTCGGGCATACTGTTTGCATTAACTGTTCCCAAACAAATGAAGTTGAATTGTTATGAATCCTAAAAAAGTAAAACTTAAAAAAAATCCTTTAAGAACAGAGGTTCGTTTTAATAAAAAAAAAATGAACATACTCTACAAACGATTCGGGCATTTCCCCCGTATAACCCATTTCTCGAAGCCAACTCACTAATTCCTCACGATTTTCCATTTTCTTCTGATATATTTTAATAATTTTTGGTAAAAACGGAAAAACAGTTTTAAACACAAGTTTTAAAATTAGAACAATCTGCTCCAACGTCAAAATATGATTCAAATGTTTTGCCAACCTTTTAGAGAAAAAATAAAAATAAATATTTTAATTTAAATAAAGTTAATACATTTCTCAAATTAAATAATTATAATTATTGCTTAATAAATATACTAGATACATCTTTTAATAATAAGAAAAAGAATGTAGCAAGAATTAAAGTTTTGTAAGTCTATTGTAAAATCAAGACTGCCAACATATTTTTTTTATATAGTCAACCAGTAAAACGCATATTGTCAATTTTGTGTCACATAAGCTTTTTGCTTTAATTTGAGGAATATTTTTAAAAATAACTGAATTATGGAGGATAATGAGGAACTACAAAAAGGTAGTAAAGAAAATGTACCAAAACCTGAAGCCAGTGCCGAAGCACCTGGAGTTCCAGATGAAAAATCAACTGAAATAAAACAGAATGAATCTCGAGAAGTTCCAGAAGCTGAAGAACCGCATCCTCCTACAAGTAAATCACTATATCAATTTAAGAAAAATAAAATAACAAGTTAAACTATGTTATTAATTAAGTACCGTTACATCCACAAATTAATTATTTTTTAAATAAAAATGTCTATTAGATTTACATGTACCTACAGGGTGTTTCCAAAAACATGTGTCATCTCTCGTAGGGAGATTCCACACATAAAAATAAGATTTATTTTTCATATCAACATAGATTCGATTCTGCTTTGTTTCGTAGCTACAGGGTGTTGTATCAATATTTTTTCGATTTATTATAATTTTCAAGTACTTTTAGCGATTCGAATGAAATTTTGAGGGTAAAAGTTACGATTAAGTGCTACATATTTTAATGCTAAAATAGTGTCGATAAATTTATCAGGGACGTGCAAATGGGTTATTAATGGAATATATTTTTTATAAAAAACATGTGCGCCACTGCCTTTTTTCTTTTGGTATCAAAGTTGTGTACGCCGTTTAATGTCAATTAAAAGTTATCTGTTGATAATTTGAGGATAGGTAACGAGTGCAACTCGCTAAAAAATTACAGAAAACAAGTGTCTGATTTGTAAATATACCCGTAGGCACTGAATCTACAGGGTGGCGCACCTCATTCGCCTCGGTTGATTATACGAAAACGGATACAGGGGTATCAAAAATTGCTGGTCTATTTTAAATATTTATTATACATAAAAACTTCGTTATTTCAAATACAACACCCTGTGTGTATTTTTTAAAACATATCGAAGCAGATTTAAATGCTCTTTCAAACTATATTAGGGTTTCCTATACCTATCTGGCTCAGATTTTTAATAAAAAGCGATTTTTCAATAAAGTTGCAATCAAGATGGCTGGTGTCGCCATGGCAATTTTCTAATTGTTTATTATTTTATCAAGAAAACTGAAGCAGTATCTGGTGGCGGAAGGAATGCATATACATAGGACAATTGCTTGTTGGCCTGAAGGGTTTATGCTCAAAGATATCCAAATAGGAATCTTCCTGATAAGCGTTCCTTTGAAAAACTACTTTTCCTATTTCGCAAAGCTGGTAAAAAATCTATTAGGCAGAAACCTGTCATTGGAGGTGAAGAAAATGAATTTGCCTTAATGAGGAAAATGCATGTTTTTAAATAATGGTTTTAAAAAATAGTTCATATAATTACAAATTGAACAAAAAAAAATCGTTGATATCGGTTAAGAAATGCCTCTAATATAAAATAATTAAATATTGTTCATTTAAATGGCCGGGCAAACGCTCTCTACCGAGCCTTGCCGCTGTGACGTCATCCGCCGTTCTTCTGGTTGAGTGGAGCCAGACGCGTGTTTATTTTACACAGGTTGCTTTTAAACGCTGTTGAATCCGAGTCAAAATTTTAGTTATTTATGTTAATTAATACATAATTAGTAATTAGTGATATTTATAAATAGTAATGGATGAGCGAAAACAGCAAAAAATGGTCCAAGGCCATGAGAAGAGATGAAAAGAGAAACGTTAAATTATCCTCTATTTTTACGATTTATTGTTGTGAAGATCATTTTGATGTAAGTTCATATATTTATGTATATTGTCTTACATAGGTATATGAAATTTGAATGTACAGATTTTGACACCCACATACAGCCTAACTGCAAGTTTTAATAAGAAAACATTAAATAAAAAAGTTGCATGGTTTTTCATATACTCACTTTTAAAATTAATTCTAGTTATACAGGGTGTCTCAAAAAAGGTGGTCCAGAAAATTGTAGGTATTTTTCGCTTTTCAACTGTCAATATTTCGTAAACATTTGAAGATAGGTATAGGATATTATACATGAAATATATCTAGAATATCTAGAAATTTCCGAAGAATCTAAAAATATATAGGGTGTTTCACTTAAAAAAGTAACTTAATTTTGGCGTTTGCTTATGGGACACCTTGTATAATATTTTCATTACTGATACACAATTTATTTCCTATAATTTCGTAAAAAAAACAATCTTTAAAAATAACAAGGATAAGGGGGTGTCAATATATAAAAAAATTTTCTTTTTCACGCTATGCTCTGGAGTTATTTTTCCACGTACTAAAGAAATATTTTTGTCTCTTTTCACTTCTACATAACCTACAGCATTATCTCCATACGTCTCCCTACCTGATCTGACAAATAAGTTTATAACATTAAAATTTATAACTATATAAAAGTTCGTAACAGTAGGTACCTACTTATACTTAAATATGCCTCAGTACTACAAAGAATAAATGTTACATACCTCTCTGTTTTTTGTCTCTGTCCTCGTAATTCAGCACCAATAAATTGGGAATTTGTATTTATAAAAGCAGCCAACATAAAAGCATCGACTTTTGGCAAGTTATCTGATTGTGCTTTTACAAGCCCGGAATCTGCCATTACTTAAAAAATTCTCAGAACACACAACACATACAAATAATAACTGCACATAAAAAGCTCCTTCAATCAACGCTAAAAGCAACAAAAATGTATTAGTACGCCACCTAAATACGTACATAAACGGAACACGTCTGGCTGCTGCTGGCCATCGCGCGTCGACGAGAACGGCGGGTGACGTCAGACCAATAGAATATCGTTTCAATCCGCGAAGCGTCGTTTGCGTTATCCATAGTATTTTAATGGCCCGTTTTATAAAATTGTGGTACTGCTTTCAAGAAAAAAGTTTTTTTTTTTTGCATTTACACATATTTATTCTAATAAATTGAACAGTTTCTGGCGAAAAATAAAATATATGCATCTTCCTCATTGGTTCTTTTATAGAAAATCCAATATATCTACAAGTCATCGTAATATAAACCAAAGAACTACTTCTTTATTTTTCTTGACAAAATAATAAATGCTTACTTATTAAACTGTTGTAGGTAAATTAAATAAAAAGTAAACTGTTATAAATTTAAATAAAGTCCATAAACTAATGTCGATTTTGAAAATAGCTACTTGTAAATAAGTGTTACTAGAAAATTGCCATGGCGACACCAGCCATCTTGATTACAGTTTAATTGAAAAATCGTTTTTTATTCAAAATCTGAGCCAGATAGGTATATGAAACCCTAATATAGTTTGAAAGAGCATTAAATCTGTTTCGACTTATTTAAAAAAATACAGGGTAAATTAATTCTGAAAAGTAATATATACGGTGTTGACAAACCTTTTTACTATAGCATGTATATTTAAATATCTTTAAATATCTCAAAAAACCAAAGCTTTTAGACATATTAAACCCTTATAATAAATGCCTTTTTTTATGTCCAAGAATCCAAAAATGAAATAAAATACCGGGATGTTCTATAAGAAAAAATATATAGGTATGTACCTTTGGTATGGATCTTAGTTCTGACACACCCTGTACATTTCAAAATAATTTTAAATTATGCACATTGTCTCTCTACATATACCCATAAAATATTTCGTTTCTACATCGTTTCGTTTTCGTATAATCAACCGAGACGAATGAGGTGCGCCACCCTGTATATGACTGCTTTTACTAAAAAAATACTATATTTAAGAGGAAACGTCTCGTGAAGTACCGCAAATGACCGAAATCGATCCAGAACCTACGGCAGAACCGGAAGCCTTACCGGCCGAACCCGTACCCGAACTTCCTATAGAAGAAAGGCCTAAGGCAGTATCCCTTGATGACCCATCGGCACCTCAGGAAGAAAGGCGCTCCTCGAAACGGATGTCTACCGAAAAGGGACAGGAATTGTTTATACCGCCCGGCGGTCGCGACCGCCGTTCAACCGATATTGGTGCCGTAGAGAGTAAATACGGGTATAGTATTGTCAAACTGTGACCATTCTCCCAAACAGTGCCGTGGCACATATTTTTCTTAACATAGCCGCTTGAAGCGATATTTATATTTTTGATAAACGTTTTCACTACGCCTATGGTGTATCTGATGGTATCATACAAATTAATTACGAAAAAAACGTATTAAAATGTAAACAAAAGGTACAAAACTAGTATACACGTATAGCACATATCAAGTACAACTGGCTGGTGGAACTTCTCGCACGTCTCGCATACGCATAACGTTTTTCTATTAGCCAGCGCTAGCCTCAATTTTCCGCGCTTCCCTGGGAATAGAGAAAATATTGATTAGCGTTGTAATATTGTATTTTATAATGTATTGAGATAGTAACTGTAATTTTATTTTCTAGATTTGCAAAAGCGGCCAAACTTTTTGCAGCACCCAAGGGCAAGGGTTTGGGAAGCGTTTTGGATATCAAATCCAACGTTGCCGATGCTTACGATAAAAAAGTAAGTTATTACTGTTCACTAATGCTTGTTTTTTATTGGGAGAATAAATATAAAACTTGTTTTACACGTATTTTGAAGAGACATGAATTCTCCATTGAATATCGGAATAATATACTGGGTGTTCCATTTAAAATAAAACAGTAACATGCTTTTAAAGGTGACCAATGTTCAATATTAATTTTGTCTCACCCTGTATAACTTTTTGGTTGAAGTTTTAATTTGATTTAAAGTACAATAGTTAATTTAACTACATATTAAGCTATATACCGGGTAAATTCCAATTTAGGTAGCTTTTATTGTAATTTAAAAATTGTTCTTTATTTTTAGAAAATGTTAAATATGTCAAAAAGCTTATATTTTACTCATATACTTCTCTTATAAAACTCACCTTAATTTTTCTCCCAGAATCCGAAAATCAATTAATATATAGGGCGTTCCGTTACAAAAAAAAACAATGTAAAAACTTTGATATGTAACAAAAAAAAAACTTTGATATGTAACTTTTTTTGGGGACACCCTGTAGAACTCTCTATATTTTTAAAAAGTGCTCTGAATTATCTAAGGAATTATCCTACATAAGCTCAAGGACTGTATATATTCTAAAGGACTGTTCGACGTCACGTGCTGACCAGCGCTCCACAGTGCGGCGCATGGTTATTCTAGCGGGACAAAATCTCAAGAGCAATGTTTGGGACTTAAAATCTAAGAACCTAGCAAATGGTCTAATATATAGCAACTATATGGTTAAATTTATTTATTTATTAACAACTTAATTTATTAATAAATAAATACAAGATAATAAAACTATGATATTCGTACATGACACACAAAACCCGTATTGTAAACTATTGCCAAATACATAAAATTATGATATCAAAAAACTCTTTAGCAGTTTTTTTTAAATTAATTTGTAATCTTGTGACACCCGCTCTAATTTATTTAAAAAAAATATATTTTATTTTGAAAATAGTAAATAAGATAGATATTTTAATTTTAATTTTAACACTCGGTAATTGTAAATTCATATATAGTAAGTATCTAAGAGAATTTTTTGAACTCAGTGCCTTTTGATGGAGTTGTTTTGTTTTTATACTATCCGATTGAAATGAATCTTTTTGGACATTCACCTGTTAAGCTTGAACTCCCTGTGACTGTGACTACCTGTGTTGGTAACTCAAAAGATCTACATCATTCAATATATCGATATTTGAAAAAAAAGTGAAAGTTTGATATCTGCAGAACAAAGGCACGAAGGATTTTAACAAATAATATACGTACAGTAGAAAAGTACATACCTTTGGCAATCTTCAGCATAATTTGGCTTTCTAATAAAATGTATAAGCACTTGTAAATATTTTGTATATGATCTCTGCCTTGCTGAGCAGAAAACGACCAAATTTGGTTGATAAAAATGTATCGAAATACAAAGAATATTCATGCATTTTTGTATCAATTGGAATGTCTACTATTTATTCTTATCAGTACACATTTTTTGGCTTATTTCTAACCAAACGCTTTTGTCCCGCTAAATTTATCTTCCAACGCACTGTGCGCTCGTCCGTCAAATGCAAAAATAACTGTCACTGTCTAGAATCTTTAGCGCCAACTTCAACTCGGTCAGTAGATGACGTAAAAAAACTGATAGTGCAGGAAGATAGGAATCGAACTATCCTTATCTCTATAGTATCCCTGACATAAGCTCACAAAATTAAATTTCAATACAAACTGTCGTTCTCCTTGGAGCCTCCCCGGCGTATGAGAGGCGCCACCCTGTACATACAGGGTGAGTCTTAAATAAGTGCAAATATTTTCAGAGCTAGACGATCTCGATAAGGAAAACATATTTCGCGTCCAGCTTCCTTTATCCTATTTTTGCTGCCAGCGTTTCATTAGGTTGAAAAGTTTTTTTTTAAACATTTTTTTTCATTTTTTGCAACATCCACAAAAACTTCGCAAGTAGGTAACTGTTTTGTTTTTTGTTTATTACCTATTTTCAGTAATTTATCATTTCTTATAGACATCAGTCATTGTACCAAGTGGCACCACTCATTCCCGAAACACCGAAAAAAATATGAATCGATATTTATACTCAACCAACGGAAACGCACATATAATCTATTCGTTCCACATCCAGGATCATTTCAAGTTAATATCGATCTTTCTCGCACTCATACAGAGCCAATACAACTCGGAAATATTCGTGTTTCTCTCTTACGCATGAGATGCATACAAAGTTGAATCCAGAGAGTTCCAAACGAAAGAGAGTTGTTTAAATTGAGGTATCGGCAAAGGGCCAAAGTTCTCTCCGATTAGTTTTCGTTCGTTTTTCGTTTGATTCAATAGCCCGATGAAAAATGAGGCTACAAAAAAATGATTCCAGTTATTTAAATTGTTAATAAAATATTTTGAAAAATATGAGCACGAATTCATTGCTTGCAAATGGAACTGAGGTAAATGCAATAAGTTACTTTTTAACTAAAAATAAATATTTTGTTTAGAAAAATATAATTTTCCGTATATTAAAATAAGTAAAAATTAAATTGTAAAATAATTTTTGGGTCAACTTTCGTTTAGCTGAAATCAGTTATTAGAAAAAAAAATTGTCTTTAAAAAGGTACTGTGAACCACGGAAAACACAAATTTTCCTGCGGAAATGCGTAATTTCCAAATTTCGCACTTTAGAATAACTGAAATCTGCTATAAAAAAATACATTTTGCGTTTTATTTTTAATATTTTTCTGAACATAATTTATCACAAAAATTTTCCTGCGGAAATAAGTTGTTTTCATTTTCTAAGAAAATTTATTAGACTTTAGAATAGCTGAAATCAGTTATATAAAAAATAAATATATTTATTTTTGTCTTTTAGAAGCATTCACGAATTGAGGAAAATAAAAAAATTCCTGCTTGAATTTCATTTTCCATTTGTTCCTTATTATATTATCGGGTCTTGTAAAGTATAAGTACTTGCTATAGAATTTAGCAAATTTTTTTTTGGAGGACAGTACTATGCTTATAGAACAGTTTAAAAGAAAAAAATCCTTGGATAAAGCACTTTGAACGAAAAAAAATCATTTAAAAGTGTCTAAAATGCTAACCAATCTAATAATAAATCTAATAATATTTTTACAAAATCACAGTTAATTATTAAAATATAAAAACCACAGCTTAACACCCTACACAAAGAAAAGCTAACCAAAGCAACCCAAATGCTAACCAATCTAATATTTTTGCAAAATCACATTTACTTATGAAAATATAAAAGAAAACTGCATGATCCAATGATTTTTTGTTTTGAATCAGCCCTATTTACGCAAAGCTTTAATAAAAAAAACAATAATAAGTGCAACATTCCTAGGTACATAGTTTACAAGAACCTATATTATCTATTCTACAAGAATTGTTATTCCTCCGAAAGATGTTTTACCCCACCCAGCACCCCTATTCGCTCCCGGGTCCTGTAAGCTTCTAAACTGAAAAATGTATGACAAATAAAAAATCGGTAAAAAAACTTTTAATTAAACGGTTTTATCTTATGTGCACTGAAAACTAGAAAATAATAATAACAATTAGGTATTTTGAACTTCTAGTTCAGAAATATTTTAGTACTAGGCAGAATAGCTTTTAGACATATTAGACTAAAATAAAAAGGTGGGGCCCATTAACTATTGCTGTAATACTTTCTTCTATACTAAGTGTGGATTGCATCGACTTATTATAATAGTAACTGGAGATTTTGACAATCAATAACCAGCCGTGGCGGCTTCACCAGCGAACGCCGAGCTCATGATCTACCAAATTATAAAGATATGCTTTGCCATAGGTAGGATTTCAGAGGGGCCCCACGTTTTTATTTTAGTCTAATATGCCTAAAAGCTATTCTGCCTAGTACTAAAATATTTCTGAACTAGAAGTTCAAAATACCTAATTGTTACTATTATTTCCTAGTTTTCAGTGCACATAAGATAAAACCGTTTAACTTAAAAGTTTTTTTACCGATTTTTTATTTTCTAGTTTTTAGTATTTAACGGAAATGCCTACCGAATATTCCTCATTCTATTTAATTCATTTAGTGCATCATTATTACATGGTTTTTTACCTGATAATTTATTACAATCTGACGCTCAGGTGTTTCTGACGCTAACAACTCTCTCTGTTTGTCGCGTTCTGATGCTAGCGACTCATGACGCTCAGGTGTTTCTGCCGCTAACAACTCTCTCTGTCTGTCACGTTGTGATGCTAGCCTGGACTCATGACGCTCAGGTGTTTCTGACTCTACCAGCTGCCTTTGCCTCTCACGTTGTGCTATTAACCTGGCATCATGTTGCTCAGGTGTTTCTGTTGCTAACCGTTCTCTTCGTTTCTGTAGTCGACTATAGGTTTCATTTTTACTTTCTTTTGCACGTTTCGTTCTATACTTTTCTTTCGCCTTTTCGAGCCTTTTTCGTTGTGTAGCAGTTTCGTTTATATTTTTGTTTGTTTTTTTATTTATTGTTTCCATGTTGTTCCCACGAGTAATGGACATTTTAACGGTCGACCCCCCTAGAGGTCCAGTAGTTTTTTGTATTTCTTTGCTCGTAAAGGCTCGTATAAAACAAATATAAGTTCATTTTTCATGTAACTGATTTCGGACATTCTAAAGTCAAAGCATTTTTTTATGTCAAATAAAAGTAAAAAATTTCCGCAGACACTTTTTTATGTTTTTATGTTTAGAAAAACGTCTAAAACACACCCCGAAGACTAGTTTTGATGTAACAGATTTCGGCTATACTAAAGTCCGAAAAATGAAAATGACGCATTTCTGAAGGAAAATTTTTTGTATATTTGTACTCCTAACGCCTTCTAGAACGCATATATAAAGTCATTTTTTATATAACAGATTTCAGCTAAACGAAAGTTGAGCCTATTTTTTTTAATTCACGCCCAAGAAGAGGTGAAATAAATAAATAAAATTATTTTTTCGAAATTTTGAAAGGGCTAGAAGAAAAAGTTCAAATAGAAGTTATAGAGCGTTCAATTTTACATAAAAATGGTCTCTATACTTTTTTTGCTCAAATCAAAATTAAACGAGATAAGGTGGCCATAAGCTTCTATTCAAACATTTTTTTCAAAGTCCTTTCTCTGAAATTTGAAAAAAACACTTTATTTATATTTTTCTTTATGCAACCTTTAAAAAAATTTAATGTTATTAACTTGCCAAAATGTTAAATCATTGATTCCTGCCCATAACGTTTTTCTTAACAGTGACAATACACAGTTTTCACCTTCTCGGTATCATCCATAATAACGGAGATACGGGGGCTGTCCCAAATTGTAAAATTTTCAAAAAGACCCTGTAGCTCCGAAACGAAGAAGGCTATCAAAATTTTGTTTACGGCATCTTCCGTTTGACAAAAAAGTGGGACGGCTTTGTGCAAACCGCACCCTTCTATCTTCACTAATAACGGAGATACCGTACGATTTCAACCAAAGTGAGTGATGGGAAAACAGTTCATTTTTACCAATACCAATAATACCTCTACCAAGAATAATTTCTTCTTTCTTCTACATACTTTCCACTCTAGAGCACCCGGTATCAGAACACTTACAGGCTGGAATCGGAGAATCCGTTTAATCCGCAAAAAGTCGACAAGATTCTAAAAGATGTCATGGAAGAGGCACTGAATAATCTCCAGTACGACCCTGACAAATGTCCGAGCCAAGCGAAATGGGCGGTCACCCAAATCCGCACCAAAGTCAAGCAGCTGGACTTTGACCGGTAAGCCTGTTTACCTTATATGCCTTTGTAAAACATTTTTAAGCCTAGTTGACATGGTCAAAGTGTACTTGGATCAAATACCCTTGGACCCATCTCACTTGGACTCTGTTTGAATCGTACCAACTGATTTAATTTTGATTGATACGATCCAGGTGGTGTCCAAGTGAGACACACGCGTAGCGTTCAAATGGATTTGATCCAAGTACACTTTGACCGTGTCAAATAGGCTTTAAAGCCTGGTTGACACGGTGAAAGTGTACTTGGACCAAGACAACCGGGTGCTGGATTATCCTTTTTTTAATGGTACCAAACCTATTAGGTTTTACTGGGATTAAATAAAAAACTAGATACAAAAAAAAATCGGCCTAATGAAGCCTACCCTGACGAGCCGCCACTGACGCTAGATTTTATCTGCTACGTTTTGTCGTCGCAAATCGTACGACAAGTCGTTGTGTGTGGACCACTCTTTAAAGCATAATTAGTTTTTGTTTTTCAGGTATAAATTGGTTTGCATCGTCACGATTGGCGAGAAAAATTCTCAAGATGTCTATTCGACTTGTAGGTTCCTATGGGATGCTGAAAAAGACCGTTATGCATACTATTCCTTAGAGAACACTTACGTGTACGGCATAGCGTACTGCTTTGGACTTTATTATGAATAATTCATATTATGTATTATATTAATAGATATTTATTTAAAGACGAATTTATACAAAATATTTGTTATAGATAATTTTACATTATTGTAATAAAAGAGTGTAAAAATTTCATTCAAATCACTAAATATTATAATAAATCGAAAGATTATTAAAACTTTAACACCCTGTAGCTACGAAACAAAGCAGAATCGGCCCTATGTTGATATGAAAAATAAGTCTTATTTAAATGTGAGGAATCTACCCACGACCAAAGATATTTAAACTCCCTTTATAACCATACCAAATAACCTAACCTAACCTAACCGAGTTTAAATATCTTTGCCCACGACAGATGGCATATGTTTTTTGAAACACCCTGTACATTTCCAACATCGGTTTCCCTGATGTGTAATTGAAACATTTGTGACAATTTTTTTTTATTTAAGTGAAAGTTATACCGTATGATCGAATAAAAACGGCGTCAGCGATGGCTATGAAATGAAGATCGCTGTCATTTTATATGTAAAATTATATAGGAAATGTCATCGATCGTCATTTCCAAGCCAACTGGACGCCATTTTTTTCGATCATACGGTATTATCGTACGATATTTTTTACCTGAGGCTTTTTAACTACTTAAATAACAAAGTAAATATGCAAAAAATATACTTTTTGAAAAAAATGCATTTATCTTAGCACCAAGAATCGTTGATAGTTTGAAGTAAAGTCTGATTCACACCGGATATTTCTCCTTTGACATCGTCAGCTCCCAAGTGCCAAACAAATAGACCTTTTAGGCCCTGATCACAGGCGTACTTGGTCTGTAAGCAAATAAGGATTTATTAAGGATTTTATTATCTATCAAATTATCTTTTTACCTTTAGTGCCACTGATTTTTGTTCATCGTAACTCAGCCATGTGCTGTTCAAATATTTGTAGTATCCTTTTTGTTCATCGTCCCAAACGTCAGTATAGTCAGCGAAGTATTTCTCTATCTAGTAAAGTAAAACAATGTAAATTAGAGTTATTTGAAATGTAAATACCGTATGATCGAAAAAAAATCGTCCAGTTGGCTTAGAAATGACGATCGATGACATTTCCCATATAATTTTATATATAAAATGACAGCGATCTTCGCATTTCATAGCCATCGCTGACGCCGTTTTATTCGATCATACGGTACAAGGTAAGGAATAGAATTCAAGATCCATAGTCAGAGATGATTAAACCTTTTAGATTACCTAATTAAATAAACCAAAGACTAAGTGTATTTCAAGAAACCGTACGCATTTCCGCATGCGCTCGTTCGACTAGTCCAGACAGGAAGATCATTTTAGTTTATTTTTGTTTGATTCTATAATTATGGAGTGGAATAATACCTTGATTTTGTCTCTTATTGATGAATACGGATTATACAAATGCCTGTGGAATCCCACACATATTAATTATAAGTACAAATATGGTGTTTCCAATTTGCTTTAAACGTTTTTTTGAATCTATACTAATATATAAAATCCTTAAGTGACTGACATACTGATTAATCATGATTCTGCTCAAACCACTCAACGTAAGAAGCTCAATTTTGGCATACAGGTTGATTCTTGGGTGTAGAGGTTCGATAAGAAGTGATTTTTCGAAATTCCAGTTCCAAGAGGGTGAAACTCCTCAAATAAATATTACAATATTTTTTATTTAAAAAACGGTCAAGTTTCCGAAAAAACGCTTAAACACGTATATTTTATTTTGTTTTTTTACATATTTTAAGATTTTTTAAAAATGTATACAGGGTGTTTCGAAAAATCTGGTCATTGATTAATCACGATCCTGCTTAAAGCGCTTGACGTAAAAAGCTGATTTTTGAAAAACAGATTAACTTTAGGGTGTAGAGGTTTGATAAGAAGGGATTTTTCGAAACTCGAATTCTAAGGGGATGAAAAAACACTAGTTCAAATATTAAAATATTTTTTATTTAAAAACCGGTGAGATTTTCGGAAAAACTCTTAAACACGTATATTTTATTTTGTTGTTTTACATATTTTAAGATTTTTTATAAATTTATACAGGGTGTTTCATAAAATATGACCATTGAGTAATCACGATTCTGTTTAAACTGCTTGACGTTTAAAGCTGATTTTTGGCAAACGGATTGACTGTGGGGTGTAGAGGTTCGATAAGCAGGGGTTTCTCGAATCTCAAATTCCAAGAGGGTGAAAACGCCCCTCAAATATTACAATATTTGTTATTTAAAAAACGGTTAGTCTTTCGGGAAAACGCTTGGACAAGCATAATTTATTTGGTTTTTTTACATATTTTGAAATTTTTAAAAAAGTCATACAGGGTGTTCCAAAAAGTTGGATAATTTCTTAATCACGATTCTGCTTAAACTGCTTGACGTAAAAAGCTTATTTTTGGCAAACGGATTTTTCGAAAGTCAAATTCCAACGAGATGAAACTACCCCTCAAATATTACCAAGTTATATAATAATATCGCCATATTGTTTTTTCTCATGCTGACATAAATGTGAGAAAATTTTATCCAGTTTGTATGTTAATGAAAATTCTTGCTTTGCTTTATCATTACCATTACAAATGATTAATTCGACGCGAACGAAGTCGCTGGTACACGCTAGTATCCGAATAAAACTATTCAAGAATACTTTAGTTTTTTAGCAGATACTATGTATATTCTAAACAATAATTTTACCTGATAGAATGTTGGAGTCTTAATTTTACCAGCGCCTTTGCTTTTTGAATGTATGCCATGACTGGATGGATCTGTCAAATTAAATGTCCTTCCGTAAAAAGGCACGCCAAAGGCCAGTATATTTTTTGGGGTTCCAGAGCTAACCTGTAATAGTATATTACGCAGTGAGTGTTTTAGAAAGCATACTACGCACAAACAGAGCTGCAACAAGTCAGTTTTAATATATAATAATATCCTAAATCTTTGACTTAAATCATTTTATATCAAGTGAAGTCATTTTTGTAAAGACTAAAACCACATAAAATAAAAGGGTTAATTTTCAGAACGCAAAAATATGTTTTTTATAAAATTTAATCGATTTTGAAGTATTAACACCAGATTATAAACTTTGTTTTTTCTTTATTATTTTTCGTGGTTCCAATTTTCGGAATCGGGCACTAGTTAGGTTACTAGTTTGCGCACATAGCACGCCCACTTATGGCCTCTAAAATTGTGCACAACGCCTGACCGGCACAGTTATTAGAGAGATATCGGAAAACGGAATAGCGTCATGCAGTATTTACGCGTACCTTATCATGGTTACGATAATAACTAAACGCTAATTAACAAGAAAAAAAAAACAGATGTGAACAAGAAACAACCGATAAAAAACAAAAAAAAAATTAACTTGAGTGAAAAAATAATGCGTTTACCCAATTATTCACTGACGTATTGACATTTAAGTATTTTTTCTCATAACCACTGTCCAACGATGATGCATACAAGCCTGAGTTAAGTCCAGTATGCGCACTCCATGCACCGTAAAAGTCATACGTCATTATATTGATTACGTCTAAGTATCTACAAACAAATGAATTATATAATAATTAGTATTATAATATTTAATTTTAGCAGTTCATTCTGACAAAGAAAAATGTCAACGTTTTCTTAAATTATCATGCTGTTTATTAGCTTTCTATTGTCAATATATACAGATATTCCATTCGATCGATAAAAAAACAGCGTCAGGGTTGTAGTTAGGTTTTGGACGCCGTTTTTTTGTATTATGGTACTTACTTAGCCATTTCTGATACATTGTATCCATATTTTGCTGTTGGTATTGCACAGACAGCAGCAGTAACTAAATAATTGTGTTTGTGGAATTCCTCGGATAGTTCTTGCAGAAACACCATAAAGTTATCCTAAAATATACAGAATGTATGTAGGGGACGATTCAAAATTTAAACCTTGGGTTAATATCAAAAACCAATATCAACAGATGTCTAGAATTGTGGATAAATTCGCCATAGCAGAGACAGGCGAAAAAAATTATTGAAGAACATTCACCAAGTTGATCATTTATCTTACGACGCCCTCTAAATTTTTAGTTTATTGTCCAAAAAAATAACAGACCATTGTAAACCAACAAGAATGTTATTAAGGTAAAGTAAATGTTTTCTCATTATTTAACTAATGTTAACTAAATCATATTATTTTGTTTTCTTGTTGTAATTCTGTTCTAAAGCTTTTCCTTATTCATTTGATCTGGCAAAGACAATATATAACATGTGTGTGCATTTAATGGAATCTATTTTTGCTGTAAATAATTTCAGTTTAAAAGTAATCTAAATAAAATCGTTTACTGTTCCTTCGTGCCGATGTTTGTGGCTTGTGAGAATAAGGGCCTTGTTGAGTGTACTAACAATTTTTGACCGTGCATGGGCGAATATCTTAGCTCGCAAAAGGACAAACAAAAACAATCAATAGAATAATTTATAAAGATTCTAATACCATTCTAATTTATAAAGATTCAAACCTTCAACTTTAGCGTCGATTCCGCAACAAGGGACTTCGTACCTACGGGTAGGGATCCGTTAAACTAACAAAAAAAACTCTTCAGTTTTGAACGATATAAATATTTTATATTATAAATGTTTTGAATGTATTAAACTATAAACCTAGGTATGGGGACAGTTTCTATATTATTATTTCTCTTTTATTAAAATTCAGGACAGCATAGTTAGATTCTCTGGAATAGTGATCATGGTTTTCTCTGCGAGCACGGCAGATTTTTTATGTGAATTCCAGGCAGAGTACGGCACTCCTTTCATTTCATTTAATAAAATAAGTAAGGCTCTTTACAAATTTAGTGTTTTATTTACATAACCTATTCTCCTCAAATTTCCCAAAATATTGCTTCTGTCCAGGCGCATCCGAGGTAATCACGATATAAAAATATTTAACACAACGTAGGTTCCTTTCTTTCATTTATATTGTTTGTTATGCAGTTCCAAAAATCTCTTCAACTTTGTTGACGAATTTGGGTTGTTGCACTACAGTACTTTACCTACTTTATCCTTAGAAGACGGATATTCCCAGTCGATATCAATTCCATCGTAGTTATATTTCTTGACCAAATCGTATCCATTTTGGATAAGAGTTGTTCTCAAATCTTTATTAGAAACTACATCAGATAAGCTTTTATTAGTCTGTACTAAAGTGAACAATACTTTCAGATCTGGATTGATGGATTTCAGTTCTGCTAAGGGCTCTACAAATCCTACAAAAACAGAAATTTGACAACTTGAAGTACCTACCTCTGTTTTAAAGGAATATCTTTATTGACATGTAGACTTTTGCGTTTATTGACACGTAGACGAAGTTTTTCAAAGTGTTATGAAATGCTTTTATAGTTATTAATGATACAAGTTCGATACGAACATCATAATGGCTTAGTTACACAAGTTTCATTAAATGTTCGTATCGAACGTGTATCATTCAAAATTTAATCTACGACGCGACACGAGGGACGATCCAAAGAGATTTGATTTAATTTAAAATATCAGAGATATCCTCATAAAAATTAAAATTCAAAATTATCAGGTGCTCATATTAGTCGACGTCGTGGTAACCGTGCTTGTTGATTGTTTCCATTTTGACTTTGACAACTCAATTATTGATGTTCAATTTTGTGTTAAACGTTCAGTTTTAGCAAAAAGCAAAAAATAATATTAATATGGGTGATTCTGATTCTGAAAGCGTTCCTTCGGATATTGAAGGCATTGCGCAAAACGTTGTCGATTCCCTACTTCCCGAAGAATCAAGACAAACGTACAAGCAAGCCTATGTAAAACTTGAAGATTGGTCTAAAGGGAAAGGAATTAAGTATAGTAGTAACGAAAAGGTTCTCCTGGCATATTTTGAACATCTTTCAAAACATAGAAAGGCTTCATCACTTTGGGTATAATATTATTCCATGCTACGTTCAGTTATATCAGTGAAGAAAAATACAGATATTAGTAAGTACGTCCATTTAATTGCATTTCTAAAAAGAAAATCGGAGGGATTTCGGTCAAAAAAATCGAGAATTTTAAGAAAAGAAGAGATAACTCGTTTTTTGTTGGAAGCCGATAATAGAACTTATTTCCTGACAAAAGTTTCATTGATAGTGGGACTTGCGGGAGCCTGCCGGCGTATCGAGTTGTCAAATCTGCAGCTGCAAAATGTTAAAGATGAAGGACAATGCATTCATGTCATTATTCCATTTACGAAAACAAAGATATCACGAGATTTTTTTATAACGAAAGGGAATGTTGAAGGAATAAATATGGTGGAAATGGTTCGAAGATATATAGCTATGCGGCCAAACAACACAGAGCATACTCGATTTGTTGTGGGGTATAGAAATAGAAAATGAATTAAGCAACCCGTTGGCATTAATACTTTAGGTAAAATGCCGTATAAAATAGCGTTGTTCCAAAGTCTTCCAAATCCACAACAATACACTGAACATTGTTTCCGTAGATCGTCTGCGTCGTTGCTTGCAGATTCAGGAGTGGATTTATTAACTGTTAAAAGACATGGTGGTTGGCGCTCTAACACAGTGGCAGAGAGCTATTTAACCAATTGTACTGATATTATAATTAATGTTTACAATAAATAAACGTATTTAGGCACCTTTTTTTGCTTGTTTCATATTTTAAAATTTGCGTGTTATTATGAATTCATAATAGCACTAGTGCTATTTCTTAAATAAGTGCAAATATTTTAAATTGTATATTTAGACCCTAGAAATACAAAAAATCCGTCATTCATCATTTCTTTTTTTTGGGAAGTAGTTATTTATCAAGAAAATATGTATTAAATTATACAAAGACATATGACAAGAGCAAGAAGCAGTTTTATTATTATTAAAAAATAATTTTGAGTACCTTTGGCTTCGTTTTGTATTGATAGTGTCCCATTAGAGTAAACTGTAACAAAAGCGTAGTAAATATGAGTTAGAAGAAACGGATTTATATCGGATACGTCCAAAGTTCTTAATGCACTTGATGCGTAATAACCTCCAATGTATTCTGAAACAGAAAAATAGGATGTATAAGTTAGTTTCAAAGAAAATAAGTGGATTTTTATGTGTATGACATCTACCAAACGAGTTTTTTTTATAGATATCTTTCTTTTTCTTAAACTTTTATTCAATAGGTACATGGTGGACCAACGACTTCGTTCGAGTCGAATTAATCATTTGTAATGGAGATGATAAAGCAAAGCAAGAATTTCCATTAACATACAAACTGGATTACATTTTCTCACCTTTATGTCAGCATGAGAAAAAACAATATGGCGATATTATTATATAACTTGGTAATATTTGAGGGGTAGTTTCATCTCGTTGGAATTTGACTTTCGAAAAATCCGTTTGCCAAAAATAAGCTTTTTACGTAAAGCAGTTTAAGCAGAATCGTGGTTAAGAAATTACCCAATTTTTTCGAACAAAAAAATTTCAAAATATGTATAAAAACCAAATAAATTATGCTTGTCCAAGCGTTTTCCCGAAAGATTAACCGTTTTTTAAATAACAAATATTGTAATATTTGAGGGGCGTTTTCACCCTCTTGGAATTTGAGATTCGAGAAACCCCTCCTTATCAAACCACCCCACGGTCAATCCGTTTGCCAAAGATCAGCTTTAAACGTCAAGCAGTTTAAGCAGAATCGTGATTACTCAATGATCATGTTTTATGAAACACCCTGTATAAATTTTAAAATCTTAAAATATGTAAAACAACAAAATAAAATATACGTGTTTAAGAGTTTTTCCGAAAAACTCACCGGTTTTTAAATAAAAAATATTTTAATATTTGAGGGATTAGTTTCACTCCCTTAGAATTCGAGTTTCGAAAAATCCCTTCTTATCGAACCTCTACACCTTAAAGTCAATCTGTTTTCCAAAAATCAGCTTTTTACGTCAAGCGCTTTAAGCAGGATCGTGATTAATCAATTACCAGATTTTTCGAAACACCCTGTATACATTTTTAAAAATCTTGAAATATGTAAAAAACAAAATAGAATATACGTGTTTAAGCGTTTTTTCGGAAACTTGACCGTTTTTTAAATAAAAAATATTGAAATATTTGAGGGGTGGTTTCACCCCCTTGCAAATCTTTCCCAAAGCATCTCAGATGTTGTTTCGGCCGTTGAATTCTTATATTTAATAGGGTGTCTCAAAAAAGTGTGAGTGGGCGTGTATTTGCGAAACCATTAAAATTTTTGAAATACTTTAAATACAAAAAATGTTAATTTTTTAATTCTCCATCTAATAAAAAAATAATATACAGGGTGTTTCATTAAAAAAATTATGTTATATTTAAAAAAATATTGTATATTTTAAAAAGTTTGCCGTAGAATTGTGAACATCTCGTATGGTTTAAGATTAATTACATCTAAAGTAAATACCTAATATACATAGTTTTGATTTCAGGACAAGTTCTTGTATTTTTAATAATTTTTTTAAACAAAGTTGAAAAATATATTTTTTAATTATTCATTAATCTCTCTGAAACTATGAAAACATATTTAATAATATCTTAGTTTTATGTAAAGGGATCAGGAAGGAAGCCAAATTTTTTTGAGCCACTCTATAGAAGTTAAAATATTTTCCTGAAATACATCCTCGTACATAATTTTAGGTTTGTACTCAAACCAAATATTCCCAAGTTATTTATTTTAGTTTTAGGAGTTACAGATGCCCGACGCACTATTGCCGGACCCTGTATATTAAAATATGATTAAAATGCATGCAACAACCTACTTACTAGATTCCGTAGTTACCATAGAACAAATCAGAACAACTAACACACTTATTCTAAACATTTTACTGATCGAGAACTAATATTTGAATAATTGATATGTTGCTATTCGATAACAAAATATTAAATAGTACGTACATATTACTCGTCAGTATTGTCGTTTATGTACTCAGTGTAAACAAAGAAAAGAGAAAAAAAAGGGGAATCACTTCAAATTGTTAAAATGTATAGTATGAATTTTCGAAGTAGTTACCTAAGATATTATTTTAGTTTTAATTATTTCGTAGATACTTTTAAATTAATATTATCACTAACGAGGTTATCAAAATACGAAAGCAGAGTAATTTTCATCTGTAAAGGTGGCTACACACACTACTGCAAGCTTGACAAGCACGCATGAACAATCTTTTTGTACAAGCAAACTGTAGCGTCTGTAGGGAAAATTTGCGCAAGCATTTTAATTGTGCAAACCGCTTGATGATTGATTGAATTTGAATCGTGCAAGCCCATGCTTGCGCAAGCAAAACGGTACATGTGTACAACATGTATTCAGCTTGTACCAACAATTAGTTCAGACCTGTACGTCGCGTCGCCATCATGTCTAGCGATCTGAAAAGGAGCGATCGAGGATTATTGGAAGATTTTATTCGTGCATACGAAAATCAGCCGTGTCTTTGGCGAATTAAATCACCAGAATATCATGATAGCGTGAAGAAGGATGCAGCATACAAAATTTTACTTAATAAGTATAGATTAATTGACAGCCAAGCCGATAAGGATGCCGTTACTAAAACGATAAATGCCTTCAGGTACTTTTTCTTGATTTTTGTGCAAGACAAATATTAAAGTAATTAGTAAAATAAAGGCATTCAAATCGGAATTCAAATCGGAATAACGGTTTTTAAAATATGTTAATTTTTTTAAAAGTTTGATGCCCTCTAACGGAGAAACCAAGCACTTTTGTATAGAGGTAAATTGTGTCCAACAAACTTATATATTGATTCCAAAAATACGTAGTAGTTCTATGTCCACTGAATAGGGAGACACCCTGTAATAAATTTCATAAAATTATCAATAGGTAGTTTCGAATCACGCAAAACTAGATTGTGTAAAGCTTTAGTAATTTCTTATAATGTCAGTGTTTAATTGGAACAATCAAATGATATATTTTAACGGGACAAGCGATTAAATTCTATATTGATGAAGACCTTGAATGCTATAAACGTGTTTTTTAATTATTACTCATTCTTTACCGATTAAATTTAGGCTATTTAATTTTTATACTCAGGGCTGGCAAAGGTTAGTCTTGGGTCAAGATTTCCGTATGTAAGAAGAGTACAATGCGTTTCTAATGTACTGAACAAAGAGAGGACAGTAAACACGTTGCCAAACGTATGAAATAAACCGAGAAACTGTGCACATCGCTAAGAGACGTGGAAGGGGATATAGCAGATTTGTCGCAGTTGACCGGTCGACCCAATCAATACCTCTGTCAGTACTTAAAGTTCTAGGGAAAAGTGTACGTCATGCGTTCAGCTTCACGATTTAATTACGTCTCGTGATACTTAATTTGTTTATTTATTAACGAGTCGTTGTAATTTTCCCTATAGCTTGATTTTTTTAAGTACAAGCTAGAAACACTTGTATTTTTGGTAAAAATAAGTGGAATTGAGTGGGTGTTCGATAGTGGTTGCGCTATTAGAACTCTGAATTCAAAAATCGATATCTCGAAATCTATTAGAAATAATAGATTGTATTTTATTCAAGAACTTTGTTAATATTTCTGCTGTATTTTCTTTGTAAACAGTATGTGAAAATCTTTATCAATAAAAAAATTACACGATTGCTGAAAATTGCTATGCTCTAAAAGTAAATGGATGGATTGTTTACAATTTTTGAATGGAAAAAACAACCTTATCGAATTTTTCTTAATATTTTAAAATATTCGATCTTGAAAATAAAAAAAGTTTCAATATCTAAAGTGGTTCTTGAGTTATGGCCTGTTATCTGTTAAAAAGTTGAGTTTTTACATTATCGCGATTACTGATGTTTTCTCGTTATAAAAAAAATGACACCTTAACGATATCCTTATAATTCCATTTCAGATGCTCAGAAACATGTCTAATGATTTTATCTAGTCATCTCTTGAAAAAAAAGTCTTTTAAAAATAAGCGGTTTGCGATCGTGATTTTACTTTACTTGATAGGGAAAGGCTTATCGGCAACGCCGCAACAGCACACCGTCGTTTTTTACGGCCCATCGTTCAAATTTTATGGATCCGTGTTGGCCACGATTCAATTGAACGAATCTTATTGTAAGTAATGAATCAATTTTCACGACTTTTTGAACGCACGAACGCATTGTGATCCGATTCAATTGTCACGATTCTTTTTTATGGCTCATCGTTCAAATGTTATGGATCCGTGCTGGCCACGATTCAGTTGAACGAACCAGATTGCAAGCAATGAATCGAATCTCACGATTCATTTTTTAATATTTTTAGATCAATCTTTGCCCACCTCTACTACCCACCATTTTGTAGCCAATTTTTGTGACTTCTTATGGGACACCGTTCGTACAAAAGAAAACGATAATATCAATAAAAATAACATACATATATTTAAACTTTTAAATCTCTCTATAAGGTAACTCATCAGTTAAAGGTACAATAAATAACATTGAACTTCATATAATCATTTAATATCCGTTTTTCTTGAGGGTGGTCTTGATAGTGTTGACGAGTGGGTATTTGCCATTGCCACAGATGCCAGAAAAGTCGTCAGTATCGAAGCTCCATACCATGAAACCTCCCAAGTTCTTGGACAGGGCGTACTCCACTTTGATTGCGATGGATTCCGTGTTGTCGTACCCAATCCATTGGTCACCGATCACCTTGTGTGGTACTTTTTGTACGTCATCCCAGATGTCAGCTGCGTCTGAGTGCAACTCGCAGATCTGAAAAAGAAATAATAAGATATACAGTGCGTCAGGCATCTGTAGCTCCTATACTAAGGACTGGCAAAGGTTAATCTTGGGTCGGGATTTCGGTATGTAATAAGAGTACAATGCGTTTATAATGTACTGAACAAAGAGATGACAGTAAACACGTTGCCAGACGTATGAAATAAACCGAGAAACTGTGCACATCGCTAAGAGACGTGGAAGGGGATACAACAGATTTGTCGCAGTTGACCGGTCGACCCAATCAATACCTCTGTAAGTACTTAAAGTTCTAGGGAGAGGTGTACATCATGCGTTCAGTTTCACGATTTAATTATGTCTCGTGATACTTAATTTGTTTATTTATTAACGAGTTGTTGTAATTTTCTCTATAGCTTGAATTTTTTTAAGTGCAAGCTAGAAACACTTGCATTTTTGATAAAAACAAGTGGAATTGAGTGGGTGTTCGATAGTGGTCGCGCTATTAGAACTCTGAATTCAAAAATCGATATCTCGAAATCTATTAGAAATAATAGATTGTAGTTTTTTCAAGAACTTTGTTAATATTTCTGCTGTATTTTCTTTGTAGACAGTATGTGAAAATCTTTATCAATAAAAAAATTACACGATTGCTAAAAATTGCTATGCTCTAAAAGTAAATGGATGGATTGTTTATAATTTTTGAATGGAAAAAACAACCTTATCGAATTTTTCTTATGTAAACATATTGTAAAATATCCGATCTTGAAAATAAAAAAAAGTTTCAATATCTAAAGTGGTTCTTGAGTTATGGCCTGTTATGTTTTAAAAAGTTAAGTTGTTAAATTATCGCGATTACTGACGTTTTCTCGTTATAAAAAAAATGACACCCTAACGATATCCTTATAATTCCATTTCAGATGCTCAGAAATGTCTAATGATTTTATCTAGTTATCTCTTGAAAAAAAAGTCTTTTAAAAATATGCGGTTTGCGATCGTGATTTTACTTTACTTGATAGGGAAAGGCGTACAGGCAAGGCTGCAACAGCACACCGTCGCATTTCTCTCACTCCGACTTAACAAGATCCCTATGCGGTTTACTTCCACACATGTAAATGCCGACCCAAAAGTAACAGTTGCCAGCACGGTATAACAAATCTAAGGTATGTAGTAGGATGTATTTCAGGAAAATAATTTAACCTCTATAGGGTGGCTCAAAAAAGTGCGAGTGGATAGCTTAACACCCTTTGCTTCCTTTCTGATCACTCTACATAGTCCTAAGATATTTTTAGATATGTTTTGTTAGTTTCAGAGATATTAATAAATAAATAAAAAATATATTTTTTCGGCCTCTTTAAAAAAAATATTAAAAATACAAGAACTGTCGTGAAATCAAAACTATACTAGATATTTACCTTAGATGATCTGTACTTACTTTACTATAAATATCGTAATCTTAAACCATACAGGGTGTTCAAAATTCTACTCCAAACTTTCTAAAATATAAAATATTTTTTCTTGTTTTTTTTAATGGAACCTGTATATTATTTTTTTACTAGATGGAGAATTAAAAAATAAACATTTTTCTATTTAGAATATTTCAAAAATTTTAACGGCTTTGCAGATACTTGCGATATTATTTCATATGGCTTTTCAACGGTAAAATACGAAAGAAAAATCATAGGAGGGCTGTGATAAAAATTTACTGTGGAAAATGTCATATGAAATATAAAACGTCAAATATCTGCGAAACCGTTAAAAATTTTGTTTATTTTTTAATTCTCAACCTACTAAAAATATGATACAGGGTGTCCCATTAAAAAAAATAAAGAAAATTTATTTTATATTTTACAAAGTTTGGCGTAGAATTTTGAATGCCTCGTATAATATAAGAGCACGATATTCGTATAGTATGTGAAACGAATAACTTTGAATTTGACAGTTCCCGCGGGAATTTGACAGTTCCCGTAGTTTTCTAGTGTTAATTTTATTAGGTTAGCAACTTGTGGCCATGCTGACGCAATGCCGTCTCTAATAGAACAGCCTCGGAGCAAGATTTATGACGTCACGTTAGTTAGATACTACGGATTAATAAATATGTTGTAGAATTCATGGAGAACATAATTATTCCTCGTATTTTTGGTTTGTATTTTAAAAATGATATAGTTTACATGAAATATACATAATATACAGTTAATAAATACAATATACTCGTATATACCTATTTATAGTAATAAATACTTTGGCAAATAAACTATGAACCATACAAATGCAGCAAATGTTTTACAATATACAAATACTGAATAGGTACATAAGATAATGGGTAAAATGTAAAATATATTTTAAATTTTGGGGTTTGGAAATCGATCTAATTTAACAAAAAACATTCAATATCTACTAATAGTGATGTATTATTATTTGCATTCACAAAATTTATATGTATATTTTGCAAGTATCAATGTTCGAAAAATTATATTTGCAAATCATACAATATCATAGAAAAAAAGGCGTCAGCGATGGCTATGAAATAAAGATCGCTGTCATTTTATATGTAAAATTATTCTAAAATTTTTAATTTTCTTGGGATTTAGGTTCGGGAAAGACGCTGATTAAGTTTTCATTTGGTTTTCATTATTTTAATTTGGTTTAAAAAAAAACGTTTCGGCTAACATTATAGCCATCATCAGTGTTATGTCATATGAAAAAAAAAGTGTCAAATATAATCCAAAAAATTACATATAAAATATTCACACCACACACCACATAATGTTTACTGCAATTAATAAACTAATATAAACTTGTCAAAAGATGACCACATATTTTTTAAAATTATTATTCTTAACACTAAAACTATCTACATTGACTATCAAGTACGATTTCAGCCATATATTTATTAATCCGTAGTATCTAACTAGCGTGACGTCATAATTCTATGACGTCTATTAGAGACGGCATTGGTCTGATATTTAGAAATGTCAGAAGCTGATGACATTTTACTTTTGACAATTATGATATTTCGTGTTGATTTTTGCAAGAAGAGGAAGAACTGTCACTTATTTTATTATTTTCCTTTTCTATTTCACGAAAGTAAAAAGAGTTACGTATCTGATTCGTTCAGGCACTCATTTTAAAGAATATCAGTAACTTTTTGGATAGAGGGATTTGATATTTGCCATGTTGGTAAAAAATAACGGTCAAAATTCAAAGTTATTTATTTTATAGACTATAGCAAATTAATTACAGACCATCGAAAGTAAATGACTGGTGTGTATGAATTATTTTATCACTTGGTGGATAAAATTAAATCGCGAACATCGCGGTTATGGGACACAAAAAATTTCTGGATTTTCTTTATATGGCGCACGTTTAATATTCAAAAAGAAAAAGAGCCTTATTTGCAAAAAATAAAGTTGGAGAAGAATATTCGTAGTGGAAAATCTCAGTCTTTTCACTCGGTAAGCCTCTTAGGTTTTTTTTCTGGAAAATATAAAAAAAAGTGGCAAGCATAAAAGACGTCGATAGAAAAAGGGAAAATCCAAAATGGAGTTATGGAAAGACTCGGTATTTTTAGATAAAGAATTTCTTTTCGTTTCAATAAAATATAATTTCATTGTTGAATGATATGAAATATATTGCAGAAAATTATTTAAAAAATGTTTTCAGTTTATTAAATAGGTAATCCTTTATTTTATTTTTTCCATAGCAACTGTTAAAATGCCTTATATCTATTAAAAACAGTAGATAAAATAGTACTTTAATCCCAAGGGTCCCCCCTATCCTCGCTGTTAAAGTATCATTTAATCTGATACTTTAACAGCGAGGATAGGTTAAAAACTTTATTTCTTCTCTCGCGTTTTTTAATTGCTTCCATTTTTGAAAATTTTTGTATTCCTTTTCATAACTTATTCGGGATTTAAATGAAAGTAGTTTGGATATGACGTTTATCGCCTCAGCCTGAATGTCTATTGGTAATTTACTTATTTCGTTTTGAGCCATTTCCGGCTCTAATTCAATCAGCAATCGACACGAAAGAGAATTAAAAAATATTGACTCAAAATTTTTTCATCGATCGTGAATTAATATTTTCGATGTATAAAAATAACTATAAATTAGTTGTTAAATTTATTCGTGTTAAACATAAAATAAAGAACAAGAATAAAAATTCTTTAAATTAATCATAAATTTTATTCTTTTATAGGTACTGAATATTTAGCATGATCGAAAAAAGTCGTTTAGTTGACTTGGAAATGACGATTATTGCGGATTAATCTGTAGTTCTGGCAACATTGTCGGACTACGGTACAGTAATCTTTATTCGCTGCGCTCTAAAAACTATCAGCGCGCAGCGGCGCAGAACTAAACTGAATTTCGGACAGCCTGATGGTAAAGCCAGCTACATCTTTTCTGCTACGAAAATCGCCCAAAAGGTTGCGCATCTTCTTATTTCTTTAATCAATGTGTTGCTTACCTCGTTGTATCCTAGAACTCCGTCAATTCTAGTGTAGGGTCCGGCGGTGCCACCTCCCGAGATTGGAGCATACAGAGCAGTGTTGGATGAGTCTTTCAGCGTGAAAGTTCTAGCGTAAGTGGCAATACCGAAGTTGATCTTGGCTGGATCGGCTCCTTGACTTAACCAGTAGTTAATACCAACATCCTAAATACGTGAAATCATATAAAACACAGTTCTGCATTATAGTTTCAGCATATAAGTAATATTTGTAGTATTTAAGGCTAGTATACAGAGTGATTCACAACCATGCCGCCTCTCTTGGCCCTAGATCATATACATTTACGTGGATAAATCAACGCCATAAGTTTAGCATTACTAAAATATGTCTCCAACATCACGACATGCCATTTTCAAACCTTCTTTATTGCACTTATTAAACGTTCAATAGGTTTGTCTTTTTCGAGGACCTTACTTTGCGCATGCGTATTAAAAGTTTCACGTATTTCCAAAATAAACACAATTTTATACGGTTTAGACTTTGAATAAGAAGACTAAGGAAGGAGCATAATGCTATCCATGTATTCATGCATGGTGGGCGGAAAAGGCTCCATAAAGGCTCTCTGGGGTGGGGATCCTTGACAGTTCTGTTTGACGATTCATTTGACACATTTGAATTTGATTTGAAATTTTGTGGATTTGTTAGTCTTTATGGAGCTTATTTTATGTTATTTATTATTTATTCTACTACTGATAGTTGTATGAAGGTAGTAAATCTAGATGGAAATTGTGGCAGAACTTAAATTAACAGTGACACTATCGCGATTTATCGAAAAAGACTCTAAAATAGTTGGTTGTGTAGCGTGCGGTAGATCTCGGCAAAAATTGAGTGAAATAATGGAACAACTTTTCGCTAGTAAGTGACTATATAATATACATACGTATAGTAAACCGATCATTTATGAAATTCACTTAAATTAACTAAATTATATATTTTTTCTTGCATTTTAGCTTTTATTTATTACTTGTCAAAGTTTAGATGTCAAAGAATTTAGATACGTTAATTTGACTTACCTGCTTCAGTAGCGTATCGGATGTTTGTGTTAATAAATACTTATTATAACTTATCTATTTTTATTAGAATTATATATTTTATAACAATTTTAATAACTACCAACATTTATTCACAACGTAAAATAAAACAACAAATTATTGAGTCTACCCCACGTCTACCCTACATCATAGTTTTACATTTTTTAAATAAAATTAGAACGACACTGATAAACCGGAACTTAAGTCGGCCATATTTGAGGCCCATCGCGGTGTACCTAAGATTTTTGATATGCTCCTTCCTTAGTCTTCTTATTCAAAGGGTTTAGAAAGTACAAATTATACATTGTTATGGAAACGAACTTTTCATTGTCATCATATTGTCATAATCATATTTCCATTTTGTTTCCATTGTGTAACGACGCTTGTTTTTTATTTTAAAAATTGTATTAATTCCTCTTTTATCGACCGCTTTTATATAGCCAAGAATGCAAGTGTGTTCAGTGAGAAGTTAATTTTAAGTTTGTGCAACTATATTTCTATTTTTTTTTTCGTTGGACTTTCTAAATACTCGTAAAAATGACTAGAAAGTGTTTCTTGTATGAAAGTTCTAATATAAAGGTCCTCGAATTATCTTTTCATAGGAAATCGTCTTCGTTGAGTTCTTTTACCAACTGAATTTTGTACGGGTGGAACTTGTGTTTTTTTAATATCCTTTGGACACTTGTACGATTCACGCCGGTCTCATTGGCTAATTTTCTTGTACTCAGCGTACTATCCATGGCAACTTGGCCCAATACGAATACCTCCATAGCTTCATTTACTACAGGATTTTCTTCCCTCTGCCTCTTTTTATTCATAACGGAACCAGTTTCGCGAAATTTTGCCATAAAGGTGTTTGTCAGGATGGCGTTCATTCAATATCTTCGCAACCCGATTGCCACATTCATTATTTTTAAAATAAAGTTTGATTATTTCCACTTTTTCCGCAAGTGAGTACACCATAATAATTGTTAAAAAGTTTAACGATATTGAGAAGAACTTCAACGCATAAGTCACAGAACAGCTATCTGGCAACTACCGCACTTGATCGTTCAGCCTTGTGGCAAGTGAAAAAATGCGTAAACATCTAGAAATAATAAGAAAAACCTAAAATTGGTCGAAGGAATTTATCCTTATCATTTACTCTGATAAATGTTTCAATAAACTTTTCAAATTTCAATCCTTCATATTTTCTCAATGACTCGACCGATTTTCAAAACGAAGCGGGAAAGTATAGAGAATAGAAAGCCCTTTTCATTGCGGTACCACTTGACCCCCCTTTCCATTTAAAAAAATTGGGGATGACACCCCCGCTTAGAGGGTTGAAGATTTTGCAATCATTTTTGGGGCAAAAGTTGTCCCCCTCACAAAAAATTGAAGTGTTTTTGAATTTTCTGAAAAAAAAATATCCTGGCCGTTATGCCTTGCGGAACGTTTTCGATGGGCCACCCTGTATGATCTAGGCTCTTGGCCGTCCCACTTTATTGGCAGATGCTTAAAGTATCTACTAGCCTTACAGGAGTATCTATACCAACTATAGTATTTTTAATACCCATTTAAGAATAACACCATCCTTATTTATTATTAATAAATCAGTTGAAACAAAAAATTACCAACAAAATGAACGTCGATTATTAATAATTTGTTAGATGTCACGTTTTTTTAAGTTACGTTTCATGTTAATGTCATAACGCAAAATAAGATATAAAAATGCGATATTCTGATGAATCCAAAACTTATGCTTAATGTAGTAAACTATTTTCAAAACGATTTAGGATCTCGATTTAAGGCAATTCAAAAGCATCCGAAGCACTAAAAGTTCCAGAATGCACATTATATAATCTTTGAAAAACCAAACAGAGCTACAGATTTCGAATTTAGAAGAAATATGTCTGCAAGCGTTTCCCGGAGCAAAATCCGAATTACAAAGAATACCCTACATTGTTTGAGGGAAGTAATTTACAAAATGTATGCGCGAAAGGATAAAATCACAGTAGAAACTATTTTCCGGCAATTTATCGAAGAATCTCCAGAAACTAAGATTTCCAAAAGTTCGTTATATTTGGGAATTAAAAAAATGGGTTTTCAAAAAACGGATGGAAGAAAACAGTTATTGGAAATGTCTGAATCAGATTAAAAGAATATTATTTTTGAACAAATACTATGCTGCTAAAAGCGAAAGCTCTTTACACCTGTTTTTCTGTAGAATTTTTACTTAAACGAGCCCTTAAATAAATATTATTACTGCTTGCTCGACTTCTTGTTATATTATTTATTATACTTTTTAGTGCTTCAGACGCTTATTGAATTGCCTTAAATCGAGATCCTAAATCGTTTTGAATATAGTTTACTACATTAAGCATAAGTATAAGTTAAGATATTCTTTGGTATAAGCCTTAAATCGAGATCTTAAATAATATAGGTATTTTTTAAGAAAACTCGGTATCTAGTTAATAAAACAATATTTTTAAAATTAGTGCGCTTCTTCTATATTTTTTTTATTATGTCAACATCTTTAGAATTTCATAAAATTAATTTTTATTATTATAAACCGCCACTGATAATATGAAATTTCAAGTCACTCCGCCAATGCAATAAGAAATATGTCAAGCATTTGACATGACAAAGGTCATAACCTAATTTTTTTCATGCGGGTGTAGATGGTGCAAGAAGCCGCATACGTTAAGTTACTAAAACGGCTGGTACCTCTAAATAGGTATTAAAAATACTATACTTATATGAATTACAGGCACTACACTACGTTCGGATTTCATTTACGTCCGATCAAGATAATGATGGATTTTGCCTGAGTTTTTACTGAAAGCGTAAATGAAATTTGAACGTAGTTAAGTGTAAATACTCACAATGTTCCATTCGGAGTTGTTGTATTGAGCATCGATTTCAGAAGAGTACAGAAGGGTGTGATGACCAACGTAGTTGTCAAACTCACCATGGAAATCGTAGGACATGACGTTGATGTGATCCAAAACGCTAAAATGAGAAACTGCTTTATACAGGGTGAGTCTTAAATAAGTGCAAATATTTTCAGGGCTGGTAGATATCGATAACACAAACATGTTTTCTCTTTACCGTTTTTCAAATTAGTCCAAAACAGCCGAATTATTCAAGCTTGAAAATTAAAACACAAATATTTATTTTTAAAAAAATTTGAGTCACCGAATTTTTTCTGTATTTCCCTCTGTATTTCCATCCCTTAACCCGTGGGAAAATTTGCGGTGAGCAGGCAGTTTAAAATAGTTTTCTAAACTATCCTGGAAAATTTAAAAAAAATGCACGATTTTTAACATTTTCAGAGCCGGTCAGAGTGATAAAAAATTGATAGAAAAACTCCAGAGCGACAGAAAAGTGTACAGGGTGGGTCAAATTCGACGCTTTTAAATGGAAACACCCTTTTCTATAGGAGATAGACGAAAACTAATATCGGTGTCTACAGCTCAATTTTCATCAAAAACATGATAGTGAAAACCGCATATCTCATCAATATCTGTTACCGTTTCGGAGTTACGGGGTGTTTTTCAAAACTGTGCATTTTTAACAAATCGCTGTAACTTTTTTGCTATGGAAAATTTTGTATTTCTATGAAAACATTTCCAAAGTACCTTTTTACGTAGAATTTAATGGTTTAAGTATAATTTTTTTAAAATTAATAATTTAAGAGTTATCAACAGAAAAACTGATTTTTTATTTGGGACACCCTCTATATTTTTAATTAACTGAAAAGAATTTAAAATTACCTTTTCAAAAATATAGCACACTTGATATTTTGTTATAATCCTCTTCGAAATACAGAATTTTTAAAAGTTCGCCACTTTTAACTAGTAGGGTTTGGACCCCTTATTGATGATATACCTCTAATGGAACTCGAAAACATATTTTTCCAGCAAGACGACGCACCGGCTCTGGACGCTGAAGTTATTAGCAAATTTTTGCAGCCAATTTCAAGAATATTTGAATAGCTAACCAAGATCCCAGCCGTTGGCCGTCGAGGCCGCCTGACTTAGTGCCCATGGATCTAATCCTATTGATATATTTGCGAAAAAAGGTTTCTTATTCTTCCGTATAATCTAGACAAGAATTAGGAATACTTAGCAGTTATGAGAGGGTATCTTTCACCCCCACTGAGTTAATGAATTTCGCGAGAAATGTTCAAAATCTGCCCCGTCTGTCCATAACAGAAGACGGTCGATATGTTGAACACCTATAGCAAAATCTCATGTCTTGGTTTGCTATTTATTTTTAATGTTATTAGATATAGTTTAAATGTGTTGATGTTGGTTAAATATGTTTTAAATTGTTATAAAATTCTGCATCTCTCATAGCAAATATTATTTTTCGTTTTAATTGATGCTCACAGCTAGAATTTTTGCATTACAGCCGGTGCCGTTCAAAGCCTACTTATTTAAAGCGGGCGAATTTTTATATACTCTATATCTCGAAGAGGAATCGAGCAAAATATTAAGTATGTTATATATTTTGGAAAGGTAATTTTAAATTCTTTTCAATAAATTAAAAATATACAGGGTGTCCCATATAAAAAAATTTTTGTTGATAATTCTTATAATATTAATTTTAGAAAAATTATACTTAAACCATTAAATTCTACGTAAAAAGGTGCTTTGGAAATGTTTTCATAAAAATACAAAATTTTCCATAGCAAAAGAGTTACAGCGATTTGTTAAAAATGCATATTTTTGAAAAACACCCCGTAACTCCGAAACGGTAACAGATATCGATATGCGGTTTTCACCATCATGTTTTTGACAAAAATTGAGCTACAGACACAGATATTAGTTTTAGTCTATCTCCTATAGAAAAGGGTGTTTCCATTTAAAATTTGCGTCGAATTTGACCCACCCTGTACAATAAATACGATTTATTATTATTATATTCAAGCGTGACATAAGGAAATGGGAGAGTCACAAGTCACAAAGTTGTGCTGAAATCATTCGTCGTGACGTACATTCGTTGCGAATGCACGTCTACACCAGAAAAAGATTTCCACACGATTGAGAACGAATGCAAACGGATGGTAACATTCGCAGGTAATACTTACTCAGACAAAGCTTGTACGTCGTAGGAAATGTCGATGTTGCTCTTGGCGCTGTTTACTGCAGCTGATAAGATGTAGCCTTTAGGTTCGAAGACTGCCTTTAATTCTTGAAGCATCAAAACGAAGTTTTGCTGAAGAAAAAAAGAGAACACTAATAATAAAATTTACTTAAATCTCATTCCGCAAATTTTCAGAGAAAAGCACTAGAACTAACTCAATCGGAGAATAATTTTTGACTGATATATACGAATAGCCGTTACAAACGTAGACTGAATGAGACTGAGACGGCAGTGCAGAACGAATAGACATGCACGAATGAAGCTTAAAGGCGGAGATTGACTTGTTGACCCACCCTGTACAGTTCAAATCTCTCAGATATCGATGCGTGTAGGGTCCTGTTAAGAGATACTGTAGTAATCGTTTGCTGTGCTGTTACTTTGGTGTCAAAGATTTTGGACGTTTGTGAATTTCAACAGCTTCCCTGACAAGACGAGGATGATTGTATGACTTGGGTATGACTTGGGCATGACTTGGGTATGACTTGGACATGGTATGACTTGGGTGTGTTTTTGAATTGGATATTGTGGTCACTATCTCTTAGAGCATGTTCTGCTACGGCCGACTTCTCTGTTTGCCCTAATCTGCAGCTTCTCTTGTGTTCTGTAAGTCTCTGTTTCTACTGAGCGTCTGGTAGTTCCAATATATACGCTACCGCAGGAACAAAGGTATACGGTAGATCCCTGCAGAGGATAATGATTCCCTTTTGTCTTTGGCTGGTCTTAAGCAGTCCTTTATTTTCCAGGTAGGTTTGTATATGGTTTTGATATAATGCTTCTTGAGAACTTTACCAATCCTATCGGTGACCTGGGAAACATATGGAAAAGGCCTTATTAACGGTGTTTTCCCTGTTCATTGACATCAGGTTTCCTCTGCCTAGGTGACAGCGCCGCATTTATTTCTCTGTCATTATAGCCATTGGCAAGAAAGACTTTATTTAAATGGCTTAGTTCCTCTTGGATGTGTTCCTTAGCACAAATGCGTCTTGCCCTATTTGCTAATGTTGTTATAATCCCTGTTTTTGGCTTGGATGGTGATTTGACAGTTTGTGCAAGTACCGGTCTGTATGAGTGGGTTTTGATACACCGTTTTGATCCAAATGGTCGCCATTTCTTTTGACAAGCACATCGAGGAAGGCCGGTTGGTTGTTTACTTCGGTTTTCCATGGTAAATTTTATGCTCGGGCTCTGCGAATTAAGGTGATGAAGGAAGTCATCTAGGCTGTCACGTCCATGTTTCTAAACAACAAATGTATCGTCCACATAACGAAACCATACAGCGGGCTTCAGAACGGATGACTGTAGCGCTTTTTCTTCGAATCTCTCCATAAAGAAATTAGCAATTATTGGGCTGATTGGGCTGCCCATTGCGACACCTTCTGTTTGTTCATAATAATTGCCGTTCCATAAGAAATAGCTACCAGTCAGACACACTCGGAAGAGCTCCGCGATGTCAGGTGGGAATGATTCCCTGATTAGATCCATTGACTCGGCTAGGGGTACTCTCGAAACGTCAGGAACCAATTCCAACCGACGAAGGCCTAATAACCCGAAAAACAACATTTCTTCTGACAAGTAGTTTCCGTTTGGATTAACGCAGAAGTGTTTAAAAAAATAACTATTTTATTTTGTAGATTTTCTTGCAGTGGCGAAATACCCATATAGGATTTTTTTGGAGACACTGTAGTAAAGTTGCCCAATTTTACAATATGCCTGCTGCTTACCTTATCATCAGGATTTTCGCTGTCTCTTCTAGCAGGGTATTCCCAGTCGAAATCAAAGCCATCGAAGTTGTGTTCCTCGATGAACGCGAGCACTTCGTTCTTCAATACTGTCCTTTTGGCAGGATCGGCTACCACTTCTGAGTATTTGGCAGACATTTCGTTCCAACCGCCAATGGAAACCAGAACCTTAAGGTTGGCGTTTTGTTGTTTGAGGTTTACAAATCTTTGGAAACCATCTACACGAGAAATTAAAAATAGAAGAAAATATAGAATAAGTGGAGAAAATATAGAATACAGGGTGTACGCTTGCACAAATATTTCTTGTAAATAAATATTTCTTCATTTTCTTTTCTACTTTTCTGTACAAAATGAGTGGGAGTAGCGAAAGATACAGATTAACAATTTGTTAAAGCATTGTGGCGACAGATGGATATTTTTTAAATTTTGAGTTTGGTATGTAAAAAGGAGGACTTTTTCAATACGTCACAGAAAAGAGAACAGTGAGATAAAAAAAGACTGTTCACTGGATGGAATAGAGGACGGTTGGCAACCCTAGTTTAATGAAAACAATTTTTTTTTCAAACGTCACAAAAGTATTAATTTTCGCGACATGATTGACAAGAAAAAAAAGTCAACGGCTAAGCAGAAAAGTAAAGCACTTTTACGCCTAAGCATAATAGTATGAAAATATATTATTAAACTTATAAATAAAATGTCAAATTCAACAAGTGTTTCCATAAGTTCTCTATATATAATAATTATTTACAGGGTATGTGTTTTAAATCTTTTTTCCCATAGCAACTGTGAAAATTGCCTTATATCTATCAAAAATAGTAGATAATTGACTTTAGAAATAGTACTTTAACCGCAAGGGAGATTTAATGATACTTTAACAGCGAGGATAGGTTAAAAACTTTATTTCTTCTCGCACGTGTTTTAATGCTTCCATTTTTGAAAATTTTTGTATTCCTTTTCATAAGTTATTCGGGATTTAAATCGAAGTAGTTTGGATATGGCGTTTGTCGCCTCAGCTTGAATATCTGTTGGTAATTTACTTATTTCGTTTTGAGCCATTTCCGACTCCAATTCAATCAGCAATCGACACGAAAGATAATTAAAAAATATTGACTCAAAACTGACACCTAAAGAGACAGCTTTATTTATTTGTCAAATTACATAGAAACCAACGCCAACCCAGCACAATATTTTTTCTACTCGTAATAAATTGCTTGAAATAAAAATTTCTGAATATTTTTTAAAACGAAACTCGCTATGGAAAAAAATCCTGAAATTAATTCACTCGCGATTTCATCGTATATAGACCATTTTATCGTCTTGTATAAAACATAACTATTGATTGCATTTCCAAGGTTTGAAATTGTTTAAAAAATTATTTATGGCATTTTAAAAAAATAGCATGTTCTATTCAGAGTAAAAATGACTTTTTGTGCCCTGGCTGTATGTCGACAAACGTACAGCCTCATCACAAAAAGTGTCATAATACTTACTCTTGATAAAACAATATATTATTGTACTTTTGTAAGCGTAAAAGTGATTTTATGTCTAGGCGTTAAAATTACTTTTTTAATTTGTCAATCTTTGTTGTCAAAAATTAATTCTTTTGTCACAACAAATCCTAGGTATATAACATTCAAAATTTGGGTTAAACTTAAATAATTTTGATATGGATTTAAATGGATACTCACTTAGACCATCAGAGTCTGATTCCCATGGATCCAATATCGAGATGGACCCGTTGGTTTGGATGCCCAAGAAGGTAAAGGCAACGTGCGTACATAGGGTTGCATCGATGTTCTCCACGTCAAATTTTCCATTGCCTGGTCTGTACACCGTCCAACTTTCGAAGTAACAATAGATTACTTTGTCTAAAAATAGAGTGAAAGTTAATAAATTATACAGTTCATTTTCCCAAAGTGGTGGCCCCATCATCAAACTTAGGTAAATCTATACTAATATATAAAATCCTTAAGTGACTGACATACTGATTAATCACGATCCTGCTCAAACCACTCAACGTAAGAAGCTCAATTTTGGCATACAGGTTGATTCTAGGGTGTAGAGGTTCGATAAGAAGGGATTTTTCGAAATTCCAGTTCCAAGAGGGTGAAACCACCCCTCAAATATTACAATATTTTTTATTTAAAAAACGGTTTTCGAAAAAACGCTTAAACACGTATATTTTATTTTGTTTTTTTACATATTTCAAGATTTTTTAAAAATATATACAGGGTGTTTCGAAAAATCTGGTTATTGATTAATCACGATCCTGCTTAAAGCGCTTGACGTAAAAAGCTGATTTTTGGAAAACAGATTGACTTTAAGGTGTAGAGGTTCGATAAGAAGGGATTTTTCGAAACTCGAATTCTAAGGGGGTGAAACTATCCCTCAAATATTAAAATATTTTTTATTTAAAAACCGGTGAGTTTTTCGGAAAAACTCTTAAACACGTATATTTTATTTTGTTGTTTTACATATTTTAAGATTTTTTTTTATAAATGTATACAGGGTGTTTCATAAAATGACCATCAGTGATCAGGATTCTGCTTAAACTGCTTGACGTTTAAAGCTGATTTTTGGCAAACGGATTGACTGTGGGGTGTAGAGGTTCGATAAGGAAGGGTTTCTCGAATCTCAAATTCCAAGAGGGTGAAAACGCCCCTCAAATATTAAAATATTTGTTATTTAAAAAACGGTTAGTCTTTCGGGAAAACGCTTGGACAAGAATAAATTATTTGTTTTTTTTACATATTTAGAATTTTTTTAAAAAGTCATACAGGGTTGGGTAATTTCCAAAAAGTTGGGTAATTTCTTAACCACGATTCTGCTTAAACTGCTTGACGTAAAAAGCTTATTTTTGGCAAACGGATTTTTCGAAAGTCAAATTCCAACGAGATGAAACTATCTCCCAAATATTACCAAGTTATATAATAATATCGCCATATTGTTTTTTTTTCATGCTGACATAAATGTGAGAAAATTTTATCCAGTTTGTATGTTAATGGAAATTCTTTCTTTACGTATCATCACCATTACACAAGATTAATTTGACGCGAACGAAGTCGCTGGTACACGCTAGTGTGATTATAAAAATTGTTTATTAGTGACCGGTTTCGGCTATCCAGCTATCCTTACTAGCATCAGTCCAACGAATAGCGATTTTGACAAAGGTTTGACAAGATGGAGAAATTCACTAGGGCAGAGACAAGCGAAAAAGTTCCTTCTATAACATTCGCCAAAATTTACGGTAGAGCTGTTAAAACTATCCAAGCTATAGTGAGGGTTGAGCCCAGGGAGGGCCTAAGGTTTTTTTTTAATGAAAAATAACTTAAAAAACACATTTTTTGAATAAAACGTTTACATGAATTTCTTTATCAATAAATTTCATAGACAATAAGTCTATGGTCTATCAAACCGTGTTCCGTAGATTACTTAAATACCTACAAATTTTCTAAAAAATAAAAATTAACACATTTTTTGAACACAAAAAAATAATATTAACTAAACAAAACTAGAAAACGTAATTTTAACTGCATCACAAGCAAATAAAAATTAATACGTAGCCAAGAGTCATAATTAAGGATTTCTCTGGGGGGTGCCCAGCAGTACATGGGGGGGAGCGGCATCCCCGGGTACCCCTGTAGTTACGCCAATGAGTGGGTTTACTAACAGATTTAACAACTTTGTAACTACAGTACTTAGAGAAATATTTTATATCCAAATAGAAGGATTATCATAATATGCCATATTAAGCACTATCGTAAAAAACTCTAGACAAATTTAATAGATATATTTTAATAGCTGTTCAAATAAGATAAAATTACATATTTAAATTGGTAGTAAACTGTTTTTTTTTTATATTCTAAACTAAGCTAAAATAAGTATGTAATGATAATAATTCTATTTATAGTGGAAATGCGAAGTGTACATGACTCTAAAAACTGTACAATCAATTATTAGTTTAATTAATTTTAATAATTATTTATTTTTTATATTTTATTATATTAATTTTTCGGGTTTGGGAAATATTCCTTGCTCAAAACTAGATTTGCGTATTTTTCTCGGGCATTGCCCGAATTCGACAATTGAACGTAATAGATAGACAACAAAAGATCCAGGTAATAGATGTAATTCACAGAATCAGGTCCCTCAACTGGCAATAGACAGGACATCTGGCAAGAAGAACGGACAATAGATGCACTACAAAAATTACAGCATGGCACCTAAGAGGAATTAAGAGACCTAGAAGAATGCCAAACATGAGATGAAACCATTATATTAGGAAATTAGGAGGGATTACTTGGGCCTCCATAGCCAACAATAGACAAGAATGGGCCTAAATATAAAGAGATTATCTAGAAATGTGAAGAAGGCTATACCATAATTGGAAATGGTAAATAAATGCCTTTATTGTCAAAAAATTTTACAATTTGTAGACAAAGGTAAACTAAACAAACAAAGTAAACAAACAAACAAACAAAAGAGAGAAGAGAATACAAAACATTATACAAATAACATTGTCAGTCGTACTGGTTAAAATAAACATTTATAAATTTTTACAATGTCAAAGAATAAAAGAATAAAAATAATATTCAAAAATATTTAGTTAGTTTCTGGCAAATATCAATGACCTCCAAATAAATTTATTTCGACGTCATTGGTAAATATAGCAATAGCAAACATTAGACCAGTGTTTACAAGATCAAATTCGATTATCAAAATATAAGTCATTTACGGCGTAGAAAGCCTTGTCTAGTAAATAAGAGTTCAATGCTTTGCGAAATGAAGAAAATGATGTTATGGATTTGATTTCAAATGGCAGGTGATTGTGCATTTTTTTCGAGTTGTATAATATTGAACTTTTAACTAACTCTGAGCGTGGGGTAGGTAGATAAAGATCTTGCTCCGCGTTCCTGAGTGGATAAGTGTGAGATTGCCTTTCTTGAGAACCTGATACATGCTTACGTATTAGGCAAACGGATTCTAATATAAATAAGGAAGGAAGGGTTAATATTTTGAATTTTTTTAAAAAGCCCTGGCAATGAGTTTTTTTTAAAAAGCCCTGGCACAGCTTTCTTCTGGAGCTTGAAAATGCGGCCAAATTGAGTCGCACAACACGTACCCCAGAATGGAAGGGCATACCTGAGGTGCAACTCAAAAAGTGCGTAGTAAACAGTTCTAGTCACTGATAAGTTAAGCTCCTTAGAAACAGATCCTAATGCAAAACAGACAGAGCTTAATTTTTTCGACAAAGCTTAGATATGTCCCATTTCAGAGAATTGTCTACAACAAGCCCTAAGAATTTTACAGATTTTACGACGTCAATGGTGGTGAAGTACAAAAGGCTGCAGCGAGTGCTGCAGCTGGTTGAATAAGCTGAATATGATGATGATAATGACATATCAAAGCAATTTAAATCAATAAAAATCAAATAGTGTTTGAATGCAACGTACCTGTACTCTGAACACTTTTACACTGTACCGCATACACTGCCACGGACAGCAGCAAAAAGCTCACGATTCCTTTCATTTTATTTGTTTTCGAACAGTATTGTACAATTTAATATATTTCTAGTTTTACTAAAACATTTCTCCAGATAGTCAGTCCTTTTATAACGATATACAGATCAATCTTATCGATTTTTTAGTGTTTGTTCATTGGTGGATGATCTTATTTCAAGAGAAAACACTTGAGATAATATTTTTAGTAAATAAGTCATAGTATTTTTTTGCTATAATAACTTTATCTATGCGTTTCCTCTCACTTGAAATGTCAATACACTTGAATTGTGTATATTTATGTAGTTAGACACATTTTCTAATAATGGTGGATTCATCTCTCAAAAAATATGGGTATTTCGCCACTGCACTGCAAGAAAATCTACAAAATGAAATAGTTATTTTTTGTAAACACTTCTGCGTTAAACCTAAATGGAATCTACTTGCCAGAAGTTATGTTTACAGTTATACAAATTTGCCTAACAAAGAAAAAAATGCTTAACGTTTCGGAAAGTTTATCTCTTTCCGTCGTCGGAAGCAAAAAAATGCAAAGAATAAAGAAAAAAACTATTTAAAACATTTAAGTTCAACTATTCGAGAACACTTTAGTTTTTTAAAACAGATACGTCTACAAAAACCGTTGACGTTCTGTTAAAATGACATTATATCAAGTTAAACTTCAAAGTTAACAATTACTACCTCATAACAATTACTTAATAAGGTAAAACCAAAAAGCCCCAAACTTTCTGTATGATTATTTTTAATTTTTACGCATGTTATGTTTATTTATGTTATGTTCTTTAAAATCAAAAAAGCGATTGCCATACATTACTAACATCTACAGATGCATGAGCAATACATTTATTTTTATTAGATTGTATTAAAAACCCTCTTTTATTTTTCTTTTAGAGGCTATCGCTTCTTTCATTATAGTTTTGGCGTTATTAAAATTTATTCTATGTCCTGTGTTCCATGAGTGCTGACAAATCTTAGATTTGTGAAAATCTCTCTTTCTTAAATAATCTTTATGTTCTTTAATTCGAACATTTAAGGGTCTAGATGTTTCACCAATGTAAAATTTATCGAATTCGCATGTATTGTATTATTTATTTGTATTTTTTTTGCTTCCGTGCGAAAGATGGGATGTACTGGGTTCTGGGTTCGATAAAATAAAACACTGAAGTTCAATGCACATCTTTTTATTTTATTTCCATGTGCTCACCAATACAATTATATACAACTACAATTACTCTATATTTTTCTGTTTTATAATACTGATGTAGTAATATTATCTAAAATTCTATATGGCCATCTATTTAATCACAGCTGACCTGTGAGGCGTAGTTGCAAACACCTGTGGTAGTGTCATAGTACAAACCACTAACACAACTCAGTGTTGCTGTGGCTACATAGGCACCATTGACTAGTTGACAGTAGTAGTACTTGGAGCAGTCAGAGGAATCTCTGAAATATCCAGTGGTAGTACACGTATTGCCACTAGTACTAGCGGCAGTAGTTGTGGTAGTGCTTGTAGTTGTTGTTGAAGTACTGGCAGTTGATGAAGTTACACTTGATGCAGTGGTTGTGGAAGTAGTCGAGGAAGTTGTTGAAGTTGATGATGTTGAATTGGAAGAACTTGAATTGCCCTGTTATGACAAATATATATTAAGACTCAAATAGAACTGAGATTGTTATAAAACTAACTAGCTATTTTATAAACTAACTAAAAGAGCTGTTATCTTTCAAGACTCTACCTATTTTTTGCAAAAAGCGGGCAACCAGAAACTAGTTTGTCTGCAAACTATACAGGGTGAGTTTCCTACGATGTTCCCTATGGGTATCTCGGAAACTACTGGAGATAAAGAGTAGGTTAAATGGAGAAAGAATTGCAGTTTTGTGGGGTCATAAATATGCGCTTTTCAGATTTTTGAAAAAGTGCATGACTTACTAGATATTTCGAAAAAAACAAATTTCGGCTATTTTAAAAATTGTCCCTAAATCCATTATAAGCTATTTTAGACAAAAAGTTTTCAGATAAAAGTTGTAGATAATCACATCCTTAATGAAATTGTGTCCTTCGCTTTTTTCTAAAGCCTGTAATTTTTGACATATGATACAAACATATGTTTTTTCTTTAAATGGAAACCATAGTTGGCCATGACTTCATAAAAAGCGCCATTTTTTAAGCTTTATAGCGATATAAGCTGTAATATGTCTTCTTCGAAAAATTACTGAGTTATAGCCAATTCTTATCATTTTTAAATAATTTTACTTAGTTGGCCATGGAAACAAGTTCAATCGCCGTTGCTCTCAGAAATTTGAAGCTGTCACATCCAAACTTTGTAAATTAAAATAAACAAAAATTTTAAGTATGAATTTTTCAAATGAAGAAAAGCGTGTAGATACTCGCGCATCAATAGAATGGTTCCAACATGACTGAAATGAAAGAAATGTTAAAAATTATTTATATCATAATTATGCAAGCTCAGGGATAGGAAGAGGTGGACCAATTGGATTGGCCTCCTCGATCACCTGACTTATCCATTTTAGATTTTTTTCTATGCGGTATGGTTAACAATAAGGTTTAAAAAAAATTATGAATTAAGAGAGTCACTTGAAGTGGCGGTACGAGAGAAGTTTAACTAATTCGACCGGTCCTTCTGTGAGAATAGGTAGAAAATTCAGTTTTAAAAAGATGCAACTCAAAACAATGGCAGATTTTTTAGACATTTTCTAAAATAACTTAAAGTGTATGTACTAATATTATTTTTTTAAGTTTTAGTTTGTGTAATGTAAATTGTAAAGTACCGTTTAACAATTGTAAATGTGTAAATTTGTAAATTTTAAAATATTGACGTTTTATAAGTTATAAATCATAACAGAATAAGAATACCATGCAATTTAAGTGAAATTAGTCAAGAAAGATAAAAATTGGCTATAACTAAATTTAACTTTTCTAACATGTTTTGAAAACCGTTCTCTAAAAAACGTAACGTTCACCGGTCCACGTATCCTCCAAAATGTATGTTCAAGAAAACTTGGACCAATAATCCTACACGCTTTTCTTCATTTGAAAAATGCATATTTACTATTTTTGTTTATTTTAATTTACAAAGATTGGATGTGACAGCTTCACATTTATGAGAGCAAAGACGATTAAACTTGTTTCTATGGCTAACAAGTGAAATTGTTTAAAAATTATAAAAATTGGCTATAACTCAATAATTTTTCGAAGAAAACATATTATATGTCATCACTGTAGTAGTACAAGTAAATCTGTATAAGTAGTTTCCGAAAAAAACTTGCGGTTTGTAAGCTTGGGTATTTTTTTTTATGGCAAAGTTTAATCTATTTATATTATATTGCCTCAGAGTATATCCAAGAATTATTAATTATATTTTGTAAGAATCAGGTATCTATATATTGTTTATTTTATATTTATTTTTTATACGCATCTGTAGTTCTCGATATAACCACTCATTGGCATATTTTGTTATTGGCAAATGTAAATAATACTACAAAATTATTTAAAAAATCACATACCTTAAATACTTTGATTCACCTGTATGCATTAAATTTTGTAGGATTATTAATAGTAATTCAAATCGGAATTTTTACGATAAGATTATTTTTTATATAATTTCTAAAAATTTACAGGAATTTTAAATACTCATAAAATTTTGATTTGTTTTATTATTTATGAACTATGTATTGGGTACTTTTTATTTTTTCAGAACTTAATATTGTTTATTTTATGTTAATTTATCAGTGACATAAGATAAGAAAACAAACAATGCTCACCAATGCCATTTATAGGCTCAGAACTTTTCAGCGGTGTTGCAAAATTAGTCAGAAGAATGGCCACAAAAAGGTGGACAACAATGACAATTAACTAGCGACATTAAATGACAGTGAGTCGAATAGGCTGTGGTATAGGTATTTATGTAATAATTATAATAACATTTTATTCTTCTGCTAATGTATTTATTATACTTTTTTGTTGTAATCATTGGGGCCTGAACATAATTAAGCCAATTGTTTAAATCTCAGTTCCTTTTTTGTTATTTTATTATACATAATGAATTACTTTAATATTTTTTGTAACCTACGTTGCAAAATAAATGTTAATATTATCATTATTATCATTAAATAATAGCGATTTTTTATATCAGTAGTACAAGAAAAAGAGCTATTTACCACTGCACTGTTTATTGCTTGCAAAAGCTGGAATTTGGTGCCAGAAGTGGCAACGATGTCGTCTGTTTCCAATGACCAAAGCATTATACCACCTAGACCAAGTGATTTGGCGTACTCCACCTAAAAATATCATACATTTTAGATTTGTAGAATTTTTTACAACTGTAATAATAATCATTAAAAAAAGTCTCAGACTTTGTCACAGCCAATCTACATTCTATGAGTTATTAATAATTGTCAGGGCAAATTTTACCTTCAAAGTAATCGATTTGACATTGTCGTAGCTCAACCATGTAGTACCACTGTATGCATAAGGTACTTGTGCTTCATCGTCCCATGCTTCAGTGAAACTTGTAGCAGCAAACTGTTCCAAAATCTACAAACGAAATCATATAGAATGATTAAAAAATTATCTTTTGATCAACTTTTAAACGTCGACACATCGGCAATATGTCGACAAATGTCGACAATGTCCAGAATAGCCCCCCACACACCAGAAAATTTAGCCTGCGGATGAAATCTTTGCGTTTGTGGGCCAGACCAAGCCTGCGGGCTAAAGAAACAAACGTAGGATAAAACCGGCGGACTTGTAACGCTCTTTCCTTCTAAACAGCAGTTTTTATTTCTATAAACATTTATCTACATAGAAACTGCTATACCGAAAACGTCGAATATTGTCCCAAACGAGAATATTAAATCGGGCAAAGATCTAATCGGCAGGCCAAGTCCGCAAGCCGGATCCGCAGACGCAGGTTTATACATGGTTTATAAAGTTAGGTTGGTCATTAGAAGTGGAGTGATTAATCCCTCCCCCCGGATTGATTTAATTGATTAATGATTACTCATTTCTATGGATGTTTTTGTCTATTTAGTTGGACTCAAGATAAAGGAAATACATTTAAGGTATATTCCGTTGCTTACCTTGGTTATGGTTTTATGTTCCGTTTCAATCGGTTTCTTGAAAGTTTTCTTATTACGGAATACGGTTCCTGGAAAATTCGGTTATAACTGTCACCAAACTAGCCAGCGCGAGAAGGCTGGTTTTTCTGGTTTTGTTTGTCAATCAATGTCATTTATATGACAGAAATCAAGCAAATATTGGAAGTTCGAGTGAAATTCTTATTATTTAATTTCTAAAATTTGTAATAATATTTTGTATTTACATCCAAAAGCAATGGAGGTAGACAGTGAAGGTAAATAAATTTCACTAACTAAATAGAATTATTTTTTACGACCATTTAAATTTATCATGCAGCCATTGTTTCTTAAAGTCAGGAACATTTAAAGAAAACATGAACAACAAGGCAACAAGTAATCGTGAATGTTTTGTAAGCTATAAAAATATAAATATTGATTAGATTTGTTTATTTATTATTGATCTGTTTTAATATTGAACCTGCAAATTTTCACTTGAGCTGTCTAACGAGTTTAACAGTTTATTAATAAAGTACTTTTCAATATTAAACTCCATTGAAAAGAAGAAACAAACGTAACAGCAAAGAATATATAGGTACATTAAAAATGCATAAAAGATAAATTTTATAATAGAGGTATTGAAATTTAGAAAACGTCAACATTTGACGTTTCCAGTATTTTACCAAACCGTTCCGTATCAAACCGATGTTTTTCAGGGACCGCTCTTTACCGTAATTTACCGGTCTGGTTCGTTTGGTTTTCGAACAGAATACAGCCTTAATAATAAAGCCTTAAGTAATTATCGCTAAGTTTAATTTTAATTTTATTTACTTGAACGAACATCCTTTTTTAAAACTCTACAAAATAAAAACATCAATAGCGAAAGCTAAACAGAAGAGGGGATTCTAAAATCAACAAATTCAGCAATCCCGTACTATTTCTCCATTCTTTCAGATCTCGATTGCGAGGCGTTTTAACTCGACTTTATAGTTTAATCGAGTTTCTGTTTAGATTGCTAAAGATGGCGTTAAAGTGCCAGTCAAATCAAAGTTGAAACAACAATTAACACAAATCTCAACAGAAAATGTACAGAGCAAGAGCGAATTTAAAGTTAGGTCCAGGCGCAACGACTTATCGTACGGTTTGCTGGCGTTGACAAAACGTTGCAGATAAAACGTATAGCATGTGAACTAGAGATGGGCAGATCCGGTATTTTAAAAGAGTTAGGTTCAGAATTACAACAAGTTTAATAATAGTTCACACTGTAAGAAATAATAAAATATTACCTCGTTGTAACCCCAGAAACCTGCTGTTGCCGTGTAGGGTCCGCTAGATCCCGCACCACTCACAGCGGCTCCTACGCCAGTGCTACTTGATGACGATAGAGTGAAGACTCTTCCATAGAATGGTACACCAAGAGCCAACTTTGATGGACTGGCTCCTCGTTCTATCCAACCGTAAACTGAAGCGTTCTGGAAACATATGTCATATTTTCAGTTGTCAACATATATCAACATACAGATTGTTAACTGGACGGTTACTTATTGGGGGACAGAATGGCAACACTGCATCCAATTCTAAATGAGTACTAAGCTAAGCTGCCGACTCGTACCGTCGCGTCGCGTCGTCTCTCGACGAGCGGGCCGATGTTGCCATATTTCAAACATAAAGCTCTTGTCGCGAGTAATAAACAAATTAACAACCTGTATGTCAATTTTTTGGCGTAACAGAAGTTTGTGCAGCCCCAACATATTGAACCAAGCGCCTTAATTCCATCCTAATTTTTAAACAGGTAAGTTATTTTTCTGGGTATCTGTCAATAAATAAAAAAAATATATGAAGGGTTCGGCAATAGTGCGTCGGGCATCTGTAGCTCCTAGAATAAAAAACTTGAGAATTTTGTTCAGAAGTGCAGACCTAAAGTATGTACCAGGATATATTTCCGGAAAATATTTTAACTTCTATAGGGTGGCTTAAGAAAGTCAGAGTGGATCTGGATGAGTTTTTTTAAATAGATTCAGAGATATTAAAAAATAAATCAAAAATATATATTTTTCAACCCTTCTTAAAAAATATATTAAAAATACAAGAACTGTTCTGAAATCAAAACTATATTAGATATTTACTTTAGATGGTGTGTTCTTACTTTGCTATAAATATGGTAATCGTAAATCATAGAGGATGTTCAATATTTTACGCCAAACTTTCAAAAATATAAAATAATTTTAATTCGTTTTTTTAAATGTACATTATTTTTTTATTTGATGGAGAATTAAAAAATAAACATTTTAATGTGTTCTTGTATTTTTAATATTTCTTGTATTTTTAATATTTAAAAAAAGCTAAAAAATGTTTTTTTTATTTATTTATTTATTTATTTATTTGTATCTCTTGAACTATCGAAATAGATTTACTCATATCTTAGGATTATGTAAAGTGACCCGAAAGAAAGCCAAAATTGCAATTATATACAGGGCGTTCCATTTAAAAAACATTTCCTGAAATACATCTTAATACATACTTTAGGTCTGCACTCAAAGAAAATTCCCAAGTTTTTTAATCTAGGAGCTACAGATGCCCGACGCACTATTGCCGAACCCTGTATAAAGAATGAGTATACAGGGTGATGAGCGTATTCTGCAGATAAAAATAAGTAAAAAAGTTATTAAAAATGTATGTCCTAAAATGCTTAGTTTCGAAGATACAGGGTGTAGAAGTTTCATTTTTATTTCGATTTTTTCCAAGTAATTTATGAAGTAACGTCAATATTTGGATGAAAATTAGTCCCTGGAAGTATTTTGACATGACAAATTTGATTTGATGTCAATATGACTCCTACTTGTAGAGGGCGCCACCTACATATTTTTTTTACTGGTTTAAAGAGTAATAACTTTTCGTCCGTACCCGTATAAAACTAGTGTGTGAAAAAATATACATCTATGATGCTCTATACCTAAAAAAGGTCTCTTGGTAAAAATCGCTACGAGTAATGATTCTCGAGATATGTGGTACCAAAATTATCAATACCTGTCATCATTGACATAAATTAAACATGTTGACTAAATAGTTATTAGACTAAAATCATACATTGCAAATGTTTTTGTGCGAAAACTTCAACAGAAACTATTTTATCATCATTTTTTTTGCAGAAAAATTTATTATTAATTTAAAAAAATAATTCAGTCAAATAACATAACTATCTACTCAACGTGTTTATTTTTTGTCAGTAATTACTAGCGATGGGAACTATCGAATGAATTAGACTATCGAATGGTTACTGAATGAATGATTTCAACTATCGAATGGTTTTATTCGAATAAAATCATTCATTCATTTGTATACTAAAGCATATGTGACAACCTCGCCGTGCGACTAAATGGCTATCGTTGAGCCACGACTATCGAATGCTTTTGATAAATGAAAAATGAAATTTAGTATTCGTTTGATTTTTGTGTGCGTCAGTGCATTATTAGTTCTTCAAATTTTTATAACTTCACCTTATAAATACTGTGCTATTTTTGCGTTTATTAAAATATTTAAAATACTAAAATAGTAGTTTTTTTAATTGACAATTGTGTGCGTGTGCAGGTGTCAAAATTTTTCCGAAAATTTGTGTGATTTTCCGTAGCCCGATCTTTCAATTATTTTATTTTATATGGTATATATGGTCTATTTTTTAATGAGAAATTTTGAGAAGTAGCAAATTTTAAGAGAAATGAGATGAACTTGAAGTTTTACACGTGCCAATTTAAAAAAAAAGTTAACGATGTTTGTATTTTGTTTATGCTAATTCTCTTACATGTAGTTTTTTTATGAAGAAATATTTCATTTATTTTTTTTAAAGTAAATGCCAGTAAAAGTAAATATTATTTTTAAATAATAATATAAAGTACCTAATATAAATAATTTTGATTTCTAATTTTTCATTTATATTTTCCTTCCATTACACTGCATGCTTAGAAAATTAATAAATGTTTGTATTTCATGATTTTAAAGTTTGTTGTTAATATAACAAATTAGCTCTGTAATTATTATTATTTAATAAACCAATATGCCAAAAAATTTAAAGACTATATTATTTTTAAATATGATCTAATATAAATAATTTTGACATCTAATTTGTTGTTTATATTTTGCTACTACGTAAAAAAATGTTTATATTAAATTATTTTAAATTTTGTTGTTAATAGGTATAACAAATTATTACTGTTATTATTATTTTTATTAAACCAGTCTTTGTTTAAAAACATTAAAAATCATTTTCCTACATCCAAAATATTTTATTATCTAACCTAACCTAACAACAGAATATTAATAAAAAAAATGCAAAATATATAGACATACTATCCCTAACTAACTAAAGCCAAACAATAATATTCTTTGCTAATATCAACTAATACCAATATATGGCAACAGCGCCCTTCATAATGTATTTTCTGTGTAAATACTAGCACCTTAATAAAAAAAATAATGTGTCCTTATCTTTATATGACTCCGCAAAAAATTAAAGATGCCGGCTTCTTTCTAGCATTGCCACCGACCGCTGTCGGGTTTCTCGGAAAGAAACCTACGTCGCCGGGCGACAACTAAAATCCAGTTAATATTTTATTATAATCGATCCTGTCGAATAAATGAATTTCATAAATGAATGAATTTTATAAATGAATGTTTTTGCTGCCGAATTACTAGAATACAATATTTCAAGGCAGATGACGCATCTATTCGATAATTTTTATTCGAATAGTTTTCAACGAATGTTTTTTTACTAGCTATCGAATTATTCGAATGAATTGCAACTATCGAATGTTTCGATAGTATTCATTCGATAGTTCCCACTACTAGTAATTACATGTATTGACTATTTCCATTCTAAATATCCTGAGAACGGTTGCTCGTAGCGATTTTTACCAAGAGACATTTTTTACGTAAAAAGCCACGGAGATGTATATTTTATCATTCAGTAGTTTTATACAGGTACGGACGAAAAGTTATTACTCTTCAAAACAGTTAAAACACATGTAGGCGGCGCTCCCTACAAATAGGATTCAAATTGACATCAAAATCAAATTTCTCATGTCAAAAAACTCCCAGACACCAATCTTCATCCAAATATTGAGGTTATTTCAGAAATTATTAGGAAAAAATCAAAATAAAAATGAAACTTCTACACCCTGTATCTCCGAAACTAAGAATTTTAGGACATACATTTATACGAACTTTTTTACTTATTTTTATCTGCAGAATATGCTGCCGAAGTTTCCGGAATACAGTTCGGACCACCCTGTATAAACCTGTTCTAAAAATAGTTGCACTTATGTAAGTCTCACCCTGTATAATACGGTCAGGAATATTAAATACAAGCCAGTTTTTATGCTTAAGATATAAAGAAATGATAATCACGTCCGCTGAAATTATGCATAATCATTGAATATTGGAAAATTTATGTTGTTTAATTTTATTGATTGACCTGATAATTCTTTGTGAATTATAATATATTTTTTTTTAAATGTGCTATACTCAAATTTGTTCACTATATCAGTAAATAATAGGTGTATATAAGTAAAAAAAGAAATACTAAGTAAAACTATTCAAAATACAGAAATTACCACACTGTAGTCTGCATATGTTGTTCCATCATAAATAGATTTGGAGTACAATGGGGCGTTGTGTCCAGTTGTATCGTCCCAGGCTCCGAAAAAGTCGTACTCCATCAGATTGATAAGGTCTAAGTATCTAAAAATAAATATATAAGTTTATCTTACAGTGATATAAATATACACACCGGAAAAGTCTAGGGATATCATTTTATAAAAGTTAAAAATAAATGTTTTGAATAAACAACCACATATTTGTAGAGCTATTCTTTCTACTTCAATTGAAACGAAGTAGTCACACTAGTTATTTCTAAATTTGGGATATTTGCAGAAGTGTTTGTGCATTTTTTGTCAAATGTATAAAAAGCACCTAGCATCAATTGTTCGAATTTAACCTGTACTGGCTATGTTTTTATGATAACTGACCAGAATTCATTCAAATAACTCTGTTTAGTATTAAACGACATTATGGAGCGTAGACATCTTAACAGAGACGAAATACTAAGGGGCATGGGTATGCTCGAAGCTGGAATGCGCCAAATCGACGTAGCTAGAGCATTAAATACAACGCAAAGTGTAATATCGCGATTAAGTGCACGCTACCGTGAAAGTGGTGATGTTGCTGAAAGGCACACAGGACGACATCGTATTACTACCCCTCAGCAAGATCATTTTTTATAATTAAATGATCGACGCCGACCGACTCTTACAGCACCAGAGCTTAGTTTAATTCTCCAGGAAACACATATGTAACCGTTAGTTCTGACACTGTTCGCAATAGATTAAGATAGGTCAACTTAAGAAGCAAACGCCCCTGGAGAGCTCAACCCTAAACGAGAGGAAATCGAGAGGTACGATATTTGTGGGCTCAAGATCATGTTCAGTGGTCGAATGAACAATGGGCCAATGTTCTCTTCACGGATGAGTCACGCTTTGGAATTCATCCGGATTCGAGAAGGCTTAGGGTATGGAGAGAATCGGGAAATCTAATTCGGTTGGATCATGTTCAGGAAGTGCACCCTTATCAAGGTGGAACAGTTATGGTCTGGGGAGGAGTCCAGTTAGGCCGAAAAACCGATCTTGTTTTTCTTGAAAGGTTTCTAACAGGAATCACATATCGTGATTTAATTCTTGAGCCTGTCGTGTTACCATATGCCAATGATTTTGGGAGAAACTTCATTCTCATGCATGACAATGCACGGCCTCATACAGCCAGAGCGGTAAGTGAGTTTATCAATGCTCATCAATTAAACATCTTACCCTGGCCGGCACAATCTGCTGACCTCAACCCCATCGACCACGTATGGGACGCGGTCCAAAGAAGAATTTTGAGAATGGATATGCCTCGTGAAACTCGTAGGGATCTTGTTCGGGCCGTGAATGCAGCGTGGCAGGCTGTACCTCAAGAAGAGATCGACAACCTGATCAGGAGCATGGAGAGACGATGTAGGGCTGTAATGAACAGTAAAGGAGGCCATACCCTTTATTAAATAAAATTATTTGTTTATTTTAATTTTATTATATCAGAAATGCAAATAATAAAATTACTGACGATGGCTGGATAAAATTGTAATATCCCTAGACTTTTCCGGTGTGTGTATCTTCTTAGGCTGACTTTATATTTTTTTAAGCTTTAAATTTTAAATGGCAATAACTTCTTGAATTTAAATAAAACACTCTGTAACTTTTACGAGAATCAGATGCACAATCGTCTATCAAATTGTGTTATACCATTTTTTACCTATCTCTTCAAGTTTTTGTAGAAAATGCATTTTCATTCACTTTAGACCTTATTTATCAATATACCCATGGAAAATTGACATTTTAGATTATTTTTAAAAATGTAACAAATTTTCAAAGAATACATATGTCATTTGTATGAAATTTAGCGTTTTATTTGCATAACCTATTCTCCTCAAATTTCCCAAAATATTGCTTCTGTCGAGGAGCATCCGAGGTAATCACAATAAAAAAATATTTAACACAACATAGGTTCCTTTCTTTCATTTAAATTGTTTGTTATACAGTTGGCCAAAAAGATTACCTCTTCAACTTTGTTGACGAATTTGTGTTGTTACAGTACAGTATCTTGTAAAAATATTTTTAAATTCTAGTTCTAATAGTCTAATAGTACAATAGTCCGTGTCGGATGTGGTGAATAACCCTGTATAATAATAATATACTAGGTTTTTCAAAAAAAAAATCAGTGTTGTGGTACTTACTCAGACAGAACGGGTACATCATACGATGTGTCAATGTAAGTAGGAGCTGCTGAGACTGCAGCTGTCAAAAGGTAACCGTACGGGTCAAAAGCTGCTTTGAGTTCCTTGATAAGGGTGGCAAAGTTTTCTTTGTCAGCAGAGTTGGTACTGTCACGTCGAGCCGGGTACTCCCAATCGAGATCGAAACCGTCAAAACCGTAAGTTTGGAGCAAGGTAATGACAGAACTGATGAATGTAGCTCGGTAGGTGGCACTGGCAGCCATCACAGAGTATTTAGCTGAGCCTAAATATAGATTTTTGTATAAATTTCATACGTTATGTCACGTATACAGGGTGTTTCTGAATAAGTCTCCGATATTTTACAGGGTGATTTCTCAAGTATTTTTAAGGTAAAAAGTTCTTATAAACATGTGTTCTAAAATGCTTCGTTTTCGAGATACAGAGCGTTAGGAAATCTGATACACGTCTTTTCACCATAGAGATAATTGGAATTAAAATATGAATTACATGTTATCACTGATAAAAATTAAACATATTCACTTGATGGTTATTTGACTGAAACGATGCTTAAATTTGGAAATGTAAATTTAAATTTCCAAAATTTATGATAAATCTGTTTCTGTTGAATTTATTCTTTCAGTCTAATAACTATCTAGTCAACAAGTTTAATTTTTGTCAATTATGACATGTATTGATTATTTCGCTTACAAATATATTGAGAACGATTGCCTGTAGCGACTTTTACAAAGAAACTTTGACGTAAAAAATTGCGAAAATGTATATTTTTTTCCTCAATAGAGTAAAGTAAGTACGAACAAAAAGTTACTCTTAAAAACAGTTAATAGTTATTTTTTATACAAGACGATAATGCAATTTTATCGTCGTGTATGAAACAATATTTTTTTCCATAGCCGAGTTACACAGAAAAAAATAATTTGGCGTAATTAGATAAGATTTATTATCTGATAAAGCAGTAGTCAAATTTACAAGATACATTATGCACAAGAATAATTTTTTTCTTCTAACACAATAATTTCTCGCTCAAATTAAACTTTATTTGAATTAGATAATACAACTTACTAATTATTAAAAACACATAAATCGTTTGTTTATGTTTATTAATTTTAATAGTGTAGTTTAACGAAATAGGACCTATTTTCTTTTAAAACAAGTGCTGTTTAGTACTATTATCTTTTTTATGTAGACCTGACAGAAAACTTTTTTTATTTGACTCAAATTTATTTTATACCGTTTGTGTTTCAACACAATGTTTTATTAAAGTAAGACATCTGTATTTATTTTATAGGAATTTATTCAAATAGAATATGCAAGTCTTTTTGTCTTTTTGCAAGTGTTTAACTTTTCTAAAGACAACGCAATAAGGAAACTACTAAACGAGTTGACAGATGATATTTCTTCAGGTAATATTATCTATAAAGTAACAGAAGTATCCGAGATTTAATAATTTTTATTTAATTTTTAGGATTATTTATTTTTTTAGGCGCTAGAGCTAACATTGTAATGCAATTACTGGCTTATATTTTGCCAACAATAAGTATACGAAAGGAAAAACCAGCAGGACGGTGGAAGCTCCCTCGCTTAGAAGTTGCTGAAGGATAACCATAAACCCTGAATCTACATAAGAATTTATAAGTACGCATGTGTGCTTATCTACCCTAGCAAATTCCCTTTGTTGGTTTAGTAAAAAACTTTTCTAATGTAGGTGGTAAATTAGTTCCCTCACGCAAAGATATTATATACACCAGCAAGTTTATTTTGTATTTGATAAAATAAAAGTATTTACACTACAACATGCGATTTTTCTAAATTAGTACTTCTTCCTATGTACCTTAGTGAATTACCTCCTCATTTTTTGATAAAACGTTTGTTTATCACACACAACTATATTTATCATCTGTTTTCAACTACTAAATTTTCTTTTGTAGAGTACATAATATTTTATTTGAAAAAACTAACGACTTTATTTCAAACACAAAAATGGTTATTAATTCTTAATAATTTATATTTTATAAATTACATAATAGTGTTATTTATATTAGGAGAGAAATTCTAGTCAAAATATTTAGATACGGAAAATGAGGTTTTGTCTATCCCTATAGTGCTTAAGTATTTTATCTAATCTAGACCAGTTTTTTTTTTCTGTGTACGTTTTAAAAAATATTCCGAAATTATTATTTCAAGGAATTTATTACGAGTAGAAAAAATATGTGTTGGGTTGGCGTTGGTTTCTATGTAATTTGAAAATAAATAAAGCTGTCTCTTTAGTTGTCAGTTTTGAGTCAATATTTTTTAATTCTCTTTCGTGTCTTCCATTTAAATCCCGAATAACTTATGAAAAGGAATACAAAAATTTTCAAAAATGGAAGCAATTAAAAATCGTGCGAGAAAAAGTTTTTAACCTATCCTCGCTGTTAAAGTATCATTTAATCTACCCTTGCGGTTAAAGTAGTATTTTATCTACTATTTTTGATAGATATAAGACAATTTTAACAGTTGCTATGGAAAAAAATATATAGGTGGCGCTCCCTATTAGGAGTTATTAGTATTATGTTAAAAAACACCCAGGCACCAATTCTTATCCAAATATTGACGTTACTACAAAAACTATTTGGAACTTATTTTTTATTATTTGCGATATCAAAGTTTCCCGATTACAATCCGGACCACCCTGTATATTAAATTTCTTAGTTTACCTTCGTTCCATCCTCCTACAGCTACCAAGACTTTCAAATCTGAATTGGTTTCCTTCAATGCAATTGCATTAGCAAATCCACCTGTAATGAATATTTTTATTAGATAGTTATTTTATTTAAATAATTGTTAAATGAAACTTGTTAAATGTAAATAATAATTCAAATAGTGGAGTGGGCTTTAAGCCCTTATGGGATACAAACCTCGGAATTCATTTACTGTGGTACGTAGTTTAGGTTAAACTAGGCACTTAAACAAAATTCTCAAGATATTCTATTAGGAGCTACAGATGCTCGACGAACTATTGCTGGACCCTGTATTTAAATTTCGTGGGTATTGCAATTTCAATGTTACACATTATAGTCTAAGAGCTAGAAACGTTTTCGAGAAAGTATTTTAAGACGTCAGGCTCTGATATATCCTTTACTATGCTCTCTGGAACAGCATGCGGCCCGTCTGGCTGCTGATACCCGATGCGTTCACTACTGCGCATCAGAAGAAGATCCTATATTTTTTTTAAATCTAGTCCTGGAAAACAAAATAAAAATACTAAATCACCACAATACACCAAAACACTTTTCTTCTTCTTTTTTTATGATGGCTCTGCTACAAGGCAACCGCCAGCTCAATTTGAGAGTGACCAAGATGTTGACTGGCTCTAAACCATATCAAGGCCACTGATTCTTATCTGAGTAAAATGTATAATGGGTAAATTTTAATATAACTAACTTCTATGAAGGTAACCTGTGACCTGTAACTGTAAAATGTTATTATTATTATTTATTAAATATATAAATGACGTGCTGAAAGGAAGATTATATCACACACAAAGGCACATAGGATAGAGGTCACACAAACAGACTGCATTCGGAAACTGAAACAAAAAGAAAATATAAAATAGAAAGTTGAGCATTATAATTTAATTCTATTAATTTTTCACTTGGAAAATTCATTTCAATAAATTTTTGATATATCCAAATTAAACAAAAAATTTATAGGACATTCTAAAAAGATATGATTTAGGTCTTCAACAGAGCCACACTCACAGAATGGATCTTCCTTCACTTTAATTTTATATAAATGGTTTTTTGTTAAGCAATGGCCTGTACGCATTCTAATTAACGTTGTAATATGTCTTCTATCTATATACTGGAAATTTTTAGACCATTGTTATCTGGGAAGATTGTTTGTATATTAAAATACACATGCTTTTTTCCTTCCATACGAGATTTCCAATTTTCTTTATAATTACACAAAATATCAGTTTTAATTGAATTAAAAATATCTATCGAATCCATCTCCATAGATTTCGGAATATTTAAATCTTTTCCAATATTAGCCAACAAATCTGCCTCTGTATTTCCCAAGATATTGGAATGACCTGGAATCCAGGCAATCCTGATGTCAAAACCATTAGAACTTGCTAAACAAATTAAACGTTTGGTTCTTAAGGTCCAATAATCAGCAGATGCTTTAAAGAGATTTTTACTAATTTTTTGAATTGAACTTTTGGAATCTGAAAAGATAATAACACTACGCAAGTTCTTTTTAATAGCAAACTTTACTGCATCATGAATAGCTATGGATTCTGCCTTACAAATACTTAAAGAACCAGTTAGTCGCGAAAAAAATTTAAAATTTATATAAGGAATATATATTCCAAATCCTGTTCTTTTATCTTTTTTAGATGCATCTGTAAAAATAAAAATATGAGCAAAATATATACGTGTTTAAGAGTTTTTCCGAAAAACTCACCGGTTTTTAAATAAAAAATATTTTAATATTTGAGGGATAGTTTCACCCCCTTAGAATTCGAGTTTCGAAAAATCCCTTCTTATCGAACCTCTACACCCTAAAGTCAATCTGTTTCCCAAAAATCAGCTTTTTACGTCAAGCGCTTTAAGCAGGATCGTGATTAATCAATGACCAGATTTTTCGAAACACCCTGTATACATTTTTAAAAAATCTTAAAATATGTAAAAAAATAAAATAAAATATACGTGTTTAAGTGTTTTTTCGGAAACTTGACCGTTTTTTAAATAAAAAATATTGTAATATTTGAGGGGTGGTTTCACCCTCTTGGAACTGGAATTTCGAAAAATCCCTTCTTATCGAACCTCTACACCCTAGAATCAACCTGTATGCCAAAATTAGATGCATCTGTAAAAATAAAAATATGAGAATTTTTAAAACGTTCAGATACTGACAAAAATTGTTCCTTAATAGAAAAATCATGTTTATTAATTTGACAATCAACTAAGTTAATAGAATCATTCAAAATATTAAAACTAACTTCATAACACGGAAAATTTTGACTAACATAAAGATTATCAATATAATTCTGGTAATTTAAAAAAAAACAAATATTTAATACTTTACTGTCAGAATATAAACGAAAATAAAATAAAAAAGTCTTCGCCCTGACCCGGATTCGAACCCTGAATCATCGGTTCGTGGTCGGAAACTCTACGCACTGCGCTATGGAGACATGTTCGATTTATATTCAATACCAGAATTTAAAGGACTAATAAAAATATAAGATCTTCTTTCAATGTGCAGGAGGGAACGCAACGGGTATCGGCAGCCAGACGGGCCGCATGCTGTTCCAGAGAGCATAGTAAAAGATATATCAAAGAGCCAGACGTCTTAAAATACTTGTTTTATCGACGTTGAGACGTTTTTTTGCAGCACACTTACTTAGGCTGATATCTAGCCATTCATCTAGGAGAGCAACTTCATATGTTGAGCTGTTCAAGCCGACGAATGTATAGATGTAATGTGTGCACAAAGTTGGATCTACATCTGTAACTTTAAAGTTACCATTTCCTGTTCTATAGTAGGACCAAGTTCCGTGATAACATACAATGTGAGCTGAAATAAACAAAAATGTCAATAAATAACAACCCTGGTTGGAAAAAATCATGATTTGTTTAAAAAAATCAAAAAAATCAGATTTATTTGATTTAAATCAGATTTTTTGATGCAGAATTTTATAACAATTTAAAATATATTTAACCAACATTAGCACATTTAAACTATATCTAATAACAATAAAAATAAATAGCAAACCAAGACATGAGATTTTGCTACAGGTGTTCGACATATCGACCGTCTTCTGTTATGGACAGACGAGGCAGTTTTTGAACATTTCTCGCGGAATTCATTAACTCAGTGGGGGTGAAAGATACCCTCTCATAACTGCTAAGTATTTCTAATTCTTGTCTAGATTATACGGAAGAATAAGGAACCTTTATTCTTCCGCAAATATATCCATAGGATTAGATCCATGGGCACTAAGTCAGGCGGCCTCGACGGCCAACGGCTGGGATCTTGGTTAGCTATTCAATATTCTTGAAATTGGCTGCAAAAATTTGCTGATAACTTCAGCATGCTGATAACTTCAGAGGCGGTGCATCGTCTTGCTGGGAAAATATGTTTTCGAGTTCCATTAAGGGCATATCATCAATAAGGGGTCCAAAGCCTACTAGTTAAAAGTGGCAAACTTTTAAAAATTCTGTATTTCGAAGAGGATTATAACAAAATATCAAGTGTGCTATATGTTTGGAAAGGTAATTTTAAATTCTTTTCAGTTAATTAAAAATATAGACGGTGTCCCAAATAAAAAATCAATTTTTCTGTTGATAACTCTTAAATTATTAATTTAAAAAAAAATATGCTTAAACCATTAAATTTTAATAAGTAAACGCTCTGTTACGCAAATGCAAATCATACTTTGTATAACACAGAAAAAAAACGTAATGACGGAGACTAATCGATGTCACTATCTAAAAGTGTTGGGCAAACAAATCTCAACATACCTACTGGAATCGAAAATTAACCCATCAATCATAAGCACTTGTCAAAAAAAAAAACGAATTATTTTTCATAATTTCCAGAAAATATCAAGGGTTTTCTCGATAGACGACGAAAAATCGATTGTATTATATTATGGAAAGAGCAAGAAAATTTTTATTTAACACGGAAATGCCTTCTATTAGTTATTTTAATATACAGGATGAGTCTTAAATAAGTTCAAATATGTTGACAGGCCTGGTAGATCTCGGTAAAAAAAGATACGTTCTCTTTATGGTTTTACATATAATAAGTCCTAAATAATGGAGATATTTATATACAGGGTGCTACAAATTCGAGGTACGAGCATTGGTATCTCGGAAACCGTAATAGATACGAAGATAGTTAAATTGGGGCAAAGTTGCGCCTTCGAATGTTCACCAAGATGCTATCAAAAAAGTTTTTAAAATTTCAAGGATTGCTGAGTTTTTTGGAAAAAAACTAATTTTTTTGAAAATCAATTTTATTTTTTCCTGGCATTACTTTTTAGAAAATCAAAAAACTAATTGCATATTCTCATAGCCACTTTATTAGGGCTATCTGACAGTATTTTTAGATTTTCAAATTAGCTGATAATTTGTGAGATACAGAGGCCAACTTATTTTTTTTAAATACGGACCTGCATATTTTATTTCAGTTTTTGAAAGAACTCGGTCTCCTGAGTACAACTATATGCCACGCTTTATACTTTTTTTTTGTTTTGGGTACCCTATCAACAACAAAAGTATTTATAATGATTTTTTAAAATATTTTCAAGTCCGACCCTGGTTTCTTAAAATATTTAATCTGATTATATTCATTGCAACAATATTGATCAGCGCTAATTAACATTGAATTAGGAAAATCACAAGCCAATTGAAGGATCCAAATAAATAATATCCAGCTCAGCAATTTAAAGATATTATTTTAACTTTTTTTATCGTGAATTTGAAATTCTCAGTGTACGATCTAACAATATGCATAATATTAATCGTAGTTATTATTAATAAATCACCGTCTACAAACTTGTTTCTAATGCTTTACATGTTCGAAAGGGTTACCACCTTGCCGATTACACAATTTTATTATTCTTTCAATTTTATTCATAGCTTTTTGAACATATCTTCTTATACTCCCGAATGCATTTTGTACTCTTTATCGTAAATGTTGAAAAATATTGATTTCACTTTTACCAATGACGTCAAGTAATGCAATTATTTTTTTTATTGAATTTGATTTTTCGTATTCAATGTTTTACCCCACGTCATAGTTAAATTTGAAGGCTTATCAATATTGTACCGATGAATAATTTAAATATTTAAAAAACAGAGCCGGACTTGAAATTAGTTTAAATAAATTTTGTGTTTAAATGTCCGAAACAAAAAAAAAGTATAAAGTGCGGCATATCATTGTACTCAGGAGACCGAGTTCTTTCAAAATCTGAAATAAAAAATGCAGGTCCGTATTTAAAAAAATTAAATCGGCCTCTGTATCTCACAAATTATCAGCTAATTTGAAAATCTAAAAATACTATCAGATAGCCCTAATAAAGTGGCTATCAGAATGTGCAATTAGTTTTTTGATTTTCTAAAAAGTAACGACAGGGAAAAATAAAATTGATTTTCAAAAAAATTCGTTTTTTCCAAAAAACTCAGTAATCCTTGAAATTTTTAAAACTTTTTTTGATGGAATTTTGGTGAACATTCCATGGCGGGGGTACCATCTCGTACCTCGAATTTGTAGCACCCTGTATAGATATACATTTGTCAGAGATATATTATACTTAATATTACAAATATTGAATATGAAAGTAAAATGATATAAATGTTCTAAATATGATATATATAAAGTATTATTATTATTAGTATTATTTACTTAGAAGAAATCAATCATTTTTTATTGGTTACATGTATATTATTAAACCTACATCACGTATTTGGTTCAGGATCGTAAAACAGTGGGGTGCGTCCAGAACAGCATACAGAGTTTAAATATAATTTATTGATAGATTTATAAAAGTATTTGGGAGGATGAAAAAATCGATCTATATAGAAGCATAGTGTCTAAATTGCTTTTTATTTAGGTCAACTAGTTCAGTTTTTTAGACTTCTTCGGGGCTAGTATAGCGGTTTTAGACGTTTTGAAGTATTTATACCGGGTAAAAAAAGCAAGCTTAAACAAATTACAAAAAAAAATGTTTTTTAAATAGTTACTTTTGTATAACATATTTATACCGTGCTGGCAACTGTTACTTTTGGGTTGGCATTTACATGTGTGGAAGTAAATCGCATAGAGATCTTATTAAGTCGGAGTGAGAGAAATGCGACGGTGTGTTGTTGCGCCGTTGCCGATACGCCTTTCCCTATCAAGTAAAGTAAAATCACGATCGCAAACCGCTTATTTTTAAAAGACTTTTTTTTCAAGAGATAACTAGATAAAATTATTAAACATGTTTCTGAGCATCTAAAATGGAATTATAAGGATATCGTTAAGGTGTCATTTTTTTATAACGAGAAAACGTCACTAATCGCGATAATTTAAAAACTCAATTTTTTAACACATAACAGGCCATAACTCAAGAACCACTTTAGATATTGAAACTTTTTTTTTATTTTCAAGATCGGATATTTTACAATATGTTTACATAAGAAAAATTCGATAAGGTTGTTTTTTCCATTCAAAAATTGCAAACAATCCATCCATTTACTTTTAGAGCATAGCAATTTTCAGCAATCGTGTAATTTTTTTATTGATAAAGATTTTCACATACTGTCTACAAAGAAAATACAGCAGAAATATTAACAAAGTTCTTGAAAAAACTACAATCTATTATTTCTAATAGATTTCGAGATATCGATTTTTGAATTCAGAGTTCTAATAGCGCGACCACTATCGAACACCCACTCAATTCCACTTATTTTTTTACCAAAAATGCAAGTGTTTCTAGCTTGCACTTAAAAAAATTCAAGCTAGAGGGAAAATTACAATGACTCGTTAATAAATAGACAAATTAAGTATCACGAGACGTAATTAAATCGTAAAGCTGAACGCATGACGTACACCTTTCCCTAGAACTTTAAGTACTGACAGAGGTATTGATTTGGTCGACCGGTCAACTGCGACAAATCTGCTATATCCCCTTCCACGTCTCTTAGCGATGTGCACAGTTTCTCGGTTTATTCCATACGTTTGGCAACGTGTTTACTGTCCTCTCTTCGTTCAGTACATTATAAACGCATTGTACTCTTCTTACATACGGAAATCTCGACCCAAGACTAACCTTTGCCAGCCCTTAGTATACTCACTTGCGACTATAGCTTGCAAAGTCAGGCTCAAAAAGGCCAAAGTTACCAACTTTCTGCCCATGATCCGGATAAAGCTCTGCAACAAAAAAAAACAGAAACTTACAGCGTTATTAGGTTAGTAGCTATGCGTTCAAATTCAAATTTTTTATTAGACAACATTAAGTTTTACAGATTAATAATTATTCTTATTAAAAGTGTGCCTAAAGGGATCACACCGCGATTAAAAAACCGATACAGAGACACAAAGTGCCAGAGTGGTGCGACCCCAAAATCAAAATAAAAATAAATTAAATTATAAAAATAAACAAAAATTAGATTAAAAAAAGTGAAAATATAATTTTATCAGGGATGAGCGGAGATAAGCAGAGAGGCATAATGAAACAGTGTAAAATCCCGAACAGCAACCAAAGACGGGCATATCAGAGAACAAAAACCTCACAAATCAGTCAAAGAAACTATAATTTTTACGAATTTAGTAAATGATTTTATTTACAACCACAACAAAACCACAATATGTAATACTGACATTACTGACTTTTAAAAAACAAGTTTAGATTGGAAAGCCCGTAAAAATTTTAGGTCGCGAAATTATTTTGGGTCGCGACCGTTATACGCGATCTGGCGCTGCTATAGCGGTCGCTAAGAACAACGGCAAACAAAAACAGAAATAATTTTCTCTTGTCAATGTCAGAATCTTCAAAAATCATAATAATCTTTCAAAATCTAAACCGCTCTCATTAAAGAAATTCCGAAAAGTGTTTATAGCCAGTAGATTATTTTCTTTTATCTATGTTTATAGCGGCCATTTTCAAAGTAATAATTGCTATCTTGTGAGTTTAATTCAAATTTTATTTACTCCAACCGGTGATAATTGTGAAAAAGTGGCATTAAAAACTTAAAAAGCTGTGCTGTGAACTGTGAACGGCAAAAACCATCGTGGATCGTGGCATAACGTCGGTTTCCAATGTTTCATAGGTATTTCATACATGCGTCCTTATATAAAATAAAGTTTCTTGTATGCAACACACTGTCTTTTATTTATAAAATTAAACGAAAATAATAATAAATTTGAATAAACAGTATTAGGCGATATAATTTTAAAAAATTTGAAAGTGTCAAATTATCTACATTTCTTCTCTCTTCCATTTCCCTCACTCGGTTTTTCTTATTTCTCGCTTCATTTAATTAAGCAAAATATTCTTGTAATATCTTTATTAAATACTTATCTAACACCAACAAAAATAAACAAGAAGATTAACAATAATAATTGAATATTTTAATACATTTATTTGTTGAAGGATAAAATGCTAGACTTCCTTGGCTTAAAACCTACATTCTGGCGTTTTAAAAAAGGGACGAGTTTGTGATATTTTGATATGTCACTCTTTTCCCTTAATTCTAGCATTGTCCGTATCATGCTGTACGTAGCCCAAAGAGTAGATGGCTTTTTCTGCCTTGCCATGTCGCTAAAATATGCCATCAAGATTGTTTCCGAAGCAATATTCTTAGCATTTCTTTCGGCACACCATTTTTCGTATACTTTCAATGCTATTTCATATCGCCCCCTACTTTTCTCTGGAAGTAAACTGGCTTCTGCTCTTTTTGCAGCTTCTGTAAGTTCTGGTGGAGTACCAATATTAAAGTAGTCTTCATTATCAGAACTTTCCGACAACATTCTGGCTTTCTATGTTATATAAATTCGAAAAAGCCAACGAGAAATTCAAAACTGTCACTTAGTTGTTTGTTTTGGTGTTGAAGGTTTGCGCCATAACCATGCCATAACAACCACTGGTGCCGGTAACTATAGATATGGAAGTGGCGAAAAAGAAAACGACAAATTTTCGCATTTTTTTTTTCAAAATGAAATATTGTCCCTATTTTTAAAATAGTATACAAACCTCGGAGGCCTTCTTCCCCTAGGAGATGCAAGACCTTGTCGTTGGTGGGGAAGCTCCTGGTCAGGTGCTGGGGGGAATCCCCCCTAGCACTTGGCTTGGTCTAAGAAGCATCTCACTCATCGTCTTGTCCCTGACTGTAGTGTCGTGGCCAGGGAATTGCACCAAGACATATAACGATACCGGGCGGGGCTACGGACAGCCTCAACCTTGGGGCACCGGGGGGCACCCCATTGTATTTTACCCCTTACTTCTACATGCGGGGCTCTGTAGAAGTGGACCGACTGTCCCTAGCGACTCATAGGAACACTATGAGATCTGGTAATAATAGTAATAAAAACATCACCGGTGAAGCTGTGGGGAAACCCCCTAGCGACACTGGGAACAGTAACAATGAAAGTTCCAAGGGGCCAAACCCAAAGAGAACTACAGGAGAGGTGGCTGACACTTGCGTGAGACCATCCTCCGCAAGTGGCATACAAGCTACCACCTCCTCCAAGGGTCGGGAGCCTACCTCCTACCTCTAAACCCAACAGGCGACACAAGCTACCGTTTCGTCTATCCGGCATGGGTCGTAGCTCCTCGACTGTGAGGGACACGGGTCTCCGTAGGAAGTCCTGGGACTGTATGATGAGTTATAACTCAAGAAAGGGGGACACAATAGATCTCTAAGGTCGCAGAAATTAACCCCCTCCCACTTATTCTAAATTCTAACCTCGGAGGAAAGCTTTCACTATTGTCTCGAGATTTAGTTAATCTCTCGACAGGTATGAAACACTTCTCTCCTCGGTATGTAATATACTATTTAATTTGTTTTTTTATAATCTGTAAAGCATTGAAATTTAAAGTTATTAGAAATATTATTCCACAAATGTGGCGCTATGAAACTGAAAGATTTTTCGAAGTTAGCTGTTGGGTGTTGAGGAATTTTAAAATAATGCACTTGCCTAGTCAATTGAGCATGATCAACTGCTCTGTAGTTAAAATTCGATAAATGAATGTCATTAAATGAAATTGTCGTCTGTTAGTCATGGATAAAATAAATAAATTTTTAAGATGTGGCGTTCTATATGATCTCTAAAAAGAATGTTAAAAGAAAACCGTAGACACGAGTTTTAAAGTATTTGGATTTTTCTAGAGAATCTAGCCCCGTTTATGGATGTACCATAAACAACATCGCCGTAATCAAATAAAGATAAAATAAGTGTGTCACATAATTGATACTTAGTCTTTGATGGTATATATTTCTTAAGAGACGAAAAATTCTTCAAACGTATATAAGCAGCCCCTAATTTAGTAGTTATATGTGCCTGAAAAGAAAGCTTCGCATCAAAATAGACTCCAAGATTTTTAGTCTCTGTAACAATGGATATCGCAACATTATCTATAATATAGATATTCATGCTACCAGCCGTATTTGTAATTTTGTTTGTATCACTACCAAATACTATAACACAAGATTTACCGGCATTTAATTTCAAATTATTATCCAGAGATATGAATGAATCTACAAATGAAACAATTTGTATATGTAGATGTTTTTCTACAATTTTAGAAAATGCTGGTTATTGATTATAATAAAAATAGTTCCGTATGTATAAATATAAAAAGAGTTATTTGACTATCCATATTCAGATTTTTTTGTTCAGTTATCCAAACAGAGAAAAATAAATTCTGTACAACGGGTTTTAAACAAACGATAAATCAGCCTTTAACGCTTTTAAGCCCTCTTATACGCTTATACGTACAAACAGAAAAAACACAACGCAAATTCAAACAAGAAAAGTTTGGGGTTTGTTGTTTAGAAGATCGATTAAAAGTTTTACCAGGTCTGGTTTCTCGAGCTAAACGAATCTATATATATTTGTTATTTTGCGCGAAGGTTTCATTATATTTATTTAAGTTTGTGTACGTGCTCGGAATATTTGTAATTAATGTTCCAAAGGAGGAATTTTGCTAAATAATTTAGCTTGGGTCAACAAATTTAGTTAAGGGTACACACTAAAATGTTGAGAAGTCCAGAAATATCCAGAAATAGAAAGGTTAGATTAAGGTATAACACCCCAAAAATTTACCAACTTTTTTGGACTGGATAGTTGTGATTATAGTGAATCTTTAGTTTGATCTCTTCCACATCTCATATACCGGGTGCGTCTCAAAAGAGGTTCATCCCTATCACTTTTTTTATTTTTTCAGGTAAAAATACGAGATTTGATATGTTAGTATATGACATAAATTAGGATTGATTGACGTATTCAATTGTTTTCGGTCACTTCTAATTTCACCGGAAACGACTACCACTTTTGATTTTTAAAAGGCACCATCGGTATTTTTTGCTATAATATTATAAAAAAAAACTAATTTTTTCTTTAACTGTTTTTACATTCGCATTTGTATCATTTTGTTTGTATTTCTCCAACAAAACATTGTAATATGCCTCTCTTTTGTGGTTGTTATGGTATTGCGGGTCTTTTTTCCCACAAGCATGAGTATTTTTCTTAAAGCGCAATAAACTCCGTTAGAAAGTCGTGTTTGGACATTGCGCAAGACTAATTTTTAGATTGGAAAGACAATGTAAACACTATTTGGCGCTATCCTTGCAACGGTGGCGACCCAAAGCTTTTGGTAATTTTGGAGCGGTTCGGTTTTTTTCCGGAATTATACCGCCAAATATTTTTTATTCAAATTTATTATCTTTTTCTCTCAATTTTATAAATAAAATACAGTATGTTGCATTTACGAAACTTTATTTTATATAAGGAGATGTATGAAATGCCTATGTAACATTGGAAACCGACGTTATGCCATGAACCACGATAGTTTTTGCAGTTCACAGTTCACAGCACAGCTTTTTAAGTTTATAATGCCACTTTTTCACAATTATAACGAGTTTGAGTAAATAAAACTTAAATTAAACTCACAAGATAGTAATAATTACTTTGAAAATAGACGCTTTAAACGCTTTTCGGGATTTTTTCAATGAGGGCCGTTTAGATTTCGAAATATTTGATAATTTTTGAAGATTCTGACTTTGACAAGAAAAAATTATTGCTGTTAATGTTTGGCGGTTTTTCTTAGCAACCGCTATACCAGCGCCAGATCGGGTACAATGGTCGCGACCCAAAATTTTGACGGGCATTCCAATTTAAATTTATTTCCTTAATCTATGGTTAAAATAACTTTTTTATATTGTTTTGTATATCTATTGTTGTAAGTTTTGGAAAAAATCCAAAATTTATTTTCAAGAAATCTAGGTTGATATCATCAAAACGAGATATAATTTGAGCAACACAAATCATGCATGCCCTTTATGATTTTTTTATATTTTCCAAAAATATGTCTCCACTTACCAGCAAGTAAAAAATCAGTAATTCATTAACAAACAAACCAAACAAACTGTACTAAATTTTCGTAAAAGCCTCTATTACTTAAATACTAATTGCCGAAATTTTTTAGAACCCTATCTAATCTGAAATCTAAGCTTTTTACGATTTCTAAGATTATTCTTATTGATCCGTTAGTACAATTTCTCTTTTTTATTAGTTTACCCGCTTATCTTTATTGGTATATCTTTTATATGACCACAGTATAATTGTTACTGTGTTTTGATATTTAATCGTTTTTTGTTTAATCCCATCTAGACCACCAAGTGTATATTCAGGGTCGGACTGGCTATATCTATTAGGTATATTTATTTTTTAAACGTACTCAGGACATCTATACTAATATATAAAATCTTTAAGTGACTGACTCACTGATTAATCACCCAACTAGCAAATATAGTTCCTAGGCCCACTCTGCTACTTTGTTACTCTATAAGGAATAGTCACTTTGAAGTATATTTTGAGAGTGACCGGTTAGTCCCTACCTACCATAAAAGTGGAAAATAAACACCCCGATTGCAAGTCGCAAACATGTAATTTCAAGTAGTGGCTGGAACTACCCGAATCTTCGAATATGACACCATAAAAGACCAAAAACTTTATAGTAACTTTTAAAAGTAGGGGTTACCAACAAGTGTAGGGGTTACCAACAGGTGTAGTACTACCATAATGCCTCCATTAAGTTTTTGTTACTTTCTAGTAACAATTTAAGTTACGGGGTAGTCGCGGCCACGACACTTAGTTACTTTTAATTTATAGTAGCATTGAAAGTAGTAAAATGGTTACTCTGCTACCTTCCTAGATCACTATAAAGTAGCCGTCGCTCATCCATTGCCACTAAAAAGTCACGTTGATCAAAAACGGGTACTTTATAGTGACCGTAACTTAATATACCCTAATAAACATAATTGCCGCAGATTGCATCGTGTGCATCAGCTTCGTACCGGATAAGTCGCATTCACCAGTAGGCTACTTTATGGTAACACATCATAGTAATTCTTTTAGTGGCAAAAACTATCCAAGACACTACCCGGCTACTCAAAATCTTTCCCCATTTTGGTCGCAGTTACTTAGCAGCTACCAAAGATATTTAAACTCGAGACAGCAAACTTATACAGAGTTTAAATATCTTTGGCAGCTACGAATATAGGACGTAGCCGCCGATGGTCACCGCCCACTTTGTAGTGGCTTTGATAGTAGCAGTTACGTATCTGCCACTATAAGTGCTAGTTGGGCTTGACTGCGTTTTCACGGCCTTTGCGACACATTTCGACAAGCTGGGTGGCATAAGTCAATCAATTAATTGATGAGCTTCAATAATACGTGGCACTAGTACATATTTACATTTGATAAATCTGTGGATAAACCCCTTTCCATGATTGGATATTAGATTTAAATACTTCTCTGTGCGACGGACCGGACGGTTAAAAATGATAGAGAAGAGCCAGATGAGTGGGGCGTTTATATTAATATATTAATACCAAACCAATACACTCCTTCGATAAATAAAATAATAAAACATCAATACGTGTGGTTTATAGTGGCGTAAAATATGTCTACTATAAAAGAAATTGATATCAAGTATTTATTGCCCTTTCACCTTATCTCCACACAACACGCAGCTTTATAATTTTACTGATGATTAATAAGCAGTTCAATGTTCCAAAACGTATGGCAGAATTTTATGGCGATTTTTCCCCCAAATACCAAATCATCTAAAAAAAACGGCGTCAAAGACGGCTGGGGAATGACAAACGATGGTAATTTTGGCGAGGTCAATCTGTAGGCGTCATTTACTAAAACCTAAAACTTGTTTAAAATTAACATTAATTATAGAAAAATTAAAAAAGGATAGAACGTGTCCAGGTACACAAATCTATTTCCAAAAAAATATTTTTTTCGAATTTTAAACTACGTACTTCATTAAAAAATAATTTTTACTCAATATAATAGTTATTTTTTATACTAGACGATAAAATAGCCAGTGAATTAATTTCGGGAGAATGCCATTGTATCGTCGTGTATAAAACAATATTTTTTCAAGAATATTCAGAAATTATTATTTCAAGGAACTTATTACAAGTAGAAAAAATATTATGCTGAAATGGTGTTGGTTTCTATGTAATTTGACAAATAAATAAAGCTGTATCCATAAAATAATAAATACAAGAAGAAGTGTCAAATCAATGTTAAATTATGGAAACAGCGTGGCTGCCTGGGTAACTAATTTTCAGATATGGCGGCTGGGACATTTGACATGACATAGATATGACAATTTCAATTTTATGAAATTTATTTCCGTTTCCGGTTTATAATGGCGGGCTGTTCAGGAGGTTTAAATGAGGGTTAATATACTTTTTACTCTTTCTAGTAGTAAATAATACAACAAAATTACACAAAAATATTTATTTGGAATTTAGAACAATGTAAATATGCAATTAAAGAGCTATAAACATTTAAACTACTGTATCAATATCAAATATATAAATAATATCAGAGATGCTGTGTTAAAGTGAATTAGTAAAGTAACAGTGCATTGACTTACAGAAACTTGAAGATAAATAAATGTTTTCACAGCTTCACGGGCATAAAACTAAATAACTGGAAGCAGGAAAAAGGAAACCGGAACCCACACAAAACCTGGAATCAAAAAAAATATGTAAAAAAACATAAATATAGGTACATAAGACTTTTGTGAATTAAATCAAACAGGACTTGAATCAAAATAAAATGAATAAAAAATATGATACATATACATCTAATACCTCATTTGTATTTTAAAAATAATCTAAATACATAGATTTATTGCATTATTGCTATGAAAATACATAATAGGTACCTATGTGATATGTAATTACGCATTTCTGTTCATTTTGTAGAAAATTAATGTAGGCTACTAATAGTTCAATAATAACAGTTGCTATGGAAAAAAAAATTACAACGTTTCTAAGGCCAGCTGACATTAAGCGCCATTAACAAATAAAGAAAATGGGCTAAGTAGAGTACGTGCAGGGCTTGACCTCGCCAAAATTATTATCGATTGTCATTCCTTAACCGTCTATGACGCCGTTTTTTTTTCTCGATCGTATGATACCATAAAAAGAAATTAATTCGATCGTAAAAAGGTGAAGAATTGTAACCAATCAATTTTGGGCTAAGAAATTTGTTTTTTTTTCTATGATTATCTTATCATTTTTCGAGATTCTCTAATTATATTATTGGAGGATCACATTTTTAATGATTTTAGGTTATATTAGGTGCTATTTGTTTGTGTAGATTAATTGATTTAGGTACTTTCACCGTAATAGTAGTTTAGGAATTTTGTTTTTATTATTAAATGTTTAAGATTTCATATTTTAATTTCAGAAAATTGGGTGTATTATACGAATATACACTCCATAGACTTAAAATAAAATATTATACTCAGATACAAAAAAAAAGCAACGGAAAATTTTTTGGTCTAGTTTAAAATGTTATATTTTTTATTTTTGTATCCATAGCAACTGTTAAAATTGTCTTATATCTATCAAAAATCTATACTAATATATAAAATCCTTAAGTGACTGACATACTGATTAATCACGATCCTGCTCAAATCACTCAACGTAAGAAGCTCAATTTTGGCATACAGGTTGATTCTAGGGTGGAAGAGGTTCGATAAGAAGGGATTTTTCGAAATTCCAGTTCCAAGAGGGTGAAACCACCCCTCAAATATTACAATATTTTTTATTTAAAAAACGGTCAAGTTTCCGAAAAAACGCTTAAACACGTATATTTTATTTTGTTTTTTTTACATATTTTAAGATTTTTTAAAAATGTATACAGGGTGTTTCGAAAAATCTGGTCATTGATTAATCACGATCCTGCTTAAAGCGCTTGACGTAAAAAGCTGATTTTTGTAAAACAGATTGACTTTAGGGTGTAGACGTTCGACAAGAACGGATTTTTCGAAACTCGAATTCTAAGGGGGTGAAACTATCCCTCAAATATTAAAATATTTTTTATTTAAAAACCGTCGAGTTTTTCGGAAAAACTCTTAAACACATATATTTTATTTTGTTGTTTTACATATTTTAAGATTTTTTATAAATATATACAGGGTGTTTCATAAAATATGACCATTGATTAATCACGATTCTGCTTAAACTGCTTGACGTTTAAAGCTGATTTTTGGCAAACGGATTGACTGTGAGCTGTAGAGGTTCGATAAGGAGAGGTTTCTCGAATCTCAAATTCTAAGAGGGTAAAAATGCCCCTCAAATATTACAATATTTGTTATTTAAAAAACGGATAGTCTTTCGGGAAAACGCTTGGACAAGCGTAATTTATTTGGTTTTTTAACATATTTTGAAATTTTTTAAAAAATTATACAGGGTGTTCCAAAAAGTTGGGTAATTTCTTAACCACGATTCTGCTTAACCTTTCCGGGACCGTGTGGGGTATTTTAAGTACCCCAGATGCGTTTTTTCTTTAATAACTTTTACAATTTTTATTTCTCACTTTTTTCCTATCAGGTAATCCTAGAATATATATTACAAAACCCTTTTTTAACAAAAATAGCCAAATAATTTTTTTATTTTCGTTGAAAAACTGAAATTTACTGCCTGGGGTACCTCCGTTACCCCGCACGGCCTGCAGTGATTCGAAGTCCTACACGCACTATTCATTTTTTATTTTTTTCGTGTTGGTGACTTTGTATGAAGACGTAAACAAGTTCTATATTCAGTTTAGTGTTGGTATTTACTGTGATGTAGTAAGTTAGTGTGTGTATTTATTGGAAAATGGCGCAAAAGGAATATACTGATGAGGGGCTAACAAAAAAGAAATTCCTGACAAATTCGCTTCGAGAGCTGCGAAGAGCAATCCTTCAGCACAAAGACTTGTACTTCTAAAAGTTCTAAGAAGAAAAAAAAATTGTAACAAGTTTCACAAAACTGTAAAAACATCAATAAAATTATTTCTTGCTAAAAGCACAGTTCCTATAAATCCTGCTAAAGAGATTCAACCTAATTCAAACCGAATATGTGGCTTTTGCGCCAG